TGGGCATGGCATAGTCTTTCTGCACTTCCACTTCCTTATCTTGCTTCAGACATCACGAGGAGGACATAACTGACGGGTTATCATGGGGATTGAACCAGCCGTGCATGGACAGTACTCTGCAGGGTGCTGGCGAGTGCTTTCTGAGGAAGCCCTGAGCACCCCCCGCCTTGGATTCTGTTGTCTTTTCCACTGTGCTGGGTTTTAGCTCCCTTTGAGCCCCATCTGCTACCCGCTGGCCACAATGGGTTCTCCCAGGATGCACAAGCCTGCGGTCCAGGACACTGGGATCCCCACAGTGTGTCCCAGGCTGGCATCACAAGGAGGAAGTGATGGTTCCAAGAGCTTAGAGTGGGGACAGCCAGGCCAGGCCTGTCCCTGGTTGATGACTGACCACTGGCCTCTATAGGGCTTTCTAGGTGCCCCACTTCTCCCCTTCCTTGGGCATGTAGCGGCAGTCATGGGCCAGGGGTGTAGCTGGGCCAGAAGGTGCAGGCAGGTGAGACTCGTGCTGGCTGGGTGCCCTGCAGCGGGCTGGCACAAGGATGGGGGTGAGGCCTGGGCCCCTGCCAGTCTCCTGGAGGAGGGTGCTAGCTTAATTTTTATTCGTTAGTGCAGAGACATTCCTGAAGCCTGAACTCATGTGCTCCCAGTGACCCCGAAACACCATTCTTGGTTGGGGGGCAGGCTTGCGGGGGCCACCCAGTTGTGGTTGGAGGCAGAGGGAGGAGAGAGGGCTTCGGCACTTGAAGCTGTGTGCCCAGGGTCCAGCGCTCTGCTGAGCACTTGGCTGGGCGAGGTGCTGCCCTGGTCCTGCCTGGTGGGCCTGTTGGAATGGTGGCATTTCTGAGTACCGTTTACTCTGATAACCAAGTCTGGAAACCACTGGAGGGAGAGGGGAGGGTCCGTCCAGACCTCCACCCCAAGAAGCACCTGCTGGAGCCTGCTCCACACTGGCCCACCCTACCCTGGCCCTCTGAAGAGCTGGCCTGCCCCTACCCCGGCCCTTCCCGCTCCCGCACCTGCAGAGTGCATGGGTGTGCACACACTCCTGCATGCTTACACTGTGGGGGTCCCGTCCCTCTGCCCTCCCCCGCCACCACCCCGCCACATCCTCCTTCCGGAGGCCCTCTGCCTGGCACTCCTGCTGTGTAGTCAGTAGCAGGAGAAGCTGCTCACTGAGCTGGGACCTCCTCTGCCTCCCCAGCGAGGCTCTTTGGAGGGGGAGGCCCTGGTGGCGAGACCAGGCTCATGCCCAGAGGCCAGCTCCGGGGTTCCCTGATGCCTCCCTTCTCAGCTCTTGCAGGCCATCCTGTAGGACACCCTTCAGTGGCTAGCACCCTGCTAAATGCTTCAGGAACCACATGCTCTTGCTCTTGCCCTTGCTGTGGGGCGGGAACAGGCACACTGGAAGGTAGGCCGCCAGGTCCCTCCCTGACCCCATCTAAGGCCACTGGTTTCTCTCCCCAGCTGGCGAACACTGGTTCCCAACTGCGGCCTGTCAGCCAATGGTGTGTTGGCTAAAGCCAGACTCAGGTCCTGAGCACACCCCTAGACTACGCCAGAATTTAGGCATTGGGCATGTTCCCTGGGGCGGGGTCCTGACCCATGGGGACACCTAGTGACAGAGGGGCCCGTGGTGTTGAGTGTGGCATGGGGCTGGAGCTCAGGCATCGTGGAAGGAGCTCAGGCTCTGGAGTGGTGCACACTTTTAGGGGTGGCCCGGGACCACAGTGGGCATCGAGGGATGGAGCAGGAAGGAGCAGGAACCGGTCCTGCTGGACCTGTGAGCGGCACCGCCCGCCCGGGAAGGGTTAACCAGAGCCGGCCAAATCCCCTCCACGTCCACCTCCATCCTGGAGGAAATGCGTTTTGCAGGCGCTGGCTGAGCCAGCCATGACTTGGTGACTCTCATCTCCACACAGGATGGCAGAGGAAGTGACTCAGGCCATGGGGGAGAAAGTGAGCCCTGGGTCCCCTGCCCATGGTGCAGTCCCTTCCCTGGGCACCAGCCTAGGGTGGGAATGGGTCTCTCTGCCCAGACAAGCCCTGGCCACCCTTCACCCTGTGCCTTACCGGGCCCTTGGGGACCTCTAGTGGGGTCCCCATTGTGTCAGGCAGGATCAGCTTGTTCTGTTCTTTGTGTGTTTACGGAAGGCTGAGGTCAGGGGCAGCCGCTCCTCCGGAAGGGGAGCTGGGGGGGACATCCTGGGGGGCTCGGCCCAGCCCCCTTTCTAGCCTGGAATTTTCTGTGTGCCTGTGGTCTCTGCTGCTCCCCATTTGTCTCTCTTCTTTGAGGCTGATCCCCCAAAACAGGGCGTGTTTCCCTCAGGAACCTTTACCAAGGTCAGCCAGGCCCGGACGGGAGACACTGTCACATGTAACCTTGAAACAGACAGTCTTTCCTGCCTCAGTTTCCCCCCCTGTGAGATGGTGAAGCCTAGGGCCATTGTAGGCTGCTGCTGTAATTGTTGGGGTGCTCTTCACCCCCTTCTCAGCAACTCCCCAGGCTCCAGCCCAGTGCTGTGGCCTTGTGCTTGGTTCTAAGATGCGTGATGGCGGATGCAGGCCAGTTCTGCTGTTCCTCACTGCCAGAGGTGGGTCCCCTCCCCGTGGAGCTCACATTGGGCTTCTGGTTCTGGGGTTCATTCTTCTGATCACAGGCCCCCCTCCGGCTAGCCAGGGGGACTCAGTCTTAGAAGGCCCTGGGAGGTGCTGGGGGCCCGTCAGGAACACTGCCCTACCCCTCGGGGTCTGCAGACACTCAGGGTGCCCGCAAAGAGGGAAATTTTCTGGGTGGAGGCCCCGCCTTCCTGCCAGGCCTCCGGAGGGAGGCTCATTCTCCAGGAATTTCCCCTTGAGGTTCTCTGGAGGCTGAGCTGGCCACCTGCAGAGGACAGGGAGGCATGGAATGAGAAGATGGTTGGGGGGGGGGTAGAGCCTGTGACAGGCCAGGGGCTGGGGAGGGTCAGAAAGCACTCAGAGCCTGTCTGACCTTGGTAGCACCCGCCATTCGCAGGCCTTGCTTGACTCCCACAGTGACCCTTGAGATGGGCTTGCTTTTCATTCCTCTCTATAGGTGAAGAAAATGACGCCCAGAGACGGTGAGTTACTAGCCCAAGGACACACAGCTACTAAGTGTGGGAGCTGGGATTTGAACCCGGGCAGCCTGGCTCCAGAGTCCATGCCACTAAGAGTGGGTTAATTCTGCTGACAGGCAGAGCTGTCTCCTTGAGTGCCAGGGTGTGGCAGGGGTGGTGGGCGCTGGGTTTGTGTTTGAGTGCCTCCTCTGGCACCCCATGGTGGCCCAGCTTTGCTCCTGCCCTCCCACGATGAGGTGCTCACACCCAGCTCTGCCTCTCTTGCTCTCAAAGGCTGACCCTGGACGGTTGGTGTAAGGCAGAGGCTGTCTTGTCTTTTCTGGCTCAGTGAAGGTCAGGGTGTCTGAGTTATAGCCAGCTTCACTTCTGCTTTCTGTGTGGCTTCATGAAGTCACTGACCCTCTCTGGGCTTTGCATCCAAATATAAAATGGGGAATTTGGACCAGATTTTCCAAGTCATCTGTGACAGGTGGAGAGTAAAGGACTCAGGAAGGGGCTGCCTGGAAGAAGTGACATTGGATTGAGGGTTAGAAGTGGGTAGCGACGGGGACTGGCAGAAAGGAAAAGGAAAGAGGGGCCTATGACTTCCTGCCGCTGGCCTGAGGTGTGGGAGGCAGTTCAACTCCAATGCCTGCGGAGGTCGCAGAGTGAAACCTTAATCACACTGTAGGAAACAGCAGCTCTTCCCCAAAACGCTTTCACATCCTCCGCAATAGGCCAGGCAGGATGAAGAGCCTGTCCACCAGTGATAAGACCACGAGGCCTGAGAAGTTGGAACTTGGTTCCCTGTGTTGGGACCTAGGGGACTTGCTCAGAGGGGCCAAGGTGGCTGGAGGGAGGCCTGGGCCAGAAAGCAGACAGTGAGATCCTGCCTGGGTCCCCTCTGCCTTCAATGCTGCCGTCAAAGATCAGTTCAAAAGGCACCTCTTCCTGGATGCCCACCTTGATTTCTTCCAAACTTGGGTTCCTTGCTTGTCCTGGGGTTTCCAGGCTACCCTTTGCCTTGTTTGTGGCAGATGACTGCAACTATCACCACGATGAGACATAGCTCCCCACAGGATGAGGTTGGCTGTCCTGGTTTGGTCACTGGACCAGCCCATAGTTACGAGGGCCAAACCACCTAGCATCTCTCTGTGGCACCAGGCATGACAGTCCTGCTCAGGCAGGGGAAACATCTGGGTTTGGGAGCACTGTCCTGCAAGACATTTAACCCTTGGGCCTCGACTTCCCAGTCTGTGAAATAGACTGACAGTGGTACCCTCCTCCAAGGGATAGAGTGAGAGTTCATGCAGGTGTGACGTGGAGAGGGCAGGTAGACAGCAGGTGCTCAGCTAGAAGCAGGAGGTCAGAAGTGCCACTCAGCCAGGGTGAGAGTGGACAGAGCTGGGCCTCCATCACAGCCACGCCCCTCTGTTCCTCAATTGCCCAGGGCCCTGGTGACTGGCTCCCCTTGGTGGTCATGATGGGGATTGCACTTCCCTCTGGCTCCTGTAGAGGGCGCTGTCCCCAGAGGTGACCAGGAGATCCTGGGCTGACCAGAGGGAGGTCTACAGAGAGAAGAGCAGTGGGGACCAAAGGCGTCCACACCAACCCTGAAGGAGGAGGTGTCCTCGGACTGGGTCGCAGGGATGACTGGGAGAGCCCCATTTTCCTATGTGTCTGCCAGAACTGGCAAGGGCAAGGCGGTAGATTCTAGACAAGGTCTCCCATCACTTTGGGGCAGAGGGGCTAAGGCTGTCACTCAGCCCAGCTCTGGATGGCCTTGGCTGTCTGTGCTCAGCCTCTGGCCTCTATGGGAGGCCCGTGAGCATCTGCACGCTGCCTCCTGCCTCACATCCATCTGCAAGCTGCCCCAGCCACCCCATGGTCCAGGCTCTAACTAACCCACATGGTCTCTTCCAGGTGGTGACGTCTCTGGGTGACTTCTGGGGACTACGATGGCTGTCTGGGTGCTGCTGCAGACAGCGCTGTTCCTACTGACTCTGCTCTTCCGGACTCAAGGTAGCCTTTCCAGGGTGCCCTGGGGCTGTCGTGACTTTTGTTAAATGTCCCCATGTCTGGGGTAGATATGGGTCTGCACAGCTTAGCTGGTGAAGGACACCTTGGAGAAAAGAAAAAAGCACCTCTTCCTCCTCGCAGAGGACAGCACAAAATAGGTTTCAGCCCAGCTCATCTGTACGGTGAGCATTCTCGGACAGTGCACAGCCTATGCAACAGTCTATGGCAGTCCTGGCCTTGTTAAATACTTTATTGCTATAAAAATATTTCTCTTTGAAGTCATTTTGTCTCCCTATTTTGAAACCAATAATTTTTGAGCAGTACAGACACACGTTTTTGTAGATCCTTTGAAGTGTAGGTCCTTAGAACATGTGTGAGTCCCAGGCTCTGAGTGCATGACTTCTCAGCCAAGGTCACGCTCCCTCCCATGTCCCTGGCTGATCTGCAACCTCTGCCTCCCCAGGTGCCCACAGTGGTGGCTCCAGGGAAGACTTCCGCTTCTGCGGCCAGCGGAATCAGACACAGAGGAGCTTCCTCCACTACGAGCAGACACCTGAGCTGCACATCTCCATCAGGAACTCCGAGGAGGCCCTCACGATCCATGCCCCCTTCCAAGCGGCCCCCGAGGCCTCCCGGTCGTTTCCTGAGCCCAGGGGCCTCTACCACTTCTGCCTCTACTGGAACCGCCATGCCAGGAAGTTCCATCTGCGCTATGGCAAGAACGACTTCCTGCTGAGTGGCCAGGCGGATGGCCTCCTCTGCTTCCGGCACCAGGAGGAGAGCCAGGCTCAGGGACCCCCACTGCTCGCCACCTCTGTCAGCTCCTGGTGGAACCCCCAGAACACCAGCCTGCCTAGGGTTGCTGGCTTCACCTTCTCCTTCCACAGTAAGGAGCTTCCAGGGGGCAGAGGAGTGGTGCAGAGGGAGGATGCAGCAGTCCCGAACCTGGGCTCTGCTCATGGGCAGTAGGGAGCCATTGAAGGTATTGCAGAAGGGGAGGAGTGGGAGCCAGTTTCCGGAAGCACTGTGGGAAGGCAGAGGACCCATGTAGAGGCTGCAAGTTCAGGCGGAGGCAGGTCCAGGTGGAGGCTGGACAGGTGAGCAGGGAGATTGGAGCTGGGGAGGAACACCCGTGCAGGTGGTTCAGCCTGTTAGAACCTGGGGTCTTCCAGATGGAAAGCACCTCCATGATCAGGACAGAGATGGCCTGCCTGGGGCCTGGGGGTGTCACACACACACACGCACGCATGCACGCATGCACGCACGCAGAGGTCAGGGATGCAGAGGGGATCGAGGGGCTGTGGCCACTACCTTTACCTGGCTCGGGCCATTAGCCACGTGGACTCCCCAGTGCCGTGTTTGTTGTTGGGTTAAAGGCAGAGGCATAGAGTCCTGACAGCCATGTTTCTGTCAGTCCATGTGACGTGGGGGTCGGGAATGACCAAGTGGGCTGTTTTTGGCCATCCCATGAGGTGGGTATCTCTGTGGCCACACTGAGGACCTGGGGAGGGAAGGCCAGCGCTGGGCACTGTGTCAAGAATGACTGAGCACCGAGGGCCTGTGGTCCCAGCTGCTGGGGAGGCAGAGGTAGGAGGACTGAAGTCCGAGGACGGCTCCAGGCAAAAACACAAGACTCTAGCAAAAACAAACTAAAGCAAAAAGGGCTGGGGGTGTGGTTCAAATGGTACAGCGCCTGCCTAGCAAGCACCAGGCCCCGAGTTCAAACTCTAATACCACGAAAAAAGTTTTTTAAAAAAAGACAAGAAATTGACCAAGCCCTGCTCCTGGTATGAGAAGGTCCAGCGTCTATTGAAAATGGAGGTGGAGGCAACATAAATTCTAGGAATTCAGTACTACTCCCATGTGACCAGAGGGGAAACTGAGGTACAAAGAGGCTACTCACACTGGGGGAGACAGGGTTCGAATCCAGCAGTTGAGAGGTGGGGCAGGGGATGAAGGGGGTAGTGGGAGAGCTAGCAGGTCAAAGATCAGGAAGGTGGGGGTGGGGGAGCTGAAACTGGGGTCTGGGGGTCTCTAGAGGCTGTGTCCTGTGCCTGGAGTGATGTACGAGGTGGCTGCTGTGTCCCATTAGTGCAGAATTGGGTGGGGAGGAGGGGCCAGAGGCTGAGGCTTTCTGGGGTCTCACATTCCGGCAGCTCTTCCCTGAGGTGGGGGTTTCCGAGAGCCCTTGATGACGTCAGTAGGTCCCAGCCCATGGGATGGGGGGGAGGGGCTGGAAGGTTGAGGTGGACTTGGGCCTCAGGGCAGAAGCTTGGTTTGTTCTGTGAGGAGTTTTTAAAAATACGAGCCAGGGTGTTCATTCCATCTAAAAACCTCCTGCTACTCAGGAGGCCAAGATCAGGAGGATCGTGGTTTGAAGCCAGCCTGGACAAAATAGTTTGCAAGACCTTATCTTGAAAAACCCCATCACAAAAATAGGGCTGGAGGAGTGGCTCAAGGTGAAGGCCCTGAGTTCAAACCATAGTACTGCAAAAACAAACAAACAAACAAAAAACCTAAAAGCCTTCCCCATCTGATCCCCCACCCAGCTCCCATCCAGTTCCCAGAGACACCATAGACTGCCCAGGCAGAAGGGTCTGGAGTCAGGGAGTCTGGTGGGCATATGGTCCCCATAGTACAGCCAGAGGCTACGGGCAGGGTGCTGGGCAGGACTGCCCACCCGCCTAGCAGGGTGACGCTGTGGGAGGACCCATGAGACAGAGCTGGCCGATGGCCTGGGGTCTGCCTCAGTCTGACCTTGGATTCTCAGCTCCTCTTCTGTAAAGTGGGCTACAAGCATGAAGTCTTATAAGGATCTCCTTCAGTGTGTGCTGGAGGTGGCCCATTGGTCTTGGCCTCAGGTGGTTTGTCACCCCTCTGCAGACCCCTCACAGGCCTCCCACAATGCCTCCGCCTCAGTGGACATGTGTGAGCTGAAGAAGACCTTGCAGCACCTCAGCCAGCTCCTACAGCAGCCCGGCAAGACCTCCCGGCGGCCCTCGACCACCCTGGTCAGCCAGTGAGTGTGGGCCTGGGGGTGGGGGTCTGGGGTGGGTGTCTCAGAGCAGATTGCCTCAGGCAGGGCAGGGAGCTACAGCTGGAGGCCATGAGCCATTTTCCCTGGGCATCAGAGACAGACACCAACCTCTCCTGGTGGCCACCAGCCTCCTCTCCACTAAGAAAAAGTAGTGGTGTCCAGGCTGAGTCTCAGGACATTCCACCCCAGCCACATTGTCCCTCCCACTTTGTCCCCTGCCCCTTCTCCCTTTGTCCCTGCCTCTTTCTTGGGCACCTGCCTGAGGCCCTCCTTCCTGCCTCGTCTCCTACAGTCACCCACTGCCTTCTCTCTGCCAGGCAGCTGCAGAGTCTTGAGTCGAAACTGGCCTCTGTGAGCTTCCCAGGGGACATGGCGTCATTTGAGGAGGACAGGGTCAATGCCACTGTGTGGAAACTGCGGCCCACAGCTGCTCTCCAGGACCTGCACATCCACTCCCGGCAGGAGGTGGAGTCGCTAAGGCCAGGCTGGGGCGGGAAGTAGATGTGGGCTGGGCTGGGTGGGAGGTGGAGACCATCCCTGGGGTCTCCCAGGAAGGTCCTGGGCCCAGGGACAGCCTTTAATCAGTGGCCACCTCATAGCCCATAGGCAGAGCTGGCAGTTGGAGTCCCAGGCCACAGGACACCATAGGGGGGTGGTCTCTTGGGCCAGTTTGTCCTGGGCCCTAGGTGACAACCACTAGCCTCCCCAGCCATGGCTGGTGCCTAGGAAGGGAAGGTGAGGACAGAAGGACTGGCATGAGTCAGGCCTCCTGGAGAGGGGGCTCAGAGTGGCAACCTGCAGGAAGGGTGTGGTGCAGGGCGGATTTGGGGTCTGTGCTGCCCCGGGCCTTAAAGGGACCCTGGTGTGCAGGAGGCGCAGAGCGAGGTCCAGGAATATTCGGTGCTGCTGCCTCGCGCCCTCTTCCAGCAGACCAAAGGCCGGCGTGGTGAGGCTGCGAAGAGACTCCTCATGGTGGACTTCAGCAGCCAAGCCCTGTTCCAGGTACGGGGCCCTCACTCCCCTCGTGTTTCCATCCTCTCGCTCCCAGCCTGTCCTCGTAATGTCAGAAATTGGACTGCTGTATGCAGTCTCCTGGGAGAAGGCTAAGTGGTGGATGCTCTCACTAGTGTGAACGACTACATGCACGAGCATTGGTTACAGAGAGAGAATTGGGCTCTCAGTGCAATATGCTAGGAGAGGCAGTAGTCTAGAGAGACTACGGGATTTTCTGGACCTTTCTTCTCAGCCTCTTCCCCAACCCTATACATCTAGGACAGGAATTCCAGCCAGGTCTTGGGCGAGAAGGTCTTGGGGATCGTTGTGCAGAACACCAAAGTCACCAACCTGCCAGAGCCAGTGGTGCTCACCTTCCAGCACCAGCCCCAGCCGGTGAGTGTGAGCGGTGAACTGGGGGGGGTGGGGCCCTGCTGGACCAGGTCCTTGTCCCCACTAGCTCACCCTCAGTCCATCTCGCCTGTCCTTAATGAAAAAGTTGTTGGGCTGAAGGCCCCAGCCAGGCAGGTCTGGGTTGGAACCGGGACTCATGCTCCTCCTCTCCGGCCCCCACAGAAGAACGTGACCCTCCAGTGCGTATTCTGGGTTGAAGACCCGACATGTGAGTGAGGAGGGGCTTCTGGGTGGGCGAGTGTCTGGAGAAGTGGAGTTCTGGGGGGCAGGGGGCATGGGGCATCCTGGGGCGGCTTCCTGGAGACACTGGCTTGGAAGAGGGAGGGACTAGGGATCTCCGGGTGGAGAAAAGGCTGGCAAGAATGACCCCGTTGTGCACTGGGGGGCCCAGCAGGGTCCTGGGGGATAGGGCTGATGAGAATCCATGCTGTCCCTCTCAGTGAGAACCCCAGGGAGCTGGAGCAGCGCTGGGTGTGAGACCCTCCGGAGAGAAACGCAGACGTCCTGCCTCTGTAGCCACCTGACCTATTTTGCAGTTCTGATGGTGGGTGTCCTCCTCCCTGTAGCCACACACAGACTGAGTTTGTCGTGTGCCAGGCGGTTGCTTATCAACTCACTCATTAACTCACTTACTAAAACCCTCAAGGTAGCTCCTGTTGTCCCATGTTAAAGATCAGGAAACTGAGGCTCAGTGAGGCCAAGCAAGGTACCAAAGTCACACAGCTAGTTCAGGAAGGAGCTGCTCTGTAACAAACACTCTTGCTCCTTATTTCCAAATTTCTGCATGAGATAAAAATGCAGATTCCTGATCCTAACCTCTGGGAAGGCCCAGAGACGGTTTCTAATGCCTCCCTTACTGGAGGCAGAAGTCCGGCATGGAGGCCCCTATCGTGGGCTCCAGTATCTCCTAGAACTCTGAGGCTTCCTGTTCCAAATGCATGCTCCCAGAATCCCCTGGGCATAGGAAGCTCACTCTGTCCTGGGAAACCTGTCCCCATGTGGAATGTCATAGAAACATACAGATACTCATGATGGGGTCATAAGGTGAACATAAGTCAAAACTGCACTGAGCTGGGTGTGGTGGCTCAAGCCTGCAGTCCCAGCACTTGGGAGGCTGAGGCAGGTGGATTGCAAGATCCAGGCCAACCTGGGCTACACAGTGAGACCCTGTCTCAAAACAACAACAAAAAAGCCCAGGGTGTCAGTGGAGGCCCCTGGGGGAGTGGAACAGAGCTGAGGCTTGCTGTTGAGCATTGTGTGGTAGTCAGTGGCCAGGAAAAGACCCAAGTTCAAATGCCAAGTGCAGCTTCTACTGTGTGTGTGCCTGTGGCTGTTGCATGATTGTAAAGTGGGAAAATCCTAAGAAAAGCCAGTGTCAGGGGGACCCCCGTGTAATTCAGGCTGCACCAGAGCTGGGGTTCTCTGTGCCTCATGCACATGGTGGTGTAAGGACATCACAGACCCCTCCAGAAAAATGTGCTCAGTGGGGTGGCTTCTGGGCCCTGAGCCCAACAGGGCACACAGGTCTCTCTCCAGGGACACCCCTGTGTGGAGGTGACACACTGAAGCTACCTTGCTCCCGCCCAGGTGTCCTCTGCAGAGGTGAGCATGGAGCACAAGCACTATCTCACCCTCCTGACCTATGTGGGCTGTGTCATTTCTGCCCTCGCCTGCATCTCCACCATCACCGCCTACCTCTGCTCCAGGTAGGCTGGGCTGATTTGGGCCATTCCACCCTGCAGGCTGGGATCCCACAGGTGGATGTGGAGGCCTGCCTGATCCTGAAATGTGGGTGCAGTTGAGGGAGAGTGGGGGTGCTATCTGTTGACCCTGGGGCCCCATTTCATCCTCACATTTACAAACGTGAGTTAACTGGACCGTTGGCATAGCAATCAGTATTTCTGCAGACAGGAAATGCAGATGGAAGAGCATCAGGTGTGCGTGATAGTGTAATGGCACGGTGGGGGTGTAGCAATGGGCGTGGTAATAGGTACCTGTCCCCTGTGCCATGTTCCACTCTAAGTGCTTTACCCCACAACCACCCCATGAAGTCAGCTCAGAGAGGGTAGCTGACTTGCCTGAGGCCACACAGCAAGGAAGTGGCAAAGGTTGTCAGATGGTCAGTGGCCTAGATTGTAGTCCACATGCAGTCAGGCCCGGGGTCCGTGTGGGTAAAGGAGAGACACCCTGGTTCTAGGGATCCCCTGGGTGTTCCCTGTGGCCTAGACTAGAAGCAGGGCAGGGTAGAGCTGGGGACAAGTGTGTGCATGCCATGTGTGCTTGCAGCTGTGCGTGTGGTGGTGGTGACGAGGACGGACAGGTGATGGGCTTGGTGGGCGGGACATGTAACTGATTACAGAGGCACCCAATGACACTGCACAGGGGGTGTTAGGAAGTGACCTTCACCTGGCCCTGGGAGGGGCACCAGCCTCCCACTTCACAAGGACAGAACCAGCCCAAGGTGGTGGCATGAGTTGCGGGCAGGGCAGACTTGGGCCTGTGTTTTGCACCCTCTAGCGCCCCTTAGAATCTTGGCGGGGGTTGGGGGAACACGCTGACCTACAAACCTCTGCAGACAGACAGCTGCACCCACACTCACGGCCACGCAGCAGAAGCAGACATAGAGCGTGGGTGGTGTGGTTTCTCAGATGGCAAACTCCAGCCCCTCCTCCCCAGCTTGGGGACTCTGTCATAGTGGCCCATCTGTCTTCCTCTCTCTGGCTAAGGCTGTTGCTGGATGTGCCTGTGTGGCCTGAGCTGGGGTGGGGAGGCTGGGCACATGACAGGTGCACATGACATGAGGGTGGCCTGGCCGCAGCCACAGGAGTGGGATATTGAGTGTGCAGTGTGTGTGTGTGTGTGTGGCCTAGGAAGACTTCCTGGAGGAGGCGAGAGAGGAGAGTGGAGGATAGAGAAGGAGGAGGGAGGGGAAGAGAGGGGGAGTTGTTGCCACTGCTGCTGGCTCCTCTCTGCCTCCCTGCACTGGCTCACAGTGCCCGCCTGCCTGTGGTCAGCAGGAGGAAGCCCCGGGACTACACCATCAAAGTGCACATCAACCTGCTGGTGGCCGTCTTCCTGCTGGATATGAGCTTCATCCTCAGTGAGCCGGTGGCACTGATGGGCTCGGAAGCCGCCTGCCGTGCCAGCGCCATCTTCCTCCACTTCTCCCTGCTCGCCTGCCTGTCCTGGATGGGCCTCGAGGGCTACAACCTGTACCGCCTTGTCGTCGAGGTCTTCGGCACCTATGTGCCTGGCTACCTGCTCAAGCTGAGCATTGTGGGCTGGGGTGAGTGGGTGGGGAGAGGGGACCCCAGAGCCACTTCTCTCCCTCAGCTTCTGAAAGACCACACCTCTCCCTGACTTCCCTCACTGCTTCCTCCATCCACGTATCCTCAGGGATCCTTCACCTGGGCTGGGTCACTGTCCACTCTGGGAAGATAAAGGGGCGAGCCCGCCCCCAAGGCCCACTTTCAAATGCTCCTTGTGCTCCGAGAGGATTCTGCAGGCAGGCAGGGGTGCCACGCAGGCTGTGCAGGTTGTGTCCTCCTTAAGGACACTCAGCATGGAAAAGAGTAAGGTCGGAGTCAATCCTGTCCACTCTCCTAACCCACCTAGGCCACTGTGGCCCTGCCTGGGGATCCCTCTGGCAGGGTCTCTGTGACTTTGACATTTTGTTCCTAGCCAATGACAGCTCACCTCACCTGTGGCCCAGACCAGTCATGTCAGAGCTGCGCCCAGGGGCTCACGCCATGAGCTATTTTGGACATTGCACAGACCCTAGCCTCTAAGTCCCCCCAACCCTAGCTCACTGCTCTTCCTGTGACCCTCACTGGTCCTCCTCTTCGTGGACCCCCCCCAGTACCTTGAGCTGGCTGTGTCAGGCCCCCCGTGGGAGGTGGGGCCCCTCCAGGGAGCCTTCAGTCTCCACATGATGGACAAGGTCAAGGCCAGTGCAGACATCCTCTTGGCCAGAACTTACTGTCCCCTTGAACTCCCTCCCCACCATGTCTTCTCTGCATGTCCATCTGCTGTGATGTCCAGCCCCTCCACAGGGATCTTCAGGTCCCCAGGATAGCGAGGGGCCAGGGCAGGGCTGTGGGAGATCCTCTTTCTATGAGAAGGAGTGGAGAAGGGGTGGGTCAAGCTGGGTGGGGGGGTCTTCCCCTGGTGGAGCTAGGTAGACTCTGGGAGCCTTGGCCTGAGAGGGGGTCTTCCTGTCTGAGGGTGGCCACACAGGCTAGGCCATGGAGGGTGGAGACAAAGCACCTGTGTCCCTGTCCTCAGGCTTTCCCATCTTCCTGGTGACTCTGGTGGCACTGGTGGATGTGAACAACTATGGCCCCATCATCCTAGCGGTCCACAGGACTCCAGAGCGTGTCATCTACCCTTCCATGTGAGTGGCTGTGAGGTGGGGGCAGGAGTGTGGACCTCAGGGTGCTGGGACAGGGAGCTAGGTGCCCAGGCCAGGCCCTCAGCTGCTTGGCCAGAGCTAAGGGACATGGCAAAAAAAGACCTGAATCTGCCCCTCACTTGGTAGGTCCCTGTGCACAGGTCCTGGCTTTCTTTGAGACTGTTTCCCCATTTGTGGAGATGCATGGGTTGCAGTAGATCAGAGGCCAAGGCCCACAGTGTGGCCAATGCCAACTTACCCTGGCCTGTGGAGTCCAACAGCCAGGTTTTCTTGAGCTCCAGGCTGGGGAGGGATGTTTCCATTGGCTCAATGGTTTTGAAAATTTCAGCCCTTTGCATCAAACCTGGTTATTTTTGCCTCACCCTGGCACTATTGATATCATTATTGACCTCATGTTTTTCTTTAAATCATCTGACTGGTTAACTTAAGTGTGTTTTTAAAAAACTAATATCAACACCAGAAATGGAAAACAAGCAGCGCTTACCACAGACAGTGAGCAATCATGAAAACAAACGTGGTGACAGCAGGGGACATGCTGCTGCAACCTGGCCACACCTGAGCCCTCACACCCTCCCCCAGGTGCTGGATCCGTGACTCCCTGGTCAGCTACATCACCAACCTTGGCCTCTTCAGCCTGGTGTTTCTGTTCAACCTGGCCATGCTGGGTACCATGGTGGTGCAGGTCCTGCGGCTGCGCCCACATAACCAGAAGTGGCCCCACGTGCTGACCCTGCTGGGCCTCAGCCTGGTGCTGGGCCTGCCCTGGGCCTTGGTCTTCTTCTCCTTTGCTTCTGGCACCTTCCAGCTCGTTGTCCTCTACCTCTTCAGCATCATCACATCCTTCCAAGGTAGGCATGGAAAAGAGCCCATGCCTGGCCGGCCAGGTTTCCCTTCTTGTGGGGAGTGGATTATGAGAAGCCTGTGAGAACCTGACATAAGCACAGTTGTGCTCAATAGCACAACTATAATAGCAGGTTGAGTTTGGCTCAGCCCCAGCTGCAGAAGGGGGCAAAGGCAAACTGTAGCACAGCTGCTTTTCCTAAGTTGTTTACGTTCAGAGAAGTAGGAGTGCAGGTTTCCCTTGTTACAATGTCACACCCTTCCCTGAGAACTGTTGTTCCACCTCCTTGTTTAACACTGGACATAAAAGACTCCCTGAAGGAGGACATGGGGGTTTTTTGATGGGGGTTGATTGATTGGTGGGCTGCTGCATTATGCTAGAGATTAGAGGAAACATGGGACAATGCAAGTCTGAGGGCCAAGACTCTGAGAGATTATGCTAAAGAAAAGCTAAAGAAAACATAGGATGGTGCGAGTCTAAGGAAAGAGACTAAGGAACAGAAAAGAAGAAAGGCTTCAGAAGCAAGGTTTTAAAGAATGAGAAAAGAAGCAAAGTAAAAGAGGAGTTATAGAGAAAAGAGGCAATGAGGCTGCTGTGTGTCTCCATCCGAGTGCCCAGCACACCTGGCCCCAACTTTCTGTGTGTCTGTCTTCTATTGTTTGTCCTTTCTGCCTCTCCAGTTGCCCCCAGTTATGTCAGGAGAACAAGAGCTTGTGGGAAAGCTCTCCAGGCTTTCTCTGAGCCTCAGTCTTCCCATTTCAAAAAATGGGGATATCCAGGCCAAGGTCGACAAGTCTTTATTGATCACATCCTCTGTGCAGGCTCCGTGCTGAGCCCTGGGGCTGCATTTTGAGCCACTAGTTCAGTCTTCATGGTGGCAAGTGAGCATGCTGTCATCCAAGATGATCTCAGAGAGTAGGGACATCTGAGTAGTCATTGTCACATACAGTGCCTGGGCTGGGGGGATTCTTTAGGAAGGATGCCCTGGGGCCTCTCTGTACAGGAGGTATTTGAGGGCAGCAGGTAGATACAGCTATGAGAAGATCTAGTCTGTGTGGTGCATGGACCAGCAATATCAGTGCGTTAGGGACCTGCTGGAGCACAGAACGTGGTCCGCTCGGAGGTGCTGATCTGATCTGTATCTTAACAAGACGCCCAGGGCATGCAGATCACAGATGAAGGAGCCCTGGTCTAGGAAAGGAGCTTCAGGCAGAGGGAGAGGCAAGAGCAAAGGCCCTGAGGTTGGAACCACTTGTATGTCAGGAGGGTGGTGAGGAGGAGCATGGTTAACGGGTAGACTTTAGAGGTAGAGGGGAGGATCACTGGGGGACCTGATCTGAGGCCAATAGGGTCCTACCTGCATCCCCACACCCAGGGCCCCGACTCAGACATGCATGTGCATGTGAGCGCACACACCTCCATTCTGAGCCATGATAACTAGAGGCATGTCCAGACTGGAAATCACACAGGGTTGCGAGGCCAGCTTCCCACACGGGGTCATGGTGGGATGGGAGTTGGAGCCAGGGGAGAAGCTACCAAATTCCACTTGCTCAGAGTCTTCTCACCTGTGAGAGGAAGGGGGCTCTGAGGATTACGAGTGATGCCCACATATTCACATGCACGCTTACTGACACTTAATAAGTCCCACTACTGCGTATTGGCCGCTTAAAGTGGCGGCTTCAGGATCTGAGCATGGTTGGGCTCCTGGTGGGCAGAGCTGAGGCAGGTGACTGGGAGGGGAGGGGGGCCTGGTAGCCTGCCTGCCTGCTTGCCCCATGCCCTGCTCACCTATGCACCTCACCTTGCTGCTTGCAGGGTTCCTCATCTTCCTCTGGTACTGGTCCATGCGGCTGCAGGCCCAGGGCGGCCCTTGCCCTCTGAAGAACAGTTCGGACAGCGCCAGGCTCCCCATCAGCTCCGGCAGCACCTCGTCCAGTCGTGCCTAGGCTGCTGGCACAGCCTCGCTGTGTGAGGGCGCAGAGACGCCACCCTCCTTCACCACCTGTGCCCACCCCGCCACTGGGCCCAGCTCTTGCTGGGCAGTAGCAGACTTGATGGATGGGGCTGTTACCATGGTAGCCAGATACCAGCCTAGCCTCGAGGACCACTTGGTTCCCAGGTCCAGCTCCCAAGGGCTCAGGAGTACACTGCCATGCTGGCTTGTGGGGCTGTCCCCACAGCTCTCCCAGCCTGGGGATGAGGCCTTGTCTTTCCTGACCACCCCGAGCCCAGTCTTTGTTGCTGGGCATTGGGACCCTCAGGCCCTTGGACCTTGGTGGCCTGGCATATCCTTAGCCCTGTGCCCAGGACCTAGCTGCCCAGGATATAACTGCTCTGTCCCTGTGGTCACCATGGAGTGCTCTGCAGCCCCTGTTCTTTTACCTGAGGCTGGCAGCACAGGCAGATGGGGCTGGGCAGTGCCAGAGCCAGAGGCCTGCAGGAGGTGAGGACCCAGAGCACAGCAGCTCACCTACCTCCAAGCCCAGCAAACCTGCTGCCCCCAGACATCCCTTCCCTGCTCCTGTTCGAGTTGTCCCTGCGCTCCACCCACAGCAGGCCCCAGTTCCAATGCTGTCATTGTGGTAGTGGTTCCCAGTAGCTTCTTGGTGCTTGGCTGTAAACTTTCATCCATTGCACAGGTCTTGGCCTATCCCTGCCACGGGCGTAGTGCAGAAGCCTGGGCTGGACCAGGTCCAGCTGTCCATCTGGGCCTCTCTCTGAGCTGTCTTGTCCTTGTTCACATGTTGGAGGGGTCTTCTGTGACCAGAACTGTGGGATGTGGCAGTCTGTCCTTATTTCATCCCAGCACTGAAAAACAGAAACTTCCTCCTCTGCCGAAACTGGAGCCAACATTTGCCTAAGGGGCCGTTTCAAATGCCTACAGATAGCCCTGGGGACACTTAGCTAGTGAACTCTGTCCAGAAAACACAGATCATTTGCCAGCCTGTGCAGTGGTGGTGACACAGATGATCAGACCTTCTAGTTCTCCCCATGAACTCTCAGACAAGCTCTTAGGACTATAGGCACAGGGTCGGAGAGCCTGGCTGGGAATCTAGGAAGCTTTCCTGCAGGAGGCAGCATTTGATCTTGATCTCAGCCTTCAAGATGGGGAGGATGTTTCTTTTTAAGCAACAATTAATTCTTTTTTTGTTTGTTTGTTTTGAGACAGGGTCTCACCACGCAGCCTAGGCTGAGCTTGAACTCTTGATCTTCCCGCCTCAGCCTCCCGAGTGCTGGGATTGCAGGCATGCACCACCATCCCTACCATCCTTTTGTCTTTTGATATTAAAAGTACATGTTTGTTGTAGAGGATCTGGAAACTGTAGAAGATTGTCAAGGAGAAAAATAAAAATTGGCTGTTGTCACCTAACAAACCAGTGCAAACATATTGGAGTGTTTCCTTCTGACTTTTCCTGTGTATCTATTTAAACGCACCCTGGGTGCCTCAGGGCCAATCAGAAAATGGGGAAGAAATGGGAAAAAATAAACTTCTGGAACCCTTATCAACCAGGCAAACAGGAGGAGGAATGACAAGCTGCTGTTGTGTGTGAGGTGTGATCTGTGGTTGAATGCTGAGGGGGGCAGCTGCTAGTCAGCTCCAGCTGGGTACAGCTTACAGGAAGAAATCCAGATTGGGGTGTAAAATTCACTGATTTAAAAATTTTGGAAAATCTCCAAATTTCTCTGGCTAAAGAAATCACAATTGAGGTCTGAATTCAGCCCTGCCTGGTCACGTGGTGACCTGTTTGAAGCAGGTAAGCTGCAAGAATGAAATGACTGGATTTTTCTCCCAGCTCTGCCTTTAGCCTTGTTCCACCAAATCTCTCATCACTATCCTGTGACACAGGTTAGGCAGCTTTTTTAGGTTCTGTTCCCTCACCCATACTCAGATCATACTTGATCATTGCTGTTTGTATTCAGGTATTAAAATTCCACTGCAGAGCAAGCATGATAGTGCATGGCTATAATCCCAGTACTTGGGAGGTAGAGGCAGGAAAATCATGAGTTGTCAAACAACAAAAAACTTAATCAAATTCAGTGGAATTTTGTAGTCAGAGCCCAGGCCCAGGTCCACCTGACACTTTCTTCCCTCTGCTCTCTTCTTCCTGGTTGCCCCCGGGGAGCCTGGCAGGGAAAGGGGACAGGGGTTCGGGGTGAGGGGAAGCCCGCCTTGGCACCCCTGGGGTTGACTGGCAATGCCCACAGCAGGGCACAAATATGGGATCTTTGAGGACCTGCAGGGGCTCAGCATGTGAAAGCCCCTGTGCCCTGCCACTCTCCCAAGCCCTGCTCCTTCTGGCAGCCTCTACTCCTACCTTTCTCCAGATGTGGGGTTCTTATGCTCCTACTCCGAGGACAGAGCTAAACTTTCCTATCCCTCCCCTCCACCCCACAGTGTCCTGAGTAGGGAAGCAGGCTCAGAGCCAGCCTGTCCTTCCAGGCCTCTCCTCTCAGGGTCTCAGAGCCCCAATGCCGGGTGAAGCACCCCTTCCCCATCCTCAGCCCTCTACCCCAGGCAGAATCCCTTCACACAAATTCTCTCTCTAAACATCCCTCTCTTAAACATCTGCTGACTCAGGCAGTGGGAAATAGTCTTGGGTTGGGTCCATCTTCCTAATAGGCCTTGCATAGGTACCTGACAGCTGGGTGGGCTCCTTTGACTTGGGGTTCTTCCTGGACTGCCGGGCAATAGGTGACAAGGGCAGCACAGGGTGAGGGGTGTTTCTGGAAACATTCCCTGGCAGGGAATGATTGGGGTAGCCAGGGGTGATTGCTTTCCGCATCTGACTAGAGGGTTTGAAGTCTTGCCCGCCTAGAGCCACTGGGACAAGCTGGGGGTAGAAGGTAGCAGAAGGGGAAACTGAAATTCTGTAGGCCCTGGGATTTAGGAGTTGTGGTCTCGAGGTCTTCCAGAGAAGGGCTGTAGGTGAGGTGGCCTTCCTGGCCTTGTCCGACCCTCTCCTGCCACCCCCCAGGTGTAGATGGGAAGACCTTCTTCACAGGCTGGCATCCATGAGCCTCCTGATGCCAGGGCAGGGCTCCAGGGTGGGTCTAGCACGTCAACACCCACCATCTCACCTCATCCTTGTCCTTGTTCTCATTCTGCCCCCGGCTGGGAGGGCGGCCTGTAGATTGACCAGGGGAGGGCTGGCTGGAGGAAGGTCAGGCCCAATGGTTCCCATCAGAGGAAGTCTTGGGGCTCAGGAACTCCTGGGTTCTGACCTGTTGCTCCGTGCCTCCCATAGCCCGTGAGTGACATTCCTGGCTCGCCTCCCTCAGACCCAGAGGGCCCAGTAGGGGACCATGGAGGGGAAGGGCAAATAGAGGCCATCTCGGGCTTGATGGACCCCAAGGTAGAGCAGGACTAATTTAGGCCCTGTAGGCTTGACGGAGGATGATGGTGACAGACCAGGCACCTTCTGGCAGGATGCTCATTGTCTTTCGATCTCCAAGTGGCCGTGGGCCCACACCAAGGGCCTGGCCTCATCCATGGCCGCCCACCCCTTCCCTCATACCAAAGCCTGTGTGTGTCTGTTGCCCCCACTTCCTGCCTGGGCCAGTAGTGACTAGCTGGAGGATGGTGACAACAGTTTCACAGTACTGATTAACAACAAATGATAGTGGAAACAATGCCCCTCCCCTACCAGGCAACCCCACACACAGCATCTCATGAGTCTGTCCCACGCCTCATGAGAGGCCACAAGCGACAGACAGTTCACCCAGGGTCACCCAGCCAGGAAGTGACCAAGACGGATAGCAACCCAGGCCTGACCACTTCCCAGGCCTGTGCTCCTGTCCCCACACCATCTGTCTCCCTGTCTTTCCTGTTATCCATCTGTTGGGGTGGGTGGGTGCCTTGCAGTCCAGGGGTCAGCTCCTTTCTCTTCCCAGGCCCCTAGGCAGGCTTGCCTTCTAGCCTTGTTCAAACTAAGGGCACCACCCATGGCTTTGACCTCATTCCTATGGCCAGGCTCTGGGCCTGGCTACTTCAGGTCTCATCAAATCCTCACACAGCCCAGGGAAGGGGCCAGGCTGTTGGTGCTTACACAAGCTTGGAAGAGGAGGTGTTGACTGGGTGTGCCTCCTCCAAAGCCTAGGCTAGCCACTAGTCCCCAGGGCTGCTGTGAGGCAGAGGCCCTGTGGACACCAAGTCCCAGCCCTCCAGTGCCCACCCAGCAGGACAGAGCTATGGGAGCTCATCCCCCGGTGGGTAGGCAAGGCTCAGTGCACCGCCCAGTTCCCCATACCTGCCTTTCACAACCCAACCGATGGCGCCATTAAGCAGGAAGGATGAGAAAGAGGCCACAGGAAGCAGTGGTGGGGCGTGCAGACAGAAGACAGAGCAACTGGACAGAACCTGGGACCAGGGGACCAGATAGCCACAGGGCTCCACAGGCCACAGATGGCGACGCCCAGGGGGCTGGGGACCCTGTTCCTTCTGCTGCTGGCCTCAGGTGAGTGTTGGCTCCTCACCCCTCCTGCTGAGCCTGGGAGACCCTGTGCTGCAGAGGGACCTGGGCAGGGTGGGTTGAGAGCCAGGGATGGGGACAGGGGCAGGAGATCAGGAGTTGGGATGTCTGGAATGTGTTCTCTAAGGAGTCCAGCATGGCGCCTCAGCACCCCGTCTAGCCTTGATCTTCTGGGCCACTCCAGGTTTCCTTTTTCTCTCCATTGTGCCCATAGCTGGGGAAGCCAGGGGCGGCTCCCGCACATCCTGATTGTGGCTACCCGTGGGGTGGGTGGGTTGGGTGAGCTATTCAGCTGGCCTCTGGGCTCTGGGGAAGGGGTTGGGGGCCTCTGGAAGCTGAGGCCAGGCCAGGTTTGCACTTGGTCCACCCGTACACCCCACCCCTCGTGGGGTCCCTGTCCCTGTCTCAGGGATGGCCCCTTCGTCCACAGTGACAGGAGCCAGGCCTGGACTACTCCTGCCTTCTACCCTCTGGTCTCACATACAGGCCTAACCTTGCCCTTGCCACCCTCTGTCCCAGAACAGATGGCCACCACCCCTGGCCTACCTGGCCAGCTCTGTGCCTTTCTTGGCTGCTGGGTGGTGGTTCTGTGGTCCCCTCAGGATGGGCAAGGTGCTCCTATATCCGTGCCTATGACTCCTCCTGTCTGCTGTACTGTCAGTGAGGGGCCTGCGTCCATCTCCCTGCATCTGTCTATATATGGTAACAGGACTTTGGCTACATGGATCAACCTCTGTGGGCTTCCAAGAGCACTCTTCTCTTCAGATGTTGGGCAGAGTTCAGTGTCTGGCTCAAAATGGTGAAAAATGGCAATGCTGTCCTCATGGTTTGGGGAGACCATGAGGGTGGAGCTGGCCGTCACCTATCAGACAGCCCTCATGGATTGATGGACTTAGTGATGGAGACTGACCATTACGGATCTCAGTGGGCACCTTCAGGACTCTGAGACTTCACAACAGTTGTCACTTGCTAGTTGGGCCTTCAAGGCTCCTCCGTTGGTGAGGTGGATGCTCTGGGTTGGGTGAAGCACCAGTCGTTTGATGGATGTAGGGAGCTTGGCAGGTTTCTATTGGGAGGTGACACCGCCCTGTGGACATGTATGGGGTTGTTGCCATTTGTCCATTTGCCATTCTTCACTCATAACACACTGTGGGCCAGGCCCTGTGCTGGTGCCTTATGGCCCCTGACCCCCAAAGGCTCAGTCTACAGAGTGACAGGAGTATTGCATGCTGGGGGCAAGGTGGGGGCTATGTATTTATGATTGATCAGGGCGCAGATGCACAGAGGTGCTAAGATGCAGGCAGCTCCGTACCAGGACCTCTCCAGGCCACAAGGACAGCACTGCCAGACATTGAACCCTGCCCCTCACTTAGTCAGCTCTCAGGACACTGAACCTTGGCTGCAGGAGAGAAGGGGGCCCCTGGTGAGAGGAAGGGAAGGGCTGAGGAGCAGAGGAGAGGGGGTAAAGGGGCAGATATCCACTCTGCCCTGCTCAGCCCTGACCTCCAGCCCACGCCTCACCTGCTACACCCTCCCGATGTACCGGAGGAGACAGCTGGGGACACAGATGTGGACTAGGTCAGGGTTATCTCACAGGCTGGGGGTCTCCTTGTCTGGGCCAAATGCTTCCAACATCTTAAAAAATAATCAGGAGAAAGATGTGTAACCATCTTTGTGCTGGGTCCTTACCAAGAGCCGTACATGGGTGATCCGTAGCTCACAGCAGGACAGGATGGGAGCTCTTCCTCACCACCCTGGTGCCACCTGTCCCTACCTCTAGGGCAGACAGCCAAGCAACAAGGAGACTGGCACCTCCTCTCCAGCTCATAATTTCCACCTGGCCCCTCCCTCTTCCCTCTGTCTTTTTTTTTTTTCTTCCTCCTCCTTCAATCATTTATCTAAAATGATGTGAACATGGACCTGCTCATCTAGCACCCGCGTTTTCTTATCATACCATGCGTCATAAACAAGCTAATGGAAATTCAAGGCTCCTTTATAGGCTTACTTCAACATCATTGTCATGTACAGATCTGATTATTATAAAATCCACTCTGATAGCTTATTTTCTTAGCCTCTGTCTGCACTAACTTTGTTCTGCCATTACCTCTGCTGTGATTTTCTCTTATTTGATTTTCTCAGCAGTACTGGAGGTTGAGTTCTGCTATGCAGGTGCTCTGCACTTCAGCCTCTCTGCCAGTCCTGTGCATTTTACTTTTTGTCCTAATGATTAAAAATGAGCTATTTTCTTTGAATTGAAAGCACTGTTATGCCTGATTTAAAAAAAATCAAACACCGGAGAAGGGAATTAAAAGTAGAAAGCAAATCCCCCTTGCCCGCCTGGCTCCCAGGGTGCTACCCACCCCAGAGTGGCTCTGTTCGCAGTGACTGGTGGGCCAGCCTGAACGGTGGACGTGCAGTGTCCAGTCCCTTCCCACCCCTGAGAGCGTGAAGGGTATGAAGGAGCAGTTCTTAGGAAAAGATGTCAAAGTGTCCAGCAAAGACACTCAGAGACATTCCTTACATCAAATGTGACTCCATTTGGCTTTCAGACTGACAAAAATGTGAAGTGTGGCACTTCACCCGCTTGTAAGCACGCGGGTTCACGGTCACTCTCGCTGCTTTCGGTGCGGTGTATATAGGCACACGTTTGATTTTTTCTTGGCAGTACTAGAAGTTGAATGCAGAGCCCCGAGCTTGCAGGGCAGGCACTCTACCACTTGAGGCATGCCCCAGACCTTTTGCTTTACTTTGTTTTTCAGATCGGGTCTTACGCTTTTGCCCAGGCTGGCCTCAGACTGTAATCTTACCGTCTCCTCTTCCTGAGTAGCTAGGACTACAGGAGTACACCAATGTGCCCCACCGGGTATACCTTTTTTGAAAGGAAATTCAATAATGCTTAGCAATGCTTATTTATGTATTTATTTTTGGTGTTAAGGATGGAACCCAGGGACTCACACCTGCTATATATGCTCTCTATCTTTTTCTTTTTTGTAGTGCTGATGATCCACTCAGGGTCTTACACATGCTAGGCAAATGCTCTGCCAGTAAGCTATACTGCCGAATATACCCGGCAACTTAAAATATATATACACACATTAGCTCTAATTTGCTAATGAGAAGGTTGAGCCTCAGAGAGTTGAAGCAGCCTGCCTAAGGACACACAGCTAGGACCCAAAGCTTCCACTCCATGCCCTGTGTCCCTGTGCAAGGGACCTGAACTTGAGTGACAAAAGCTGTTGTCTAGCACGGGGGCAGCTTCCAGCTAACTGGTGCCCTTGCTTGAGTCATTACAGACCATGGTTTGCTGCCTTCTATACCTACCTCAGAAGGTAACTGCGACAGTTGCATTGTGGCTGTGGATGCTGACGCAAAACAGGACAGAATTCATGCAAGAGTTACACTGTCAGGCTGCAGTCACAAGGGCTTTGGAGAGTTTGATATGGAACAGCTGCAGAAAGCCAGGCGGACTCCCTGGAAGGAGGTGGAAAAGGAATAATAGCATTAAAATAAGAAACCTTTTGCTGAGCACTGACATAACCTACAGAATCATGTGCCATGCTTTCCCTAAGTCACGCCACCAGCTCTGTGAGGAGGGGTGCCTCCTTTCACCCAGGAAACCGAGGCTCAGGGAGGATGGATTCCCGCTCACGTGTGGATGGAGGCAACTGGGATCCAGGTCCCCCCCCCATACTTGCTGTTCCTCCCACTCTGCCCATTCACACCCTGCATCCTGCCTTAGGTGAGGGGAAATCCCTCGAAATGCCCAGAGATGTCTGCCTGCTCTCCGGCGGGTACCAGTATGACGACCCCTACTACGTGACAGACATTGCAAACTGCTTCGCCAAGTGCAGGCAGCAGGGAAACCACTCCTGCAACGTCGGACGCTTGCAGAGGTGAGGGGTCCTCTGGAAAGGGGAGGGAATCTGGGGCTCCCACATGGGGTGAGATTATTAGGAAGAGAGGGAGCCATCTGCCCATGGCCCCAGAAAATGCTCTTGCTCTCTTCCCCTTCCACCTTATTTCACTCCCCGCCTCCCCCGCCCCCCCCAACACACACACGCACACACACACACACGTTCTCCTGACCCAAAGCCGTACCCCTGGCAATCAGGGGCCTTTCTGGCCTAAGGGACACAGGTGAGCCTACTATCTCTGCCCTTGGAGAGACAGTCATGGACCCAAACAATGATTACTGCAGAGTGTGATTGGACAGAAGGGTGACAAAGTGCCAGGTTAGTCCACAGGAAAGAATTCTGCCAAGGCTTCACCAAGGAGGCAACCCATGGAAGGGCTTTGACGAATACATAGGAGTTTTCCAGTTGGATGCAGGCAATGGAGGGTGATAGAGCCTCAGAACTTCAGCTTGTGGGAGGAGAATTATAATGCTTGGAACTGTGAGAGGACAAATTCCTGGGACAGAGGTAACAATGACAAGTGGAGACAGATGGGGGACAGGGCTAGAAATATAAGCAGGTACTAAGGGAAGGGCGGTATACATTGACCAATGGAAGGGGAAGCAGGGAAATTACGTATTTGAAGGCCAGGAGGAATGTAATCAACTTTGCACTTTAGAAAGATTGCTCTGGCATTCGGGAGGGACACGGGTGGCGATGAGGAGGACCGGTCATGGGGTGGGACAAAATAGCCAATGCTATTGAGAGCAGCTGAACTGACACCAGCAGCCATAGTCAGCTCTGGACAGACGGATGGACGGGGGAGCTAGGATCAAGAGGCTGATCTGATGTCAGGGGAGAGGAGGACTCAGGATAGGGCATCTTCAAGTCTGCCCCCAAATATCTGCCTTTCACCCCCACCCTTGCTCCTGATCAAAGCGGCCCCGTACTCCTGGGATGCTCACACCATTGATACGCAGTAAGTATTTGCTGAAGGAGTGAATGACAACCCTGTGCGCCCGGCATTGCTGTTAGGACAGAGATCTGATTGAACTGCGTTCTTTGGGTGGCCTGAAAATGCTCTGGCCCCACCTGTGGTGGCTCCAGGCTCCTTAGCACCTGAAGCTGCACCGGGGCTTCTCTGCGTGCCTTACAGTGGGGACTAGTGTCCTGGGACCAGAAGACACGGGTTCTGTTCCCAGCTCTGTCCCTTCCCAGCATGTCGGGTGCCTGGACTTTTTTTTTTTTTCAGTACTGGGACTTGAGCTCAGGGCCTGTGATTTGATCCATTCCACCAGCCCTTTTTTTTGTGAAGGGTTTTGTTGAGATAGGGTCTCACAAACTATTTGCCCCGGGCTGGCTTTCAACCACAATCCTCCTGATCAGCTAAGATTACAGGCGTGAGCCATCGGCACCTGCCTTTATCCTTTTTATCTGGCTAACAACCCTATGAGGTAGGTCCTATTGTTAGCCATTTTCAGATGAGAGAAGTAAGGCTTCCCAAGATTAAATAACCTGCCCAGATTTACACACTGGTGAGTAGCGAAATCCAACACAAGCCAAGCCTAGAAGGGGAGACACATATATAATCCAAACTGGACTAGACTGCCAGGGCTCAAGAGCTGTGTCCGGCTTTGGACAGGTTCTCTTTCAATTTGCCCATCTGTAAAATGGGACCAAAGTCAGTCACACTCAGCCATACAATGAGGGTAAGAGTTAAGTACGTAATTCAGACCTCTGCCTGTTACCACCGCCCGTCATCAGCACTGTCATTTTGTTTCTACTCGAGAGCCCTTGCTCTTGACCTCTGTCAGTGCTTCCTTTTAGGGTTGCTGTAGAGGGAATGAGATAAAACACATATGAGTCCTTAGTAGGGCTGGGGTGTATCTCAGTGGTAGAGTGCTTGCCAAGCATGTGCAAGGCCCTGGGTTTGATCCCCAGCACCTCAATAAAAATAAATAAATAAATAAGTCATTAGTAAGTAGTAGTAGTTTGACAACTTCCAGTTATAAAAGTCATACAAATTGACCATAAAATACTTGGAACATAGCTATGGAAAGAAAAATGAAAAAATTTTCTTGCTCTCACCATCAACAGACAGCTTCATTTTAGTGGCTTCTTTTTAGCCTCTATGTCACATATAACTCAACTCTTTATCCACTCAGTGTTGTTGATGGCTTGTACAAACAGTGTTGCTCTCATTTTCTTTTCTTTCTTTTTTTTTTTTAAGCAGTACTGGGTTCTGGGTTTTGAACTCAGGGCCTCATGCTTGTTAGGCAAGCACTCTAGCACCTGGTCACTCCACCAGTCCTTTTGTTTATTTTTCAGATAGGGTCTCCCACTTTTGCTTGGGTTAGCCTTGAACCATCCATGATTCTCCCAGTCTCCTCCTCTTTTGGATTACAAGCGTGAGCCACTGTGCCTGGTCTGCTGTGAATACTGTGAATATTCTCATCACGTATTTGGTGCATACTTTTGGGGGGGGGGCAGTATTGCGTTTTGGACTCCAGGCTTCGTGCTTGCCAGGGAGGCACTTCTACCGCTTGAGCCACGCTGCCAGCCCCACATACATATTCTGCAAGGCCTGTTCCTAGGCGTGGAATTGGTGAGCCTTAGGACAGACAATCCATGATTGACCTCAGTAGAAACTGCCCAGCGTTTTGCCAAAGTGGTTGGATCAAGTTTCACTCTCATGAGCAGGTTATAATGAGGTATTTCCAATTGCCTCACAGCCTCTGTCAGCACTCAGTATTGTCTGCTTTCCCCTTTAGTCATTCTGGCAGGTTTGTAGAGTTTCTCACAATGATTTTAATTACATAGTCCTCATGACTCTGAAGTTTCACACCTTTCATATGTTTATTTGTCATCTTGATATTCTCTGTGAAATGCCCTCTTAACCCTTTTGCTCATTGTTCTATGAAATTGTTTGAATTTTTATTAGTGATTTCTGGGGGCTCTTTATATGCTCCGGATATGTGTCTTTGCAAATAGATACATTGTGAATATATTCTTCCTCACCATGGGTTTCCTGTTCATTTCTTGTGCTGTCTTTTGACTAAGGATGAAAGTTCTTAATTTTGGTGTAGACCATTGATCAGGTTTTTGTTTTTATCTTTGATAGTACTAAGGTTTGAATGGAAGGCTTCATGCTTGCTAGCCAGGTGCTGAATCACTTGAGCCACACCACCAGTCCTTTCTTGCATTGGTATTTTTGAGATAGGGTCTCGCTGTATGCCCAAGCTGGCCTGGACCTGATCCTCCTATTTGTGCTTCCCCATGTACGTGGGATGGCAGGCACTTGCCACTGTGCCCAGTCATTGATTGACATAGAGTCTCCGACTTTTTGCTTGGTTGGACCTCAAGCTGCAGTCCTCCCGACCTCCGCCTCCCAAGTAGCTCAGAGTACAGGTGTGACCCACCATGCCTGGCCTTGATCAGATTTTTGCTGTGTGTTGTTTGAGAGTATTTTTCCTACCCCAAGGATGTGAAGATGTTCTTCTGTTTCCTTCTGAAAGCTTTCTTGCTTTCTCTCTCACTTTTATATCCACGTCCCCTAAAAGAAAGCAACAGACTGTGGTGCCTCTACTCTGCTTCTCAGAGGCTGTCAGTTTAGCTCATTGCTCTCACACCATGTGTTTTCAGAATTCTAAAATTGTACAGAGGAGAAATTGGCTGTGTACTTAAGGCCCTTCAAGTGCCTGATTCTGTTTCTTCTCCCCCACCCCCAACAACCACAGAGACCACAGATGCCCTGCTGGGGCTTTGCAGATGTCCTGCATCTGTCTGAGGCCAACACCTCCTCATCCCCAGCCACAGGGAACCACCAATCTGCTTTCTATGCTATCAAGTTGTCTGTTCTGGCCATTTTATGGAATGGCCTTTTGAGTCTGGCTTCCTTCACTTAGCCTGTTGTTGAGGCTCATTCATGCTGTGACAAGCAGGCTACTTTTTGTGATCAGAAGTGACTTTCATCCAGGCGAAACAAATCCTTCATCTTTCCGCAAATGTCCCCAGGAAAAAAGTGACTGCAGATTTCCATCTCTCACTCTGCAGAATGGCAGTCCCTAGTCCTCCCTGTCCTTACAACCCTCTGATATCTGTAAGCAAATTATTTTTGTACGATATCTAGCTTCACTAGAAAGATCAAATAGAAATATTGATCTATCACAAATGACTTATCCCTACCTGGAAGTAGCAGTCCAAAGTCTTAATTTTTACCAAAAAAAAAAAAAAAAAAGTGCGGCCTGATGAAATTTATATACACACCCTTTAATCACTACCCACATAATGCTAAAAAATATTTCTAGCCTCACAGACAGCCCCTCTTGCTCCTTTCCAAAAATAACACCTCATCATGCTGACCCTGGCGTGATGGTTAATCTAGACTATCAACCAGGCTGGATTGAGAGACACCCAGGAGATCAGTAAAGCACACCTCTGGGGGGGTCTGTGCAGGCGTTTCCAGTGAGGATCAGAGCAGGAGGGCTCTGACTTAATTGGTGGATTAATCCCTTGGTGGATTCCAATTCTGAATAGGCAATTGAAGTGGTGGAATGTGGAAAGTGGGCCTGGTTAGAAGAAGTGGGTCACCAGAGGGCGTGTCCTTTGAAAGGACACCTTTTGTCCCTGGTCCCTTCCTGTTACTAGGCTTCCTGCTTCCTGGCTGCCACGAGGTGATCATTCTCCACCACTGTGCTCACCACCGTGAAGTGCTATGTAACGACGGCCCAGAAATAATGGAGCTGCCAACCAGGGACTGAAACCTCTGAAACCATGAGTCAAAACAAACCTTTCCTCCTTTTAAATGGTTTCTCTCAGATATTTGTCACAGTGACCAAAAAATCTGACTAACATACATGGTGACTACAGTCTCCTCATGGTAACCACTATTCTACCAATCAAATATTTAATTAGTTTTACCTGTTCTTGAGCCACACATGAATTAGTGCATACTCTTGTGTCTGTCTCTTCCTCTCATCAATATGCTCGTGATATTCATCTTTTTTTGTCTGTAGCAACAGTTTGTAATTGTGATAGCTGTATAGTATTCCACAACATGAATATATCACTATTTACCATCTCCTGTACTGTGGGTGGGATTTTCAGTTTTCTCTGGGCTATGCTAATTATGAATAAAGCTGCCATGAACACTTCTGCATGTATTTTCATGGACCTATACACTCATTTCTCTTGAGTCAATACCTAGGAGTGGAATTTCTCTCACAGATAGGTATATAATTTGATTTAGGTAAGTACCACCGAATTTTCCATGGTGGGAATATCAATTCATACTCCATACATTCTCATACATGAGAATTCCAGCTTCCCACTTCCTTGTGATACTTGGTATTATCAGTCTTGAAATTTTGGCCCCTGGTAAGTTTATAGTTGTATTTCACTTATTTTTGCTAATTTTGATATCCTTATTGGGGTACAACTTATATATCAACCAATCTATGCATTGCTTGAATACAGTTCAGTAGTTTTTAATATGCTTACGCAGTGTGTGAAGCCATTCTTACAATCATTGTAGAGCACATCCACCCTTCTCAAAGTAACCACAGGTCTGTTTGCATCAATTCCTGCTCCCACACTCAGCCACAACCAACCACTGGCCAGCTTCTTCCTCCACAGGTCTGCCTTTTCCAAACCCTTTCCATAAAGAGAGCCATACAACGTGAGTATTTGAGTCTAGTGTCCTTCATCTAATGGGTTTCATTCCCATTTTAGCAGGTAACATTCCATTGTACATACTACATGATGTTTATTCATGACCAGTTGGTGGACATCTGAATTGGGTCAGGTACTTGGTTATTGCAAGCAATGCTATGAACATTTGAATCAAGTCCCTGTGGACATGTGTTTTCATTTCTTTGGGGTAGATATGTGGGAATGAAATGCTGGGCTATCTCCTAGGTCTATGTCTGGCTTCATGAAAGCCTGTCAGATGATATTTCAGAATGGCTGGATCATTTAATTGCTCATCAAGAATGTAAGAAGGCTCTAGTCTCAACACAGCCTTGCAATATTGTCAGTCTTTTTAGTTACAGCCATTCTGGTGAGTATGTAGGGATATGGCTCTGTGATTTTAATTTGCATTTCATGAATAAGTAATGAAGCTGGGCATCTTTGCACATGCTTATTAGCCATTCATAGATTTTCTGCAGGGAAATGACTATTTTTAATCTTTCCCTCTTTTTTTTTTGGTGGCACTGGGGCTTGAACTCAGGGCCTCATGCTTGCAAAACAGATGCTGTACTGCTTGAGCCATGCCTCCAGTCCTTCGTTCTTCTTATTCAGAATTTTTCTTATGGAGTATTGAGTCCTCTGTCAGATGTATGATTTGCAAGTATTTTCTACTAGTGTATGTCTTATTTTTCATATTCTTCATGATGTCTTTTGTAGATAAAAAGCACTTAATTTTGATAAAGTCCAATTTAAATTAGTGTGTGTATTTAATATCATGTCAAAGAAATGTTTACCTAGGTCAAGTTTACATAGATTTTTTTCTCCTAAAATTTCCTCTACAAGTGTATTATTTTAGCTCTTATACATAATTAGGTTATCTGCCAAGAATTAATTTTTGTTCACAGAATGAGGCAAATATCTACTTTTATATTATTGTTACTGTCACTATTTTGCATTTGGATATCCTGTTGTTTCATGTTTGTTGAAAGGACTATCCTTTGTCTGTTAAATTGCCTTGGGGGGAAGTGGGGGAGGAGACCAAAAGGAAACTCCCTAACAAGACAGTAAACCAGGAACAAAACCTCATCCCTGGGGGGAACTGCAGGGATTGAAGCCACAGGAAAGACTTGAAAGGACAGGTGATATCACTCTGTTTATCACACTTGGATGACAGAGCGCTTACAGAATGAACATGATAACGAAGTTAATCCAGGCTCAGTTCAGTGCAGATGGACAGGTCTCTCCGCAAACTAACACGGTCTCTGGCAAGGGGTGAGCAGGGCTAGTGCTTTTCCTCCATTCCAATTTTCAAGTAAACAGTTCACTTTTATCTGATAGAGTCAACAATATCCTGCCACAGTGTTTCCTTGGGACTTTAATTAATTCTTTTCCCTCTGTCCAAATACAGTTCACAGAAATCTTATTCATCCTGACATTCTACAAAGCATCCCTCTAGCCCACTCTAGTCACAACACCATGCTGATTGGATCCAGTGAGCAGAAAATAGCAAATACTTAAGACGCTTTAGGAAGACATGTGAGACAGGTGTGGTGTCGCACACCAGTCATCCCAGCACTGGCAGAGGATCAGATCACAAGTTCAAGGACAGCCTGGGCTACATAGTAAAAGCCTGTCTCAAAAAAAAAAAAAAAAAAAGGTGGGTGCCAAGGCAACAAAAATTATAAGAATTCACTGTGCCTGAGGATCAGATCAAGATCTTTTTTCAGGAAAGTAAATTGGGTTGTTTTACAAAGCCAAGGAATTTTTGTTTTTGTTTTTGTTTTAGAGACAGGGTCTCATTTTGTAGCCCAGTCTGAACTGGCTATGTATCCTAGGCTGTTGCAGAGGCCACCTGCCTCTGCCTCCCAAGTGCTGGGATTATAGGCACAATTCACCATGCCAAGTGGGATTATTTTAAAAGTGCATGCAGTGGGAAAAAAATATGCATTTAATTTACTATTTATTATTTTATTTGGCAAAATAAGAATCACAATACTTCTTCATCTAAAAGCTAAGGTGGATTGGTGTAGCTCAGTCAATGGATTTTGACAATCCCTTCCCCCCCATTTCTGGCTGGGTGGGGTGGATTTCTTATTCTTTGTCTACCTGAGAGCATATTTGCATATATTTGCATGGCTTTCTCTTTCTATTGTACAATATATTTTCTGTAGTCTCTTTAGGGATTTCTTTTTTTTTCCTTGATAACTGTGACTGTTCGAATATGGCAAGTGGGGATGATTTGTAGCTCAGTGAGAGAGCACTTGCTTAGCACGCACAAGGCCCTGGGTTCCATCATCAGCATAGCAGAAAGAGAAAAAAAAGATGGCAAAATAAAAGGCTTCCTTTTGTCTCCTTTCCAGTGGTGTTGGTCTGGGTATATCTCCTTTCTCTCTCACCACTACTGCAACCCTCACCTGTTCAAAATTGCTTGGAAAGTTTGGGCAGTTCTTAGGACCCCAGGCCTAGGGAAAGAAACCCAGGGGTGCAGTAAAGTTTCAGCACCACGGAGAGCGCCACCAGTTCTCCTCAGCCACCCAGGAGGAAGGATGGCAATGATGAATGTATCTCTGACACCTCTCTGTTCCCAAACAGCTCAGTTTTTAAAAGCTATATTCCTAGTATCCAGTTAGCACTCAACAAATACGCTGATGCATTCTGAGAGATATCTTCAAATAAGATATGCAAAGCCAACATGCACACGTAAAGATGAATGCAAATCGAAACACAATGCAGTACCGCTCCACCCATAAGGATGGCTACAATAAAAACAAAACAAATCATTTGTCTGCAGGACGGGGAGGGAGCTGCACTCACACACTGCTGGGGTTGATGGGAAATGGTGCAGCGGTTATGGAAACAGCTTGTCAGCTCATCAAGAAGTTAAACACCCAACTACCTGACCACCTAGCAATTCTCTTCCTAGGTGTATTCCCAAAAGAATTTAAAACAAGTCTTCAAGCCTGGATGTGAATTTTCATAGCAGCAGTATCCGCAATAGCCAAAAAAGAAAAAGGGCTGAATGCCCATCAAGGGAGGAATGCATAACCAAAATGCGGTATGCCCATCTAATGAAATAGCGTTCATCCATAAAAGGAATGGAATAATGATCCGTGCTTCATAGATAAACCTTGAAAACATTGTGCTAAGTGAAAGAAGTCAGACACAAAGGAATCATATGATTCCATGTGTATGAAATATTCAGAAAAGGCAAATTTATACAGATATAAAGCAGATTGCCGGTTTCCAGTGGCTGGAAGAGGGCGTTGGTGCTTAATAAGTATGGGGTTGTCTTTGAGATCTTGAAAATGTTCTGTAACTAGATAGTGGTGATGGCAGCACAGCATCCTGAATGCTCTTAATGCTACTAAGTGTGACATTTTTAAATGGTTAAAAGGTACATTGTTAGTTACATGTATTTACTATAGAGAGGATGAACACATAAAATGCTCAGAGGGACCACTAGCTGCAATTCCTCAGAACCAGCTGGTTGTTCCCAATTCACCCTTGTTCTTCCACAGTGGCCCCAGGGTCTTTGATATTCTGGGTCAGCTGTCCCCCCAAGAGCTGAGGAGTGGGTAACTCACCCTGATACCTGGGCCCCTTGCAGGTACTGGCTAGCCTATGAGCGCTACCTGGCAGAGAGGAATTCCTCAGACAGTGTAGATTTGCCTTATGTGAAGGTTTTGGTTCAGAACGTCAGCCCCAACATCACAGAAGACCTGCTCTTCTCTCTGCAGCCCCCTCAGGTGAGGACTCCTCCCATGCCTCTTGTCTAGTTCATACCTATCATCCTTGGAAAGTCAGGTCCTGAGAAAGTCATCCAAGCTTTACCCTCTGGTCCCATTCAACAGAGCTCTGCTCTAGTTAACAGTGCCAGTGAGTTGCTGGGTGAGTGCTCTCTGGTTTTCCAGGGTGCTGGGAGAAGTGTGGGAGGTCACTGAATTGGGAGTCAGAAGACCTGTTCTTTGGTCCTGTCCTGTCCAGTAGATGTCCTCCAGGAATTTCCTCCCCCTCTCTGGACCCAAAGATGTAACAGGCACTCTCGGGCACCTCCAAATCTAAAATACCCACAAGTTCTTCTCCCAGGAAATGCATCTGAAGCCAGGGACAGGCACATATGACAATGGAGAGTCTGAGTGACAGGGCTCTGATTTACACTGGCCCAGATTCAAACCCAGCTCTGCCCCTGACCAGCCATTTTGGTCATGAGCAAGTTATTTTTTTGTTGGTGCTAGAGTTTGAACTCAGGCCCTCACACTTTCTAAGTAGGCACTCTTCCACTCAAGCCACACCCCCAGCCCTTTTTTGTTTTCAGTTAGTTTCAGATGGGATTTCATGCTTTTTGTCCAGCTGGGCCTCAGACCTATACCTCTCTCAGAGCTGGAATCACAGACACGCAGAACCATGCCTGGCTCATTTGTTGAGATGGGGTCTAGATAACTTTTTTCCCAGGTTAGCCTCGGAGATCAGAGTCCTCCTGATCTCTGTCTCTTGAGTATCTGGGATTACAGGCATGAGCCACTGCACCTAGGAGCAAATTACTTTTATGAGCCTCAGTCTCAGTTTCCCCATCTATAAAGTGATGAAGGTATTGTCTACTTTTAAGATGATCAAGAGCAGCAAGTGAGGTAACACTCAGGGAATTCTTGACATAATGATGGCTCAGAGACAGTCCCCAGGGGTGGAGGGGCAAGCGACCAGGCAGCCAGGGGAGCTGCTTATCATTGGGGAAGTTGTCCCATGTCTGGAGAGGGGGAAATGCAAGTCAGAGAGGGCATTCCTTGACCCTGTATTATACCACCCAAGCAGCTAAGCCCCCTGCATAGGGTACACCATGGCCCCAGAAACCACCATGTGTCCTTTCGCTAAGGAGGATTAGGGCCTTCAGCTTTGGTTCTCAGCGCACTGTTTCAGTGTGTGTGGGATGCTTCTGAGTCCAGGACCAGTCAGGAGCAGACTACAACCCCAGGGGCACCAGGGAGCTCTGAGAATGAACAAAACATGCTTATAAACACCACTAAAATGTATTGGAAAATTTTGAATATTTTTAGGTTTTTTTTTTTTTAATTGTTTTGGGCAGAAAGGATTTCGCAGTCAGTGTGAATTCATGTGTCTGTCATCTCTGCCCTTATTGTCCCCTTCCTGAACGTCCTTTCTGATGACCTCATTCTTTCTATTTACTTCCATATCAGATGCTAGACACATCATTGTCAAGCTCTGTGTAAACACAGGGCCTTCAGACTCTGGCCCAAAGCCCACCACAGTGACCTCCCCACACTTGCAAATGGAGCTTGCCTGGGTGGCCCCACAGTGACTCCACGTGGTTAGTTAGCACTGTTCTCTATAATGGGAAAACTAGGACTCCCCAGAGGGCAGATACTTGTTTAGGGGCTCATAGCCTGGGAGGAGCAGAGCCTGGCCTGAGCCTCAGTGTCCTGTCTCTCTGAGTTGACGATTCTCAGATGCTGCCCCTCACCCAGTGTGCCTCAATTTCCCTCCCACCTGGGGTGGTGGCAGGAGTCACTTTGGAATCCTCTGGGTGAGATGACAGTCATGGGGTCTGTGGTTGCAGATTTCAAGCCAGGTGGGGAAGGATAAGGACAAGCCTCCCGTCAGAGTCCGACTTCCCAAGAGCCTTTTCGCGGCCCAGCCACACAACAGGTCTGAAGTCCGGTTAGTCTTAACTGTTCTGGACATCAGTGCGGGGAATGTCTTCAAGGTGAGAGGCCTCCTGGGGACACAGGGAAGCAGCCAACTTCAGTGCTGGGTCTTCCAGGGTTGCAAGTCCCAGTCTGTCCTCACTGGAAACTTTGGGATCCGTGGGAAGGGGGAAGAGCGAGCCCCTGAGAGAATCTCTAATGCAGACAAGTCATCCCAGAACCATGGTCATCCCAGTCCACATCTCTAGAGTGAGTGGAGTGCAGACTCACTCTAGCACCCCCACTCCAGTGCCCCTCACTTGTATACAGGGCCCAAGTGAGTTTGTGTGGCCTTGTACGTGTACAAACATGCATACTGTTTTTCATTCCTGGGCACACATAATTGCAGGTGCTCAGGTGTGGTCATGTACACATAAGCAAGTATCTTTACTTCAGCAAATGTGTACCAAGTGTGTGCACCAGGAGATACCTATCCACTTGAATGCAGGTATGTGCACCCCTGGGTATGTGTGCACTCACACACCTGGAGACACCCACAGCCCCCATTTCTTGGCTGATCTCAGCCTGTGACCTCCACTTAAGAGAGCAGAAGAGCTCTGGAGGCCAGCCCTGGAGAGCTGTCAGGTGCATGACTTGTACTCAGGTGGCCTGAAGCATAGAGCCCAGCCCAGTCCAAGCAGGAGATGACGGGGAGCAGCATGAAGGTTTCCTGCATCCCCCTGGTCTCCTGGCCTTGGACTCTGCCCTCCAGGCAATGGCCAAAGGTCCTGGAGCTTCCAGGAAAGCCAGCTAGGGTGGGCTGGGACAGCACCTCCTGCAGCCTGGCCTCCCCTAATCTCCCCTCACAGGGCCCCCGGCTCCTCCTGAACGATGACAGCAGCATAGTGAACAACCACGTGGTGGGCTTGAGTGTGGGCCAAACACCCATCACTGGGCTGTCAGAGCCTCTGGAGATCTCCTTCTCCCACCAGCGTCAGCCCCCTGTGAGTCCCCCACCCAGGTCTGGCAGTCATTGTGGGGCATAGGGACTCTGAGCAGACATGCATGGGACCCTGTACTCCTTTCCCTTCCATTCACCCAGGAGAAGCCATTAGGGCCATGCACACACTGGGCCCAGATACACATGTGCACAAGCGTTCCCCAGCCCCCCAAACTCCAACATATGCTCGCAGGGGTGCACTGGAGGACCTGGCACACCCACCTGCATGCACACAACAGTCCACAGTCCATGCTTGCTCATTTAATGCTCCCTGAAGACACATGAGCAGACATGCAAACCTTCCTGCTCACAGCCCCGCGCCATCTCTGCACGCCTTGCATGCTGGTCCAGGCAAATCAAAGGATGTGGTCAGTTTTCCATGCAAACCACCTAATGCGCACATGGGCTACGCCCTCAGGAGCATGCTGTCCTTGCCTCCCGCCCACTTCCTCTCTTGACCCCTACTCTCTGGTTTCAGAACATGATCCTCACCTGTGTATTCTGGGATGTGACTAAAGGTAGGGCCTGGAGGACCCTCTCTGGGGGGTGAGTAGAAGGGTGGGTATGGACTCCTGTAGGGGCAGGGCTGGCTCTGCCTGCAGGACCCCTTCCTCTGTGTTCTCCTCCTCTCTCCACTCCTCTCCTCAATGACTGACAGGAGACTGGGCTTCTGAGGGCTGCTCCACCAAGCTCTGGACCAAGGGGACCATCTGCCACTGTGACCACCTGACCTTCTTTGCCCTGCTGCTGGTAATAACCCACTTCACCCTGGTCTTAGTGATCCTGTTGTGGGGAGCAGTTGCTGGGTGGGGTCAGGGCCTTTGGGGTGCACGGATCTAGCCTCCCATTGACGTGGTCCCTGTTTGGGGTCATTCACAGAGGCCAGTCTTGGACCTGGCTACTGTGCAGGTCCTCACGCACATCTCCCAGGCGGGTTGTGGAGTCTCCATGATCTTCCTGGCCTTCACCATGACTCTCTATGTTTTCCTGAGGTGGGTGATCCTGTCTCTACCCTGCAGCTCCCTCCTGCCCTCGGGCAGAGTGGAAAGCAGCCTGGTTATGCCTCCTCATACTCGTATCCTGTTCACTCCTTAGTCTCCTTACAACAAAGGGGCTGGCGATGGAAGTGTATCAAGGCTATTTCAGTTGCAAGTGGCAGAAACTCAACCGGAACAGGGTCTGTGAGATTTAGGTAGTTGAGAAGCCGAAGGTGTAAGACTTTCAGGCAGGGTTAGATCAGGGCTCAAGCAAGGCCTCCAGGGCTTGGTCTCCTCTGCCTCCCACAGCTTTCTCCCCTTCGTCAGTCACTCTAGACAGCTACTTCAGGTTCCTAAAGATGCTCCACAGCTCCTCAGATGCTTAGGCAGAAGCCAAACCCTAGAATTGAGGTCTTTTTTTGAAAAAAAAAAGGTATTTTTCAAATAATTATAGGCTAACTAGAAATTGCAAAAAATAATAATTTGAGGTCCCTTCCCTCAGCTTCCCCCAATGGTGATCTCATACATAACTATAGTCCAGTGTCAAAGCCAGGAAGTTTGCAGTGGCACAGGACCACCAACTAGAATACAGAACCCTTCAGTTTCATGGTTTTAAGCACACGCTCACACACATGTGTGTGCATGTATGCTCGTGTGTGTGAAGAAGTGGGAATTTGCAAGGCCCAGACTGAAATGAAAGCATATAGCCCTTGTTCAAAAATCATTCCCAATGTCATCATGGTGACAGCAAAGCATTAACCAAGTGTGGAACTCTCGTGAGCCCAGGACCCTGCAGACACCACACCGTGAGACTGGCTCCCTGTGTGTGTACAGAACGCGTGTGTGCAGTGGGCTGTGGTCAGGGATAGAATGCACTGATTGGCCAGGCTTGGTCACGTGCCTGCTCTTGGCTTTCAGCTGACAAAGGACCAGCCCCTGCCTCCCTCCCACACCTCATGGCTGAGTGTGGAGCAAGGTGTTCTTCAGAAACACCTGGAACTGTTTCCAGAGGGGTTGTGGGTTCAGGACAGGCATGAAGAGCAGACAGTACTGTCACCTTGCTCTCCTGGGCCCAGGCCCTAGCTGAGGGCACCGTCTCCCCCACAAGGACCTGCCAATTTAAAGGAGCTTGTGGGAGCAGCTGCACCCTAGCCTTCTCCATCCCCTACTCCTGGAACACAAGCTCATCCTGACCAACCTGAAGCAGCCCTTAGGTCTCCTGTCCAGCAGGCCAGAGGTCCCCACTGCCCTCTCATGTGTCTCTGTGCCTCCGTCCCTGTGGCCCTGAGCTGCAGCCCCTGTGAGCCCCCCACTCCATCACAGGCCGACCTTGGTATGTCAGTGGTGCCTCCCCACCCCCACCCCTCCAAACCCCGGCCTAGGAAACTATCCCTATCCCTATCCCCAACGAGCTGAGCAGGACTTGCTAGCTGGCTGCATTGCTGGACCCTGTGAGCGAGGCTTGGAGTGCTGTCAAGGGTGGGGCCTGGAGTCTCAGGGGAGATGGACATCGTCCCTTCTCCCCGCTCCAGGCAGCCATGGATGCTTATCCCTTGAGTGGCAGCCCTTTTGGATCTGATTTGCTAGGAATTCAGAGTGGGGGATCTGCTGAGAAGGAACGTGGGGTGAGGAATCTGAGCCCAGGTCCTGTGATTCTGGGAAAGTCCCTGTCCCTCTCTGAGCCTCTCTCTCTACTGCATCCTAGGAGGCTCATCCATCCATCTGTGTGTCCATCCACTCACCCAACCGATAAGCCAGGGCCCCTGCTACCCCCCATGCGAGGACCAGCGTCCATAGCGCGGAAGGGGTGTGGTGGGGGAGGGTGGCGCATTCCACTGTGCCCCTGGGAGATGCCTACACCAGCCTGAGCTGGGGACATTCAGGGTGGCTTCCCCAGAAGGGCACATCCAGGGAGGGTTCAAAGGCAGAGCAGGAGTCAGATAGGCCAAGAAGGGAAAGGCGCTGAGAGCAGAGAGAAGAGCACGGCCAGGTCTGAGAAGTGTGAGAAACCAAAACACACTCAGGGAGTCACAAGTCGTGTTTTTGTCTAAGGAATCACGTCAAGGGACAAGGCTGGTGGAGGGTGGGGCGTGGGAGGGAGCCTGGGCTTGATGTGACAGTGCATCCACAATGGCTGCTAGCAGGGTGGGAGCTGGCCATGGGCTGAGAGCCATCACTGTCAGGGTGGAACCCAGATGGTGAGGTGGACGGGCCTAGGCGGCCCATGGGAACTACAGCCTCTCCCTGGCCCTTCTGGCCCCAGGCTGTCCTTGCAGAGGTTCAAGTCGGAAGATGCACCCAAGATCCACATGTCTCTGAGCGGCAGCCTGTTCTTCCTGAACCTGCTCTTCTTGATCAATGTGGGGAGTGGTTCCAAGGGGCCCACTGCTTCCTGCTGGACCCGGGCCACAGCCTTCCACTACTTCCTTCTCTGTACCTTCACCTGGATGGGCCTGGAAGCCTTCCACCTCTACCTGCTCACCATCCGGGTCTTCAACACCTACTTCCGGCACTACTTCCTGAAGCTCAGCCTTCTGGGATGGGGTGGGTGCTGCTGGGGTGGGTGGAGGAGAGGCTGGAGGGGGCAGGGAGGGCAACGGCTTGGGGATGGAGGAGGACACAATGCCTTGGATAAGTTCAGGGCTTGGGGATGGGCAGCTGGAAGGGGTCAGAGAAGCTTGTGTCAAGGGACCCCTGGCAATGCCACATGTCCTTCCCTCATGCCCAGGCCTGCCTGCCCTCATGGTCATTGGCACTGGGAGTGCCAACAGCTATGGCCTTTACACCATCCGTGACCAGGAGAACCGCACGTCGCTGGAGTTGTGAGTGGGGGCTGTGGGAGAGCCGGGAACAGGTGCTGTCAGGACCCTGGCTGGAGCATGGGAAGAAGTGAGAGTTCTAGGAAGAGAACTAAGTATGTTAAGGCCAAGAGGATCCTCAGAATGAACTTTCTTGTAGCCTAGAGGGTAAACTGAGGCCTGGAGAGCACAAGTGAAATGGGAAAGGGGACCTGGACAGGGAGAGAAAGAACTGTATCTGGATGCCTTGCTCTAATTGGGCCACCACTAGCCCCTTGGGAGAAGTAGAAAATGTGGCCCCTTCCCCATGGCCAGGGATCACCATAGCAAATGGAAGCCACGATGGATTTTATTTCCACCTGCCTCCTTATCCAGGTGCTCTTGTGCAGGACACCACCTGCCCCACAATTCAGAACAGCTCTGGGTGTAGCCAGGCTCTGCTCCTGACTGCTGTGGGTGTTACTTTGGGCAAGCCTGTCCTCTGTAGGGGCCTCAGTCTCCCCATCTGTATAATGGGGAAGCAGATGTGTGTGCCCTTTCAGGCCACCTGCTCTGCAGTGCCGGGAGCAGTAGAGGATGGGCTGAGCCTCCAGGCAACCAACCGGTGACCTCCTGGGGTGCCTGCCCCTGGGCCATGGCCCTGTACAAGGTGGGGCTGGTGGAGCCTTGGGCCTGACCCCAGGGCTTCAAATGCAGAGTCCACAGAGACCAAATAGGTCACAGAAGTGCATGTGATGGCCAGGAGGGGACTGCAGCAGACTGGGAGTCACTTTCTATCCAAGGGGCTGCCAATCATGGTCTAATCAGCTCCAATGGGGCTGTCAGGTGTGTAGATTTATAATGAGCAAAAGCCTGGATGTTTATGCCAAACCTCTGGGTGTTTTTTTTTCCGGGGCGGGGAGGGGGCGGCGGAGAACTGGTGTTTGAACTTAGGCACTTGGGCTTGTTGCCACTTGAACTACCCCCACCCCAGCCTGCCAAACCTTCTGATTTAAAGGGTTATAACTAATTCTGGGTTTTTGCAACATGGGGCAATGTAACAGCTTTGGGGTTGATTTGACTTTTTTGCACCACTAGGGACACCAGTCTGGACGGGTGGATGACCCCTTGCCCAGGAGGATGGGGGATGGGTGGGTGGAAAGGGGCAGAGAGAGACATCGTCTTGATCAGTAAAGGTCAGCCAAGGAGACTTCTGGGGCTTGCTGGTCAGGGTTTACTTCCCTCAGTCACAGCAGCCATTCACCTCCTCTAGGTGCTGGTTCCAGAAAGAACCTGCCCTTTACGTCACTGTCCATGGCTACTTCCTCATCACCTTCCTCTTTGGAGCCGTGGTGTTGATCATAGTGACCTGGAAGGTCTTCACTTTGTCCAGTGTCACAGCAGGCAAGGAGCGACGGCAGAACTGGAAGTCAGTCCTCACCGTGCTGGGCCTCTCAAGCCTGGTGGGAGTGACCTGGGGGCTAGCCATTCTCACGCCCCTGGGTCTGTCCACAGTCTATATCTTCACCCTCTTCAACTCCCTGCAAGGTGAGGCCCTGGGGCCAGGGAGGTCACAGGCATTGTCTGCACTCAGAAGTAATGGGAGGTGGAGGAGAGGGCAATTTGCAGGAAATAGGATTCCAGTCAGGTGAGCTCAAATCAAAAGCACTAATTTTAAATATTCAGGCCTCTCTTAGGACCCAGGGCAGCAAGAATAGAGCTGGTGCCAGGATCAGGAAAAACCATCCAAAGCAAAGCAGATATTGCCCCCGTCTTTTGTTCTGGAGCTGTGTTTTTTCTCATCCAGCCTTTGTGGAGATTACTGAACTCTTCCCTCTCCACTTGCTCATTACTACCAATGGCCAAAAATGGCTACCCAATATGGCCACCTCAACTCTATGTGACCTGTCAGGTGATCATCTCTGGCCCAATCAGAGGGCAACATCTGTCCATGTCATATGGATCGAGACTCTATGGAGTTGTCTGGGTAGGAAGGACATGATTGCTTTGTCTGCTACTTTCTCTAGCTGGGTTCTTCCTATGAGGCCCTAGCAAAGGAGGAGGAACCCAGGGTGTGTGTTACAATTTCCTTCCCACACCTGCCTTCTGCAGCTCGAACTCTTTATTTTACTCATACACACAGCTCAAGAGAACATCATGCCTGACTGTGAGGGAAACAGGCACAAAGGGAGTGATAGGACCCATTTTGTCCAGGGGAGTTTCTAGGAATCCTGGGGTCCCAGATGCAGGACTGGATTCCCGTGAGATTGTGTGGCATTGTAGTTGGGGTCCAGGCAGACCTGGGTTCAAGTCTTAGCTCCATCATTCCAGCAAGTCACTCAATGCCTTGATAACCCATTCACCTCTAAGTTAGGACAATCCTGGTACTTAGCAGGGTTCACAGTGAATAACTGTGATCATGCATGTGAGGTGCCCAGTAGGTCTTCAATATATAAAAATGTTACCAATTCTAGGCTGGGGAAGTTCACAGCACACCAGGCTCAGGTACTCACCTCAGTTGACCAAACGGTGAAGCAGTGCATGGAGGAAAGGAATTTATTCCCTACAGTCATAGTAGGAAGGTGAAGGGCATTCCTCAGCCCTGTTTTCTGGGTATTAACAAGAGCTTCAGGATTCTATAGGGAATGAAAAGAAGCCAGGTCAAGAAGCAGGCATAGTCAGGTAGTCTTAGCCAAGATGTGGCCTGATTGATGGTTATCTCAGGATGGGTCTACAGAGACTTGTCTGCAGTAAGAAAGTTGCTGTTGCCTGCGGGTAGAATTGACACTTGCCACAAGATACTTATCTATCAGACTTGTCATTCCTGGAATCCAAGGTGACTGAAGGAGAGAATGGCTCAGGGAAAGGCAAAGTCAGAAAGGCAAAGTCAGGATGCTGGTCTAGTGGTCTAGAATGTTGCAAAAGCTGGCGGTGGATTGTCTGTTGCTTATGATGTCAGCCTTGAGAGGAAAGGGTTACCAGTTTTAGAGGAATGCTCCTTAAATGATGAACAAGTCTGCTTGCAGAGCAGAGGAGGAATCTGATGTGGTTTAAGGTAGCAAAGGAGACAGATGTAAAATGCTGCTTTTAGTCACCCATCAGATATCTGCAAGGCCCAACCAAGTGAAGAGTCAGCAAGAGCAGTTTCTAAGCTCCTGTCACAGGCACTAGGTCACTAACATAGCAATAAAAATGATAACTGTTGAGCCACCTGGAGGCTGTCCACCAGCTGAAGAATCATAAATTCATGGTTGAAAAATTCCAGGGTTTAGGACTGGGGAGAAATGCATCTTGAAATTATAGACTACATAAATTCTTGCCTACATTACATTAACATGTAAGTCTGCATACCTCACTCTGAGTTTGAGTTATTGGTATTTTTATCTTCCACACACAACAGAGCCCTTGATATACTTTAACTGCCTATTGAACTCTTATCAATGTTCATTGTATAGGGCAAAGTTTGTACTTCTCCTTCCATTTCTGTACTTACTCTCATTTCTTCTTGTTGAAGTACATCCTAGAGTAATCCTTTATAAATGGGTAGTAGGGGACCCACCATGGTGGTGATGGTTGTTTTGTGCCTGAAAATGCATTTATTTTCTTCTTTTCTATGATAGATGTATGTTGGTATTTTATTTCAAGCTCCAGATTTCTATTTGGTTCTTTTGAGGGAGTAAGTTTAATTTTCACCTGATTTTTTCATAAGTGCTTGAATGTCTCAGTCCCTAGCAGCCTGCCCAGGCTCACAGAGGCCCTCTCCTCATGACAGGTGTCTTCATCTTCTGCTGGTTCACCATCCTGTACTTCCCACGTCAGAGCACTGAGTCCTCATCCTCTGGCACTGCCCGCCTGGACCAGGCCCACTTGGCACTTCATGAATAGGAGGCAGCAGCCCTGACCTCTCAGCTCTGGTTGCTATGTGACCTTGGGCAGCTCCCTGTCTCCCTCTGTGCCTCAGTTGCCTTCTCTATACAATGAAACTGGGGAGGGAGAAGATGGGGACCAGGCTGGACCATATGGCTTCAAAGGTCCCAGCCAGATTATGCCTTTGGGTCCAAGAGGCCACAAATACAGGTTTGTAGGAAGTTAAAGTTCCTGTAATTCTGGACCAGCAAAGAGCATCACCTTCATCCCATCCTGCTCTCTTCGTTCTCTGCCATCAGCCACCTCTGGTCTCAGCAAGGACCTGAGCACAAAGAGGGGGGTCTTTTTAGCATAACTTTTTGGCACAACTCCTTGAAGGATTCCCCCAGTCTCTCTCCCTCCTACCCCAGCACTGACCCTCACAACCCCATCCTCTGGCCACCTGTCCCCCTGTGGGATATTCAGGAGACCATTGTCCCCTGAGTCACTGAGAGTATTGTGGTCTGAAGGTTCGCTTTGGGAATGGGTTGATCTCCCATTTAGTCTGCCCTGATCCTTGTCTGTCCCACCAGCACCTATCCTCACAGAAGGGACCCACTATTCAGGAGCTGCCAGCCCTCCAGGTGCCTGGGGACACTGAATTTCAGAGAATGTGTGTGCTACCTGGATCAGGGCCCCCTCTTCCCACCTGACTACCAGGTGGGTGGCCCAACCTCTGATCTGCTGTCATTGTAGGGGCAGAAGCAGGAGCCCAGGGCTCCACACAACTGTTTGTTCAGTGTGGGGACCAGGTAGCGAATGGAGGATGGGTGAGCACACCCTAAAATCTGAACCCCGACAAGAAGGGCCTGGACAGCCTCCCTCACATTTCAGCCCAGCCCAGCACAGGGCCTGGCCCATGTCAAGTCAAATATTGGCACAAAGATTTCAATAAATATTTGTTGACTGAATGAATGGATGCATGAGTTTGGCACCAGCCTGGAAGGACCCTCCACCAAGGGGGCACCTCAAGCAGGACCCAGGTTGGGCGGGTCCCTTCCAGTACCTGGGCTTCCACCTCCCAGCCATGGGCAGGTGTCCTCAGTAGGAAGCAAAAGAAGCAGAAATAAGATCGAGGTAGAGACTCACGGATGGAGAGGAAGACTCAAGGCACAGGCTGACACATGGACAGGCAGCTGCAGAGACAGCAGCCTGGACAGCATTGCCTCTCCCCAGGACCACCCCCCCCATAAGTTCATGCCCACCGTCTCCAGGGTGCTTTGTGGACTCTACAGGTGGGCAGTTACTGTCATTATCAGACGCTCCTCCTGTGGCCACCCTACCCTGTGGACTATCAGCCCACCTCCACAGCAGTTGGTTGCTGATGTCCCATGGAGGGGCTCTGGTCTCTCTCCTTCCCACTAGCAAACAGAGCAATCAGGGATAGGAAGGCTGTTGGCACCGTGTGCAAGCTGCCGGGTTCCCATGAAGGGAAATCTTGTGGTGTAGACATTGTCAGTACAGCCACAGTCTGTTTTTGTGGACAAACGTGGGGCCTTTGGGGGCTTATCTTTGTAGACATCTGTGTCTCAGGCTGAAGGTCCCAGCTTCCTTACCCCAAAGTCTCCAAGTCGGTGACCTGAGTAACCATGTGCTGTCTCTGGCAGGCCTGGATTTATATCCTGGCTCTGCTCCTCAGGAGCTGTGTGACCCAGGCCTGTCATCTCACCTCTCAGAGTCTCAAATTCCCCCTCCATAACATGGAGGTCATAAAGTCCTTGCCTCATCCTGAGAACATTAAGTGATATGACAAAAATGTGCCTGGAGTCACTCAGGAGTGACTTGACTGCCCTTGTCCCTGCCCACCCTGACTTTTAGAGCAACCAGCCAAAGGTGTTAGGACATAGAAATGGGGTCCCAGAGAGGTCCCTGCCCAACCAAAGCCCTTTCTCGGACTGGGCTGAAGCCAGGACTGGGCTTTCCTCGTTGCCAGCCCTTTCTCCCAGAATATTCCCTGGGTTTAAGAATTATCAGGCCAAGGAAAAAACGTCACCTTGTCCCTTCCCTGAGTCTCCAGGGAACCCTGGGACTAGCTTGCCTAGACAGGTTCAACCCACATCCCTGGTGGCTGGGTTTCCTAGTGCAGGTGAGAAGGTGTGGCCAACACTGGATGGGGCGGGGAGGCTGCTTCTTTTCTGAGGGCTCTCCCCCAAGGCCAGGCAGGGGCTGATGGGTACCTCATGGCCTGAGGTCCCTGAAAACGTGGCTCCCAGAGCACCAAAAGGCCAAGGGAGACCTTGATACACCACAAAGCCACAGCTGACAGACAGCTTCCTCAGTCATTGCTGGCAGCAACAGCAAGCTGGGAAGGGACCTTGTCACCATTGTGAGCACAGCCTTGAGGTTGACTGCCTGCTCCACAGCTGCCTTGGGCCAGTTCCCCACCTCCTGCCCTGGAAGGTGGGAGAACAGTGGCAGCCCCAGGCTGGGAAATAGTGAGATGCTGGCTTCGGCACTACCCATGCCTGGCCCCTTGCTGGTTGGAATGTGACTAAGCCATTGCTTTGCCAGTGGTCATCCTGGGCTGCAGGGGACGTGATCCACCATGGTGGGTTGCCTGGTTCTCTGTTCTGCCCAAGTTTCTTCGTGCCCAGTATCTTTTCATTACAATTTCACAAACATACAGGAAATAGACTGACTTGCTCTATGTTCTCAATTCAGGTGATTTGACATTAGAAGATATGAAATTCTTCACAAATTTATTAATTCATGCAATTCCAATAATGATTCTGACATAATTTTTCCTCTAAAAATTTAAGTAAAATGTACATGGAGGTATGTGAGCTTCAAATTGCTAAGTGAACCTTAACAAAAGAGGGAAGACTTTACTTCCAGCTGTAAGGACATTACAAGGCCAAAGTGGTATACCCACATGGAGACTGCAGGAACAAGAAGAAGGCCAGTGGCAGACCCATGTTCCCCTGGGGGACACAAACCACGACAAAGGTGACACCCCCAAGAAGGGAAAGGTTGTCTGCTGATGGTGGAAAGCTGGGGACAGAAATGAAAAAAGGTACCTACTAATCCTTCACACAGGGGTGGGCTCCAGGTGAATTAAAAGTCTAAGTGAGAAGGCAAAACTGTAAAGTTAATGAAGGACAATATTTTTGTGACTGAAGGGCAAGGAAGAACTTGCAAACAAAAATTCACAAGCACAGACATTAGACCCCACACCAACAAACTTAGTGACATAAGAAGTGAGGCCACTGAAGAGAATGGGCGAAGGTAACTGCACCATCTGAAACCCAAGAGTCACTTCAAACCAAGGCCCCTCCCTAATGGGAAACGGGCTGAGGTCTTCACCCATCTCGGAGGAGGAAACGTGGAACAAGGTAGCATGGAACACACACTGACAATCCCACTAAAATGACAATGAGTTCTCACTGTGTCCCTACTGAACTAGCAGACATAAGAAGATAGGTCCTGCCAACTAAAAGGGACAGGACCCCCCCCCCACTTCCCTCATATTTTGGGAGGCAGGGAGGGTCAAGCCTGCCTTACCTGATGCATTTATCATGGAGGCCATGGTTTGGATGGGGTTTGGGGTTAGTGCCCTCCAAGGCTTCCCATCAGGAGGTATGAAGAGGATGGAAGCTTCCCACTGTGGCATCAAAGGTGAGGTCTTGGGGAATTGATTAGGATTGAATAATATCATGGGGTGGACTCCCCGTGGTTGAATTTTGGTGGCTTTTTAAGAGGGAGACTGACCAGTACCACAGACAGGAAGTGTGACGCCCCTTGCCACTTTGGGACTACAACCAGATGTGGGCCCTGCATCTTCAGAGCTGTAAGCAAAATCCCCAACTTGTTTCTTTTTTACAAAGCTGTCCAGTAGCGAATACCTTGTTACAGCGACACAGTACAGACAAAGGAACTCCCGCACAGGAGTAAGGCAATGCTCTACCCAGGCACGCCTCGAACGGGACTGGGGCTCTGGAGTTCATATGAGGTTTTAGGAATTTGGCTTCTTCAGTGTTGGGACTAGATTCTACAAGCTGATCAACAAGTTTGATCTTTCAGTGTCTCAGGCAACAACAAAATAATTTTATCAGTGCCTGGGAATGTTCTAGGCTCCTTGCTGGATTCAAGACTTTAGGGAAAAACATGAAGTTGGTAGGTCAGAAGGAAGTCAGGGTATTCTGTGTTTTTCAACCAGGACAAAGCAGAACTTGGGGGGATCTGGGAGGCCCTGCACTGCTATCTGTCACTGGAAGGAGGAAGGGAAGTGAGTCTGAATCCACACAGCAGCATGACTGGATCTTAAAAACAGATCTCTGTGAAAATAAAAGCAGCAAAAGGATTGAGACTCAGTATCATTTGCAGATATCATAGAGCTTGCAGAACGATAATACACATCAGAATGGTTGCCTCTAGGAGGTGGGATAGAGAGAGAAGGCAGGAAATGAATCTGCAAAGGAATGAGATGGTGCACAGGATAAAAGGGAACAAAGCCATCTTCCATTCCTGCAGCCCAACACATCCCGTGCTCTCTGCTACCCTCTCCCCTCCTGCCTTTGCCCCACCTCCCCGCCAGGTAATCACTGGCTTCTGTGTACACAAATGGATGTCCACACACCATCTCATGAGCTTCTGCCCTCCCCCACATCTAATTTAGCCAGTGCTTGGATCTGAACCTCTCCCAAAGGCCCAGGTGTTAAGGCTTGGTCCCGGGCCCTGGCTCTACTGGGAGGTGGTGGACTCTTTAAGAGTGGGCCGAGAAGGAGATCTTAGGTGAGTGGAAGCATGTCCTTGAGGGGGATTGAAGGGCCCTGGGTTCTTCCTCTCTCTCATTCCCAGTCATGGGGTAAACAAGCTTTCTTTGCCAGGAGCACCGTGACAAACTGTGCTACCCACAGGCCCAAAAGCAACAGGGCCAACAGATTCAGATGAAAACCTCCAAACCGTGAGCCAAAATAAGCCATCCCCCCTTTAAGTTGATTACCTCAAAAATTTTGTTACAGCAACAGAAGCTGACTGATACAATCTTCACTCTCTATTTTTATGGCTGCATAATATTCCAACTAGTAAGAAAAAAATCACTATTATTGAGAATCAAGGCAATTCTTAAATTTTTACCAATAATAGCAGCTATACACCCTTGTCAGGATGCTAACACTCCCAGTATCACACGTGCCCACTTTGTGACTTTCAGGGGCCCCTTTCTCCAAAAACAAAGTAAAAATGATATTTTATGATTGTACTAGTACAAAAATGATTAGAAGCCAGGGTGAATTCATATACTCATTGTTATTCTGTTCATTTTGTCTTCTGATGTGTGTGTGTGTGTGTGTTGCTGGGAACGGAACCTAAGGTCTTTGCCCATACTAGGCAGGTACAGTACCACTAAACTACATCCCCGGTTCTCTTCTGAATCTTTATTTATTTATTTAATTTCGGCAGCACTGGGGTTTGAGTTTAGGGCCTCGTACTTACTAGGTAGGCATTCTACCTTCACTCTACCAGCCCTTTTTTGTGATGGGTTTTATCGAGATAGGGTCTCAAAACTATTTGCCTGGGACTGGCTTTAAACCACAGTCCTCCTGATTTATGCCTCCTAAATAAACAGGACTACAGGATTATACCACATTACTGGTGCTGGCTCGCTTCTGAATTTTAAAAGAAACTCCTCGGCTGCTAACTTATGGGCCTGTAAGGCTATCTACACACTCAGAGGCCCAGCCAAGCCTAGGATGCAGGGCTTAGCCCGGCAGCCTGACTCTGTCCCCACGGCATGCGGTCATCCCAGGACCCATGCTGCAGAGGCAGTGTGACAGCTGTTTAATCATTGGCTTCCTGAGAGAAAAATCCCTGGTCTGTGGCCTTTGCCAATTTCTGAGGTGCTAATCAGCCCCTGGCCTGTTTTAAGCTATCGTGCGGACACCGCCAAAGCGAATTGGGAAGATGGCAAAGAAGCTCTATGAAGTATTTCCATTGTATGGCAACTTCCAGTACATGGGTGACAGTAAAATACAGTCAAATAATACTTTTGCTTTTAATATAATTCCTATCTCGGAGGGTTGTATCATTTAAGTTTTAATAATGCCATGTTTGATGGCAGGCTCACAAAAATTCCTGAAATGTTAGCAATTGGCCCTCTCACACTGGCACTTCTCTGTTCCAGCACATGGTGCCTCCTCCCTCCAGGGCAATCACAGGAGACTACATTTCCCAGAAGCCTCCTCTCCCAAGACTAGCCCTTAGCTGTTACCATGGAGATGACAAACAGCTAGTAAGGCTGTCCCTGGAGGGTAAGGAGGGAGCAGGGGACTGGGGATGGCTGGACCCTGCCTAGCAGGGGAGGAGGAAGTGGGGGGGATTTCTGCCTGGGATCGCCAGGTCTGGCCTTTCTGGGAAACTTTTTGGGGTGTGTGTATTTAGCCCCTTCCCCCTGGGAAGGGGCTGGGAGTAGGGTTGAGGCCTCAGTCCTGGACTATGTGGCTGAAGAGGCAGTCTGCGTAGGGAATACGGAGTTGCAGGTCTGGCCCAGGTCCACCTCTGAGACCATGTTCTGTGACCTTGGGCTTAGTGCCTGCCCCAGTTGTGACTCCTGCTGCCCACTGGCAATGTGACTTTCTCTCCACCCTGTTTCTTTTCTTGTTCACCACTGCCCCACCCCCACCTGCCCTTCTAAGACTCCTCCATTTCATTAAGCTCTGAAACACATGGGTTTCAGAGCTTAAATAAGAGTTCCAGTCCCAGATCTGCCACTTACTAGCTGTGACCTCAGGCAATTCACTTACCCCTCTTGGCTGTGGTGTTCTCCCTGAGGTATAGGTCTCATAGAGCATCTGCCTCATAGAGTCGCTCAGGATAAAGGCCAGCTGGCAGTAGGCATTCAGCAAACTGCAAGTGCCTTAGAGTATTTGTTACTGCTCTCCCGTTTCACCCTCTGTGCCCAAGAGGTGGACAAATGGATCCGATGACTGGGCCATGCTTCTTGGCTGGAGGATTGTAACTAGGGCCTACTGGACAGGAGGTCTCAGCTAGGGAGAGGCTGGTCCACCTAGGATCCAGGCAGACCAAACACCAGCAACAGCAGCATTCTGCCCCTCCTGAGTCCTACAGCCCAGAATGTCAGACTAGACAGAAATTCATGCCCCCTCTCATAATGCAGAAGGGGACATTGAGGCCTGAAAGGGGCAGGGAGTGGTCCAAGGGCCCAGCAGGAGTTATTGGCAGAGTCAACAGGGAAAACAGATTTCCCCCGAAGGTGGAATCAGTCCTGGCAGCCACTGACTCATCTCCCCAAGAAAGCCCCTCCAGGGGACATTAGAAAACAGCTGATGGGGAGGCAGATTGGCAGCCTCTAGGCCACCTTTGATAATGACAATAACTTCCCACCTGTAGAGTCCACAAAGCACCATGGAGATGGTGGGCATGAACGTGTGAAGAGAGGCCCTGGGGAGGGGGCAATGCTGTCCAGGCTGCTGTCTCTGCAGCTGCCTGTCCATGTGTCAGCCTGTGCCTTGAGTCTTCCTCTCCATCCGTGAGTCTCTACCTCGATCTTATTATTTCTGCTTCTTTTGCTTCCTACTGAGGACACCTGCCCATGGCTGGGAGGTGGAAGCCCAGGTACTGGAAGGGACCCGCCCAACCTGGGTCCTGCTTGAGGTGCCTCCCTTGGTGGAGGGTCCTTCCAGGCTGGTGCCAAACTCATGCATCCATTCATTCAGTCAACAAATATTTATTGAAATCTTTGTGCCAATATTTGACTTGACATGGGCCAGGCCCTGTGCTGGGCTGGGCTGAAATGTGAGGGAGGCTGTCCAGGTCCTCCTCTTAGGGGTTCAGACTTTGGGGGGCGTTATCACCGTCTCCCCCTCACCCCTTGGCCCCACACTGGCCAAACAGTTGTGTGGAGCCCTGGACTACTGCTTCTGCCCCTCACAATGACAGCAGATCAGAAATTAGACCATCTATCTGTCAGTCAGGTAGGGAGAGGGGGGCCTTTATGCTTTAGTTATTTTTCAGATCCAGTCTCACACTTTTTGCCCAGGTCAACCTTAGGCCGTGATCCTCTTGATCATCTGCTGAGTAGCTGGGATGATAGGCTTAAGTCACTGCACCTAGCCTTGGTCCAGCTTTATTTATTTATTTTTTTGCTGTGCTGGGGATGGAGCCTCATGCTTACTAGGCAAGTCCCCAACCACTTAGCCACATCTTCAACCTCCTGGTCCCTTTTGCCCTCTGAGTCCCACCTCTCCTCCTGAGGGTGATGACAAGTCTGGGAACCCCTACACTTTTCTGCTCACTACCCCACTCACACACCACCACTTCCAGAGAGCTTGGCAGGTTTTTCTTCTTTCTGTACCTTCGCCTGTTTGCTGTGAGAAAGCTCTTAGATGTGAGTGGTGGAAAGACCTGAGTTGTGAGGCAGGGGACAGCTGGGATGACCTGGAATGGGGACCCAAGCAGAGGCTGAGTTGTCATACACATTGAAAGATTCAAGGTGGCACTTGGGCCATTGCAGTGTCAGTGGGAGCCCTAGCTCCCCTATCCTTCCACTGTGCTCTCCTTGGCAGGTGGCCTTGGTCCTCGCAATTGAGTCCCTCACTATGAGGTGCTGGCTGCCCCACCTCTCCTTCCTATCATGTTCCAGTCAGGAAGGCAGAGAGGACCAAGGTTCTGAGCTGGCTGTGCTCAGCCTGCTAAGAATCTGCCCAGAACAGCTTCTCGCTTCCCACTGGCCAGAGCTGGGTGACAGGTCCACGCTCCCTGCAGGAGAATGTGGGAAACTGGACATTGCAAACCAGGCACACTGCTGCCTCCTATAAAACTGGAACTCTGCCATACAGAGGGGGGACTGGTTCTTCGGGTAGGTGGCCAGCAGACCACCGTAACGGGGCTTTGCTCTGAGACTGGAGGGTAGGCCTTCCTTGAGCCCACGAGTCCTCGAGGTGTCTCAGTACGACTCATAGAATGATGACTGTCCTCTGGACTGTGTCACCCCACTTCTTGTGCCTCAGTGGCAGTCCTTCCCTTGTACTCTGTGCCTCAATTTCCAGTTTATTGAGATGAGATATTCTCCTTCATCTTTAGGGGTCATATTCTGTGTTACCTTACTATTATGAATACTTGTTAAATCAAATCACTTGCTGGACTTTAAACTCTACCTAAATAGAAATGTCACCATATGCAGCAATTCTCAGGGCATTAACTATCAGAATAAATGTAATAACCCCAAAGCCACATTAGTAACTTTGGGCTGCTTGCTCCTGCCTTGACTGTGACTGACAACCTGAGCCACCTTGTCTCTGTTCTAGGGGACATTGGTCAGGGTTGGAAGGTGTTACCTATGGACTTGCACCAGAGGACACTTTCTCCCTGATTAAGGGACGTTTAAGAGGGAATCCCTTCTGCCATGTGTCTTTCAGGCACGACCAGGTGGTCTCCTTCCTGAACTGACAGCAGCCATTCTGAGCGCATCAACCCTTCCTTGCAGAAACGTCTGTCCCTAGACAGAGACTCCAGGATGGAGGTCCTGAAGGAGAAAGTGGAGGAGGAGGAGGCCGCAGAGCGGGAGGAGGCAGAGGAGCGTGCTAAGATGGAGAAAACGATGAGGCCCGCGGAGGTGCGGGAGGAAGCCAGCCTGACGCAGGAGATGCTCAGAGACCTGGGGAAGGATCTGTCGGAGATTGAGGTCCCCATCCCAGAAGAGCCCCCGTGAGTGCTGGGATGGGGCTTCCCGCTCAGCAGCCCTGACTCTGGCGGAAGGCTAGGCACAAGAAGAGCCTGGCAGAATGGTGGCACCTGGGCTGGAAGTGGGGACCAGAACACAGGGGGGAGACAGTTAAGAGTGAGGGCTCTAGACCAGGGACTGTGTGGTTCAGAGTCGCCCTTCTGCCCCTCCCCTGGCTGTGTGACCAGGCTGTGACTTTGTCCGTATACCTGTTGAAAAATGCAGGTGCTAATAGTGAAACCTGCCCCGCAAACAGTTGTGAGCAGTACGTGAGGATGGGGTACAGCCAAAGGCAGCTCAGGAGGATGGAGGTTCCCTGGGTGTTCCACGACCGCACTTGAACTGACGCCATCCCTGCTGTGGCACAGGATTTTAACTAAGGACATCATTGACATCTCCTCCCTGCCACCTTCCTACAAAACCAACTCGCTCAAAGAGGAGCACCTGCTGCAGGTGGCGGACAACTTCTCCCGTCAGTACAGCCACCTGTGCCCGGACCGCGTGCCTCTCTTCTTGTACCCACTGAATGAGTGCGACGTGCCGGTAAGGCGGGGTCCTGGGGGCGGGGCCGCGCGCCGCGGCGAGAGGGGGGAGGCGGTCCTCCAAGGCCTCCTGGCCAATCACAGGCTTCCTGTGTAGCAGGCTCCGCGGACTCTGGAGGAGCTGATGGCGGAAAGGTCTGGGGTTAGACCAAGGGAAACAAGGCATCGCGATTTGAATGGGAGCAGATTTCTAAATGCGGGCAGCTAGCACAAATGTTAGAAAGCACCGTGTGGGCTCCATAAAGCAAGCCTGCGGGGCTCTGTCAGCCTAGGGGCTGCTGGTTTTCAACCTTTAGGATTAATTCCAATGCTACTCCATCTATAGATGGGGAAACTGAGGCCCAGAGAGACTCAGGGAGGAGCCAGAAAGGTGACTGGAAAGAAGGAAACCAGTCTCAGGTCCCAGGGCCCGTCCTGATTCACTTTGTCTTGTGTCTCTGTCCTTCCCTGGGTGGGACCCTCGTCTGGGACTGGAGACCGTGCTGGCAGTGAGGTGCTGGCACCCAGAAGCCCTGTAGGCTCACACTTGAGAGGAGATCTGGTCTCCTCCTTCCGCTTTGACTTTCAGGGTCACCTCAGGTGCTCTCTTGGCCTCTCTGAACCTCAGGCTCCCGCTTTGTGCCTGGGGCTTGGGGGATTGCCTTAGATTCTCCCAGCCCAGACCAGATTAAGCTTGTCCTTCCTGTCCTGGTTGCCGTGATGTGATGGGTGTCTCTGGCCCTGCCCCTCCAGTGATGACTGCCATGCTCCAGACCTGGGCATTGCTTTTCCAGCAAGGGGCTGCTCTGCCCCAGCCCTGAGAGCCCGGCTTCCTGCATGTGCTCTGGCCCCCAGCGTCTCCTTGTGGATTCCAGGCACAGGGTTGCACAGGTCCCATCTGTGCCTGGCTCTCATCTCTCCCTTGCAGAAGTTTGTGAGCACCACCGTCCGGCCCACGCTGATGCCCTACCCTGACCTCTACAACTGGGACAGCTGTGCCCAGTTTGTCTCTGACTTCCTCACCATGGTGCCTCTGCCTGACCCCCTCAAGCCGGTAAGGACTACTTGTGGACTGCGTCTGTAGACTCAGTAGGTCTGAGATGGGAAGCCAGGCAGAGTCTGAGGGAAAGAGCCCAGTCAGACTCAGGCCACAGCTCTTTAGAGATTCCTAGGGGGAAACAGGCCCAGAGAGAGATAGCTACTTGCCTAAGGGCACACAGGAAGCCTGCTCTCCTGGCTCTGCTTCTTTCTGCCTCAGTCTCCCTTTCATGACTTCAGGAGATGCAGCAAGGTGTGGGGAGCAGTGCATCTTTGGGCTTTTGGGGGGGTATGGGATTTGAACTCAGGGCCTCACACTAGCTAGGCAGGCATTCTACCACTTGAGCCATGACCCCAGCTGGTTTTGCTGTTTTTCGCTTTAGTTATTTTTCAGATAGGGTCTTGCTTTTTGCCCACAATCCTCCTACTTATGCCTCCTATGTAGCTGGGATTACAGATGTGAACTGCCACAACCATCTTGTTTGTTGAGACGGGGGTCTCAATAACTTTTTGTCTGTGGTGATCCTATCTTCACTTCCTGAATAGCTGAGATTATAGGCATGAGCCTCCTCTCCAACCCCCATCCTTGGGCTTCTCATTGAGAACAACAGAGGGAGGCAGGAAGAAAGGGTAGCTTGGAGGACTGGTAAAGGGAAGTGAAAAAGGATGGGGGATGGGGAGGAGAAGATTGAAGGAAAACAATAAAATTACAGATCACAGGGCATTAGACCAGAAGCTTTTACAGTCCAGAAGTCCTATCCCAAGTCCACGAGCCTTTTAAAATAACAGGCACGTGTGGATTGCATGAGGTCTGGCCAAGGATTGAAAGCCCTGCTGGGGCGCAGCCTACTTCTTGTCCTCCCCATTCCCCTCCCCCAAGTGGGCTGCAAGTGGTAGGAGGGCAGTGAGGGCTGGAGGGCTTGCCCTGCTGACAGCCTGCCCGCTGGGGCAGCCCTCGCACCTGTACTCCTCCACCACGGTGCTCAGGTACCAGAAGGGGAACTGCTTCGACTTCAGCACGCTGCTGTGTTCCATGCTCATTGGCTCGGGCTATGACGCCTACTGCGTCAACGGCTATGGCTCACTGAAGCTGTGCCACATGGACCTGACGCGGGAGGTGTGCCCACTCACCATGAAGGCCAAGGAGGTACTGCCTGGCGCGTGCTGCCCCTGGCAGTGCAAGGGGTGTGGTTCTGGGTGCTGTCAGCCGTCCTTAAAGGCAAGGGACCCTGCTCTGGCCACGTGGCCACAGCCCCATCACCAAGCAGCCCCTTGGTGACCCCAGAGTCCCTATATTTCACAACACAGTGATTTCTCTTCCTGAGCACCATATACAACTCAGTGCTCTGCATTGGCTGCCTTGCCCACTTGTCATAACTTGGTTTAAGTCACTGTCCTCCCACTGAATGCCACATAGCCTCTACCTAAGTCAAACTCTTCCACACATATCCTATACATTGGATATAAGTCCATCCAGCCATTTGCATGTGAGGAAATAAGGGACAAGTGAGCAAGCACAAGATTCTCTGTTCTCCCCCACCCAAGTGAAAAAGACCCAATTTAATAGCACAGAAAAAACAGTCAACATCCCCCCGCTGGGCAGTGGTCAAGTCTAGCACGTGTTGATTGACAGCTTTGTAATGACCAGTACTGCTGCAAACACAGGAAACTCTTAATGCTCTCTGGGAAGAGCACTGTGGGAAAAGCAGCTCTTTATGTGTGGGAAATTGTCCACACTTCAGATAGAAAGACAGAATTCCAGGGCTCTGGAGTCAGAGCCAAGTCTTCAAAGGTGTCTGTGGCTCAGGATGGCGATTTAGGGGCCCAAGGCACCCGGCACCTGGAAATAACCCCACAGCTGTCCCTCGCAATTGCTCCCCATCCCAACCCTGCCCTTCTAGCTCAGATCCTGTTAGTCCCATGCTGGACAGTTGGCACCTCCTGTGGCATTTTCTTGTCCTCACTTCTCAGCACGGGTCCTAGTGGTCTTATCCTGCTTGCAGAGAAGCTGAGATCCAGAGAGGAGAGAGGATGCACCAAGGTCCCAAAGCTGCAGGCTGAAGGAGCAGTGTGACCCCCAGATTCCAGAGCCAGCTGGGTGGGGCTCAGCCCTGTGTCTGTGAAGAGGGCAGGCAGGGCGGCTGACCCTTCCTCTCTTCTTGGGTGACAGTTGGTCAAGAAGGAGGAAAAGGCACCACTTAAGAAATATGCCATCAAACCACCCAGGGACCTGACCAGCAGGTTTGAGCGTGAACAGGAAAGCAAGAGGCAGGCGGATCTGAAAGCCCAGGAGGAGAAGCGACTCCGGGAGGAGGAGGAGCGCATTTTGGTGGGTTCTTGCTGGCTGCGCTTCCACTCCCACACACAGTGGAGAGACTGTGGGGCCAACAGGATGGTCACAGTCTCCCCCACCCCAGGGTGAGATAAGGAGGCTATAGTGTTCCTTTCTTTGGATTTAGCAACACACATGGCCAGTGAACTCCCAATCCCTAGCACCCACCACAGTCCATCTGTGACGACAGGTCTTGTATTGATTGAAACATGGACTCAGAGGTGGGGCGATGGGCCCACAGCTCCCTGGCTGTACCCAAGCCCCAGGAAGGAGGAGGTCCTCCTGGGGTCCCTCTGCCCCCTAGCTGGCTGATGATCACCCCACCTTCTCCCTGCAGGAGGCAGAGAAGGGGAAACCTGACCCCCTGCATGGCTTGCGGGTGCACTCCTGGGTCCTGGTGCTATCTGGGAAGCGTGAAGTGCCCGAGAGCTTCTTCATTGACCCGTTCACAGGCCTCAGTTACAGCACTCAGAACGACCACTTCCTAGGCATTGAGAGCCTCTGGAACCACAAGAACTACTGGATCAACATGCAGGACTGCTGGAACTGCTGCAAGGTGCAGGAGGAGGGTCTAGGGAGGGGGACAAGGGATGGTGGCTCTGGAGTTGGGGGCAGCCTTGAGCATCCCCCGTAGCTCCAACCCCATAGCCCACATCCTTGTGGAAGGCAAATGTCTCCATCCTTTTAAAATGGGGACTGATGGTTGTGAGGATGAATTTGTTACAACTCTGCATTGAAATATAGCACGCGTGCAGAAACCTGTACACATCCTAAGCAGACTGCTCAAAGAGTTTCCAAAAAAGAGCATGCCCCAGTTCCCTGCACCCAGAGTGAGACAATGACCATTGCTTGTCCCCAGAAATGCCCCTTCAGGCGTCTAGCTCCTAGCTTCCTGCAAATATGGCCATGCTTTTTAACTTACGTGACTGGCACTGACACACGCGCATACACAGAGAGGCGCACAACCTTAAGTGTACATCTTACTGCATTGTCACTGACTCCTTTCCCCTCCCGACATAGCCAGGACCAGTGCCTCAGAAGCCCCCTCCCACCCGATCCTGGCCACTCGCCCCTCTCCACTTGCCAGAGTTAACCCCTATCTGGACTTCTAAGGACACCAGTTAGTTTTGCTGGGTTTGGACCTTGTGTGTAAGCAATCATACCATTTGTATTCTTTATGTCTGCGTTTCTCCATTGTGAAGTTTGTGGAATTCATCCGTATTTTGAGCGTAGCTATGGTTTGTTCATTGTGTGTTAATTTTCCTCGCTTGTGTGTACCAGAACTTGCTTTTCCACTCTTCATTACGCATTTAGATAGGTCCCAGTGTGGGGCTATTTTGGCAGGTGCTACTCTGAGCGCTTTTCTGCATGTAGTTCAGTAAACACAGATACTCATTTCTGTTGGGTGCATATGTAGGAGAGGCACGTGTTCCATTTTAGCAGATTCTGTCCATTTTCCAAAATAATTGCCTCAATTTATACTCCCACCATCGGTGTAGGAGAGTTCTGGAAGGTACCTCCTCTCCCGGATATTGTCTTTTTCATCTTAGCTATGGTTTTGCATTGTGGTTTCATTTTAATATACATTTTAACTATTCTAGTAGATAGCGTAATGGTTTTGCATTATGGTTCATTTTTTAATTGGCCAGGCATGGTGGCGCATGCCTGTAATCCCAGTACTCAGGAAGCGCATGCAGGAGGATTATTGCTAGTTCCAGGACAGCCTGGGCTACATAAATAAATTAATACAATCAACTTTTGCATACTGACATCATATCCAATGAGCTTTTAACCTACTTTTTAATTCTAAAACTTACTGTGTAAAGACTTTGGGATTTTCTACAAACAGAGCCACAGCCAAATAACAGTTTTGTTTCTTCCTTTCTCATCTTTTTGGGGTGTGTTTTTATAGAATCAATGTGTCTTTTTTAGATGTTTGCTAGAATTCACAAGTGAAGCCGTCCAAGTCTGGAATTGTCTCTGTGGAGGGTTTTAAACTACAAACTCAGTTTCATCAATACATATAAAGTATTTAGGTCATTTGTTCTTGAGTGAACTTTGGTGGTTTCTGTGTTTTAAGAAATGTGTCTCTTTCACTTACATTTTCAAGTGCATTGCCATGAAAATGGTCATAATAGGTCTGATCTTCTACCTTTTAGAATCTGTAATGATGATACCTCTCATTCTCTATTTATTTAAATTATAAAATGGACTTGCTGTGCAGTTTCCAAATTGCACACAATGCATCTCAGTTGTACGCACTCTCTGCAGTCCTCTTATCCCTCCTCTGCCCCCCCCCGCTTTTTTAGTGGTACTGGAGTTTGAACTCTGTGCCTCATGCTTGCTAGGCAGGTGCTCTCACACCAGAGTCACTCCACCAGCCTTTTTTTGGTGTGTGTTGGGTATTTTCCAGATAGTGTCTCATAAACTATGCCTGGGCTGGCTTAGAACCGAGGTCTCCTGATCTCTGACTCCTGAGTAGCTAGGATTACAGGAGTGTACCCGACTGCCCCCCTTTTTATTCACAGTTTGGACTTAGGGCCTCATGCTTGCTTAGCAGGCATTCTTGCACTTGATGCACCCCTGCCCTTTTGCTTTATTTCTTCAGATAGGGTCTAGCACTTTTGCCTGAGCCAGCCTCAGACTGTGATCTTCCTACCTCCACCTCCCATTTAGCTGAGATTACAGGCATGAACCACCATTCCTGCTGGGATTTCTTCATAGGGAAACTGGATGATGGGATGAGCGTGTCAGCCCCCCATGGGACCTCAGTTTCCCTGTTTAGATGAGGAGTGTGGGTCAGACTCTCAGAGGCCACTTAGAGCTGACATTCTGCCCAGGCCCCTGCTAGCCTCAGGGGGCAGCTGTTTCCTGTCACCACACAGCTGGTGCTGGCGTGGGGGCCATAGGGCGCACTCATCCAATCCTCTCGCCATAGGACTTGGTCTTTGACCTGGGAGACCCTGTGAGATGGGAGTTCATGCTGCAGGGGACAGACAAGCCTTACTTGTCCTTGACTGAGGAAGAAGATGAAGGACTGAACGATGATGATGATGTGGAAGAACTGGTGAGTCTTGGTAGTCTATGGGGCAGGGAATATGGGGGAAGGTTTTGCACCTTGTCTTGCTTCAGGCAAGCTGACAAATGTCCCCAAGAGTGTGTGTGTGGTGCAGGGTGGCCAGGGGAGACCCAGGTGGACTAATTATAGATTCTTCAAAGGCTGGACCGTTAGTGTTGGGGATTTAGCTCAATGGAAGAGCGCTTGCCTGGCAAATACAGGGCTCTGAGTTCGGTCCCCCACACCAGAAAAAAAAAAGGCCAGATCATGCCCTCTTTTTACAGATGGGCAAACTGAAGAGGCCCAGACCTGCCCAGGACCCCTCCATGGGCTCAGGCTAGGACTTGAATTCAGGACCTTTTCCCCTTTGCCCTGTTCAGGGGTCATCCTATTCCTTTAGAGAGCATGCCCTGTGGAGTGGGATCTTAAGTCCCTCTCCGAAAGCCCTTGGGGAGCCCCGAGGACTGGTCATTCTTTAGGTCCATCCTGAGCAGCCACTGTGATTTCCCTGTCCCCCCACCTTACACACACACTGCAGGCTTTTCTTGTCTGTCCTGTCAGGTCTTCTAAAGGCCATTGGCCCAGGGTTCTCCCAAGTTATTGGCCTGGACTGTCTGATCTTCTAGCCAGGGGCCTTCCAGGCAGGTCTGCATGAGGTCCTATGGGGAGGTCAGGTGAGCGGTGGCCCCAGGCATTGGCTGTGTGACCTCAGACGGGAACTTCAGTTTCCTCACCCGTATGTAAAATATGAGAGGGGCCCCAGTTGTATTTGTCACAACAGAAAGAGGCACATTAGTCACTTAGGACACCATAACAAAATCCCACAGGTCAGGGGCTTAAACGACAGAAGTGTCCTGCCTCACGGATCTGGAAGCTGGAGGTCCAAGATCAAGGTGTCAGCAGGGTTGGTTTCTTCTGAGGCCTCTCTCCTGGGTTTGATGGTGGTCAGTGCCCTATGTCTTACCTGGTCTTTTCTGTATGAATCTGTGTCCCAGTTTCCTCTTCTTGTGAGGACACCCGTTGTTTTGGTATCATTTAAGCTACATTATCTCTTTAAAGACCTTGTCTCCAAACACAGCTATGTTCTGAGGTACTGGGTTTAGGAGTTCAGCATAGGAATTCTGGAGGGACACAGAGCAATTCCCATGGGAACACACAGCACTCATGTGACCGCACAAGTACCAGGCCCCTGTGGCAGGTGCTGAATCTGAGCTCACTCATTTAAATCTCCACCCCTCAGTGAGGTGGGGAACCCATTGTTAGGCTCACTCCTGACTGCTGTCCTCTTACAGAGGGGATAACCTATGTATACAGGCTGAAGTCACTCACTTAAGACACAGCTAGTAAGTGACACCGCTGGAGTCTGAACCTAAACAGTGGCGCCATGCCTCAGCGGAGACTCTGTTCTGCATCCTGAGCTGCCTGAGAACAGGGTGTACCGCAGTGCCGCATCTGCTCAGGAATCCTTCAGTTCTATGCCACCTCATTGCTGATCACAGGTGCCCCCTGCTGGCCCTGGGTGGCATCAGCTGCTGTCCAGGGTGCTCAGCCTGAAGGAACCATCCCTGGTCCGTGGTGCCGTTCCAGTCCAGGAGCCCTGTTCCATCCCTGGGTCAGGAACCCCTGTTCCTGCCAAGATTGACAGATGGTGTCCTTAACAGTCAGCACCCAACATGGTCCCCTAGGAAAAATCAGAGCCTCCAACCACAGCCCCCTCACTCAGAAATTTTGACCAAGGCATATTGCTGGCAGTTGACCTATTGTGTCCCCAAAAGAAGACACAAATGATGAGCAGGTGTCAGAGGTTAAGTAGTGTTTGTAATAGAAAGGTTACACACAGGAAAATCCTATCTGTGTTGCTGTGGCTGCCTAGTTGAGGGGCTGTTTGTGTAGACCAGGCCTCATTCACAGATGGGGAAAGGAAGGGCCAAGAGCAGAAATGATATCAGCCAGGCAGTGTCTTCATGTTTATCATATCATTTAGTCCTCCTAAGAGGCCCAAATGACAGCTAAGGAAACTGAGGCTCAGAGTGGATAAAGGATATGCCCAGGCCCCCTAGCTGGTAGTGAATAGAGATGGAGAGTCAGCTATGCCTGACTCCAGGAGCAATTTTCTGGTGAAGAGCCAAGGGCCATGGCTGCTGGAGTCTTGGCTATTAAGGGAGGGTGGGGCTGCTGTCCTAACCAGGCAGGTGGGTGGGGGGGTGACTCACTGGCAGAGCCAACTCCTCCTTCCTTTCCTCCTCTCCTTCCACCTCCTCTTCCCTATCCTGGGCTGTGCTCCAGACCTCTGGCTCTCCAGTGAAGCTGATGGATCCCCTCCCCCCTTGGCTTGGCTGTGAGGGGAGGCACAGAGGCTTTGCTGTGACCTCTACTATGAGGCCCTGGCCAGCACCACCCTCTCTCCCTACAGGGCAAGGAGGATGAGGACAAGAGCTTTGACATGCCGGCCTCATGGGTGATGGAGATCCACATCTCCCCAGAAGGTCTCTGCCCATAGGATCACAGGTCTACTGTCTTTTCCACAGCCAGCCCCGGGCCTCCTGGGAGGTCTGTGGCAACAGACTGGTCCTCTCCACCCTTTCTGATACCGCCACAGCTCTTTACCCAGGGCCTGACACCTCTGGCACACATGAGAGGCTCAGTGAACATCAAGACCACTAAGGACTGAGACATGGCCTGTTCCCCTCCCACAGAGCCACCTGTCTGGATGAGGCCATGGCAGTGTATATAGCACATGGTGCAGGGTATGTCAGGACCTGGGAGGGGCAGGCAGAGGAGGCAGAAGAGTCAGTAGCCAGCCATGTGCTCCCTGTCCATATCTTCTGGCTGTTGAGGTGCCTTTAGGGGAGAGTCTAGGCCTTCAAAGAGGACACAGGCCATTCCAGCAGGTGGCAGTACTAGGTATAAGTGTTGTGAGAATCCATGACAATAGCACACAACCAAACCTGTAAAGGGACTAGGTTGGGGCAGAACAGGGTTCCCAAGTAGGAGCCACTGGAGCTAAGTCTTGAAGGATTGGGAGGGAGTCCAGAAAGGCAGAATGGGGAGGGGAAGTTGTTCCTGACAGAGAAACCTGCCCAGGAAAAGGCCTGGCAGTGAGAGGGTAGTGTGGCTGTGTGCAGACTCCATTCTTGGGGTGGGTCTGTGCTTCTGCCTGTCCTGGCAGTGCCAGGGGTTGGAGCCAGTGCTGTTGACCATTCTGTGAGTGCCTGGAGCAGACTCAGGGCCTACAGGGGCTTAGCAGGCAGTGCAGCAGACAGCGGATGGATGAGTGGCCCAGTGGAGTTGGCCCTTCTCCCACAGTCTGGAAGGAAAGACCCCAGCCCACTCTGCATCCACAGCATTCGAGACCCGCTGCCCAAATGGGAAGAAGGTGATACAGTACAAGAGGGCCCAGCTGGAGAAGTGGGCCCCGTACCTCAACAACAACGGCCTCATGTGCCGCCTCACCACCTACCAGGACCTGGAGTGTAAGAGGGCAGCTCCAGCTGTGGGGCCAGGGAGAGCTACGGGACCTTGGGCAGCTCGCTCCTGTTCCCCCGTGCTGGGAATGGTAGGTGTGTGGGCATCACTGGCCTGGCTGCAGGAAGCATCCTTTACCGCTGCCCCCCCTCCCCACCCAGGTACCAAGATTCTGGAGATAAAGGAGTGGTACCAGAACCGGGAGGACATGCTGGAGCTGAAGCACATAAACAAGACCACAGGCCTGAATGTCGACTACTTCAAGCCAGGCCACTCCCAGGCTCTGCGCAGTGCGTGGACCCCATAGCTGGGTCAGCCAGGTGTTTGGAGGGGGGGCAGGAAGGCTTATGTCATAGAAAGGCCTCTATGCCAGGTGGCACATTCTGGAGGAATAGGTGTCGACAGGGTTCTTGGATGGCTATCAACAGACCCTGTCCTGCCTAAGCATGCCAGGTATGCGGGTGGCTGGGGAAGCTCAGAGAACCCAAGGGCTTAGGACCACCATTCTTCCAAGGAAGTTAAAGTGAGGGCCATGTGCTGTCCTGAGACAGCATTGCACAGGAATCCCACCAAAGGGTCATGCAGTGTAAACCACATTTAACGGGGCTAAGGATGCCAAGCATTAAAGCCAGCTAACACCCCCTCGAGGGCAATGTGGAAGGCAGTGTGCCCGCGGTATGCACACAGCCTGGAGCCCACGAGTTTGGGAAGAGAGGGAAGAACGTATTTAGGAGAGAATCAACAACCCTGACCAAGATGTTGGCCAGTATACCTCATTTGGTAGATGAAAATTTAAAAATACAACAAAGTCAATAAGGAGCCATGTTATACCAGATGTGAACAGGTGTGGGAAGCGGTAGACAGCTGTTTCTTGTCCCTGTTGGTAGGCCACCAAGTGGTTTGACTTCTCTAGAGGAAAATTGGGCAGAATATATTAATTATACTTGGGCTGGGGTATAGCTCATGTTAGAATATGGGCTTAGCTTGCATGAGATCCCTAGGTTCAATCCACAGCATAATAATAATAATAATAGCCTTAAAATATTTATACTTTTTTGATCCAGCAATTCCACTGCTGAGAATTTGTTCTTAGCAAATAGTGGGCAAGAACAAAAAATGTGGGCTGGCAGAGTGGCTCAAGTGATAGAGCACCTGCCTCGCAAGAATGAGGCCCTGATTCAAATGCAGTATTGCCAAAAATAAAAATAAAATAATAAATGTGCTAGACACTGGTGGCTCATGCCTGTAATCCTAGCTATTTGAGAAACTGATATTGGGAGGATCTCAGTTTAAAGCCAGCCCCAGCAAATAGTTCCTGAGACCCCATCTCCAAAATAACCAAGACAGAATGGATTGAAGGTGTAGCTCAAGTGGTAGAGTGCCTGTTTTGCAAGCATGAAGCCCTGAGTTCAAACCCCGGTCCAGAGAGAAAGAAAACAAAAAATGGAAAATACACAATGCAGATGTTCATCCTGGTGTTGTTTATAATAACAAAATTGGATACAGGCTAAATATGCAGCAATGAGGGACTGATTCCATAGCTAGCATTCATCTGCAATATCTACCTGCCTTCTCCCCAGTCTGTGGTCAGGTTCCCAGGCCTACAGTCACAGCTCCTGGTTCTCACCCAGCTGTCTTCCCCCCAGTGCACTCATACAAGTCCATGCAGCCTGAGATGGACCGCATCATGGAGTTCTACGAAATGGCCCGTGTGGATGGCCTCGTAAAGCGGGAGGAGACGCCCAAGACTATGACAGAATACTATCAAGGACGCTCGGACTTCCTCTCCTACCGCCACATCAACTTTGGAGACAGGGTCAAGAAGCCTGCTCCATACAATACAGAGTCAAACCCACGGCCCATGGTGGTAAGAGCTGGCTGGGTCTGAGAACAGGCTGCCTGTCTTCTCTGGCAGACAGAGGTCACCCTGGGAGGGGGAGAGCCCTGGCTCTATGGTAGCATCAAGGCCAGTAACGTTGCCAGGGCACCAACGATGAGCCAAGCGTTTTACCAAGTGCATGATCCCTGGGCTTGCTCATTCAGACTGTGCCCCTAACCACTGGACCAAAAAGGTGTTATTTCCTGTTGTTATGAACAAATACACACTGATGCCTAAGTATCTGGAAAAGCAAAAGGTGTGGTGCACACCTGTAAGCCCAGCTACTTGAGAGGTGGAGATAGGAGGATCACAGTTCAAGACAAGCCCAGGGAAAAGGTAGCAAGACCCTGTCTCAAAAGCAAAAAATAAAAAAAAAGGGCTGGGGGAGTAGCTCAAGTGGTAGAGTGCTTGCTGAGCATGTACCAGGCCCTGGATTCAATCCCCAGTACTAAAAACAAACAAACCCCCCCCCATGAAATAGAAAGACATCTCAAAATGACATCTCTCAAATATTACTGTGGATTAATTGCTTTGGTCTCAAAAGTCTTTTCCAGTTAATTGAGATCTGAGGGGAGGGTGGGGCTTAGAGTCCCTGTGTTACCCACTGGACATTAAGCCATGTTTTGATAATGACTGTATTTTCTCTCTGTCTGTGGCTGAGAGAGTTCTCAGGCTACTCAATTACAGCAGTGGTGTGATTTCTTCTGACTGCAGGACCGTAGGGAGGGCACCTAGACACATCAGGAGCAGGACATGGAAATGCCTTTCTGGCTCCATTTTCTGGATCACACTGTGCTGCTGAGAGCAACTCTGTGACTCTGTCTTTCTCCTGTTGTGACCTGTGAGTGGCACTGGGGTGGTGGGCTGAACTCAGGTCATCACAGAGGCTTGAAATGTGGAGGCACTTCCTAAAAATTGTGCTACAATTATTGTGCAAAGAAATTATGGGATGAAGAAGAATGTCAAAGCCTGTGGATTGGTGGATTGGCATGGACCCCCTTTTTGTACTTGGTGGCCGCTGGAGTACGTCCATCTGAGGAGACATTTGTGAAGAATGCTGCTGCACTGGATACTTCTGCAGGTGTCTGACGATCCCTCCACTACAGTAGTCCTGTGCTCTCCACTGCAACTGCAGGAGAGCCCCTGAGCCCCCATCAATGAGTGGGAACTCCAGTCCCCTCACTGAAGGGAAAAAAAGGTAATTGGTACCACAACAAGAACTCTACAAGGGGTAACATATCCAGCATACCCCTCTCTGAGAAACACTGCTGGAGCTCCAGGAGAAAAGAACTCAACACCCCAACTACAGGAGCACAAGGAAATAAAACCCTAACCCAAAACAACTCCAGTTGCATAAATCTCAGTGCAGAATGAAATAGCAAGGCAACCACTCTCATCAAAAGCAATTCCACCACTAAGGATCCAAACACCTGTGCAGAGGAAGAACTATCAAATAATGAATTCCAAAAAAAAAATAGTAAAAATGATTAATGACCTCAAAGAAGAAACACAAAAGTTAGTATTTGACCTCAAAGAGAACATGAATAAACAATTAAATGAGTTCACAGAGAATACAAACAAATGAATGAAATTAAGAAGACATGAAAGAGGAAATCAGTAAGATAAGGAAATCTTGAAAAATAATCAATTTGAAATAACTCAATATCCCAAATAAAAAATCTCAATTGAAAACTTGGTGAACAGAGTGGAACAAGTTGAATATAGAGTATCAGGAACTGAAGACAAAGTAGAGGAATTAGACCAAACAATAAAAGATCATGAAAGAATGCTAAGAAAATACAAATGGAACATGCAAGATATCTGGGACACCATGAAAAGACCAAACCTATGAATCATGGGTGTAGAAGAAGGAAAGGAGATACAAATTAAAGACATTGAAAATCTATTCAATAGAATAATAGCAGAAAACTTCTCTAACCTCAAGAAAGAGAGAGTTACCCAGGTGCAGGAGGCTTAGAGAACACCAAACTGTCAGGACCAAAAAAGAAATACCCCTAGACACATCATAATCAAAACACTCAGCACACAGAACAAAGAATTCTGAAATCTGCAAAAGAGAAAAGACAAGTCATATATAAAAGCAAACCCATTAGAATAATAGCAGATTTCTCAACTCAAACTGTAAACACAAGAAGGTCATGGAAAGACATAATTCAGGCCCTGAAAGAAAGCACCTGTCAACCTATACTAATCTATCCAACAAAACTATCCTTTCTAATTGAAGGGGAAATTAAAACCTTCCACAAGAGGAAAAACTAAAGGAATTTGCGACCACCAAGCCAGCACTATAGAAGATACTTAAAGGACTTTTACATATAGAAAAAGAAACGAGAGTGAGACAGAAAGACTCAAGAAAGAATAAACCCTTTTGAGCAAGCAGACCAGTAAACAAAGAATATGTAAGACTAAACAACAGGGGACAAGAATAACTGGGAACAACAAGCACCTCTTAATATTAACACTGAATGTAAATGGCCTCAATGCCCCAATCAAAAGACATAGAATAGCAAACTGGGTTAAAAAACAAGACCCAACCATATGTTGCTTACAAGAGACTCATCTCACTGAAAAAAATAAACACTGGCTTAGAGTCAAAGGGTAGAAAAAACATTTTCCAAGCAAATGGACCCCCAAAACAGCAGGAGTAGCCATATTCATATCTGACGAAGTAAACTTCAGACTAAAATCAATCAGAAGAGACAATAAAGGTCACTTCATGTTAATGAAAGGAACAACTCATCAAGAGGAAATATCAATCTTTAACATATATGCTCCAAGCGCAGGGGCACTCTAACAAGCCGGTGGCTCATGGCTGTAATCCTAGCTACTCAGGAAGAAGAGATCAGGAGGATTGAGGTTTGAAACCAGCCCAGGCAAATAGTTCACAAGACCCTATCTTGAAAACACCCATCACAAAAATAGGGCTAGTGGAGTGGCTCAAGGTGAAGGACCTGAGTTCAAGCCCCAGTACTGCAAAAAAAAAGCAAAAAACTCTAATGGCATGGCCCTAGGAGCACAGACAGATGCTAACACAGTGATAGTGGGAGAATGGAATACCCCACTGTCACCAATAGATATGTCATCCAGACAAAATGTCAACAAAGAAACTTCAGAGCTACTCCACACATTAGACCAAACAGACATAGTTGAGATCTACAGAATAGTTCACCCAACAATTAGGCAATACACATTCTTTTCTGCAGTTCATGGAGCTTTCTTCAAAATAGATCATATTTTAGGACACAAAGCCAGTCTCAACAAATTCAAGAAAATCGAAATAATCCTCTGTATCATATCAGACCACAATGGAATAAAACCAGACCTCAACAATGAAAGAAACCCCAGAAAATATTCAAACACACGGAGACTGAACAATGCACTGCTGAAAAACCAGTAGGTAACTGAAGTAATAAAGGAAGAAATCAAAATGTTCCTAGAATCCAATGAAAATGAAAATACAACCTACCAGAATCTGTGGGGCCCAGCAAAGGTCGTGCTAAGGGGAATGTTTATAGCTCTAAGTGCCTACATCAAAAAACAGAGACCTCTCAAATAAACAATCTCATTATGTACCTTAAGCTCCTAGAAAAACAAGAACAAACTAAACCCAAACCCGCAGATGGAGAGAAATAATAAAGATCAGGGCCGAGATCAATGAGATCAAAACCAAACTAAACAAAGAATCAATGAAACAAAAAGTTCTTTGAAAAGATTAACAAGATCAACAAACTTAGCCAACATGACAAAATGGAGGTGGGAGAAGACCCAAATTAATAAGATCAGAGATGAAAAAGGGGACATAACCACAAATGACAACAAAATCCAGAGAATCATTAGAGAGTACTTTGAAAATTTATATTCAAGTAAACTGGAAAATCTAGATGAAATGGATAAATTCCTAGATACAGATAACCAACCAAAATTGGATCAAGAAGATATTGCCTTAATAGTCCTATTACAGGCAATGAGGTTGAAGCAGTAATGAAGAAGAAGAACAAGGAAGAGCCCAGGACCTGATGACTTCACAGCTGAATTTTACCAAACTTTTAAAGAAGAACTAACACCAGTACTTCTCAAACTTTCCCAGAAGTAGCAAGGGAAGGAACACTACCAGACTCTTCTATGAAGCCAGCATTACACTTATTCCAAAACCCAATATAGGCACAACCCGAAAAGAGAATTATAGACATCTTTAATGAATATAGATGCAAAGATTCTCAACAAAATACTGGCAAACAGAATTCAACAACACAACAAAAAGATCATCGCCACGACCAAGTCAGTTTCATTCCAGGGATGCAAGGATGGCTCAACATATGTAAATCCATAAACGTAACACAGCATATAAACAGAAGCAAGGACAAAACCACACAGTGCTCCCAATAGCCACAGAAAAAGCCTTTGATGAAATCCAACACCCTTTCATGATAAAAGCTCTGAAGAAACTAGGAATAGAAAGAATGTTCCTCGACACAGTAAAGGCTCTATATGACAAACCTACAGCCAACATCATACTAAATGGAGAACAACTGAAATCATTCCTGTTCAAGTCAGGAATGAAACAGGGCTGTCTGCTTTCTTTATTTCTATTCAATATAGTTTTTTGAATTCCTAACCAGAACAATAAGACAAGAGGAAGAAATAAAAGGGATTCAAATAGGGAAGGAAGAAGTCAAACTATCTCTATTTGCAGATGACATGATCCTATACCTAAGAGACCCCAAAAACTCTACCAAAAAATTACTAGAAATCACAAACTCTTTCAGCAAAATAGCAGGATACAAAATTAACATACAGAAATCAGTAGCTTTTCTATATAACAATGAACAGACTGAGGAAGAAATCAGGAAACAATCCCACTTACAATAGCTTCAAAAACAATAAAGTACCTCGGAATAAATTTAATGAAACAAACCAAAGACCTTTTAATGAAAACTATAAACCACTGAAGAGAGAAATCAAAGAAGACATCAAAAGATGGAAAGACCTTCCATGCTCGTGGATCAGTAGAATCAACATTGTGAAAATGGCTATCCTACCAAAAGCCATCTACATGTTCAGTGCAATCCCTATCAAAGTTCCAGTGACATTCTGCACAGAAGTAGAAAAATCACAAAATACATATGGAAATACAAAAGACCTCTAATAGTCAAAGCAATTCTGAGCAAAAAATCCAATGCTGGAGGTATCACAATACCCACTTCAAACTATACTACAGAGCCATAGCAATAAAAACAGCATGGTATTGACACAAAACAGACAGGAAGACCAATGGATCAGAATATTAAATCCAGACATAAACCCACTGGTCTGATCTTCAACAAAGGAGCCTAAAACACACGATGGAGAAAAGACAGCCTCTTCAACAAATGCTGCTGGGAAAACTGGATATCCACATGTAGACTGAATCTAGATCCCTGTCTTTCACCCTGTACCAAAATCAACTCAAAGTGTATCAAAGACCTTAATATAAGGCCTGAAACTTTGACACAACTCCAGGAGCAGTAGGAAATACATTGGAACAGATATAGGGAACGACTTCCTAAACAGAACTCAAAATGCTCAGCATCTAAAAGAAACAATGAACAAATGGGACTGCATCAAACTAAAGAGCTTCTGCACAGCAAAGGAAACAGTCACCAGACTCAAGAGACAGCCCACAGAATGGGAGAAAAATCTTTGCTGGATACTCATCCAATCAGGGACTAATATCCAGATTCTACAGGGAATTCAAAAAATTCAAAGAATCACCCCAGTGAAGAAATGGGCACATGAATTAAACAGGGAATTCTCGAAGAGGTACAAATGGCCAGTACATACATGAAGAAGTGTTCAACTTCCCTGGTTATAAAAGAGATGTAAATCAAAACAACACTTAGATTTCATCTCACCCCAGTTAGAATGGGCATAACCAAGGGTAGTAACAACAACAAATGCTGGTGAGGATGTGGCAAAACAGGAACCCTTATACACTGCTGGTGGGAATGCAAATTAGTACAACCACTACAGAAAGCAGTATGGAGATTCCTCAAAAAACTAGAGATTGAACTGCCATCTCTCCAGTGATACTGCTCCTGGGCATCTACCCAAAAGAACGTAAAACAGGATATAGTAGAGACACCTGTACACCGATGTTTATTGCAGCACTGTTCACAATAGCCAAGCTCTAGAAACAACCCTGATGCCCTACAACTGATGAATGCATCATGAAATTGTGGTACACATACACAATTGAGTATTACTCAGCCACAAGGAATAATGACATGGGGTTTGAAGGTAAATGGATGCAATTGGAGGATATCATGTAAGGGAAGTAGGCCAGGATCAGAAACACAAAAGACCATGCTTTCTCTCAAACATGGAAGACAGATCCAAAGATAAACATATACACAAAAACAAGCATGGTCATATACCAACTCAGATATAGAACATGTTTGTAGTAGTGTAACTACTCTATGGAACTTGGAAAGAGAGAGAGGAAAAGAGAATGATGGAGCATCAGTAATATCACATAACATAAGATGTGAAGGTAGAGGATATAAGGATGTGTACTGAAAGCTGTTGAAATATGGGAGTGGGAGGTAAAGGGGTAAGGGAGAGTATTTGAAAGGGTTGAACAGACCAAAGTAAAGCACACCCACAGTGGGCATGCATTGAGGCACCCCTTTGAACATCAACTTAAATATTACTAACGAAAATCAGGACTGTAAAGCAGGCACAAATGTGTGGAGCGGTACACTAATGGAAGAGGGGAGAGTGAAAAGGAGATTAAGGTGACAGGAAATGGTTGATGGACTCCATATACCTATATGAGTTTATTTATTTATTTAGGTGGCACTAGGGGTTTGAACTCAGGGCCTCCCACTTTGTAGGCAGACAATCTACCACTTGAGCCACTCTGCTAGTTCCATATACCTAGATGAAACAGAACTAAAAAATCGCTTGCAATAGCTTTAAGTGGCGTGGATAGGGGGCTGAGGCAGAGAGACAATAGGGGCAATGTAAATAATGTATGTTATAAGTCTAATTGGAATTGTCATTATGAATCCACCACCACCACCTGCCCATAATGAATATATCCTAATAAAAAATTTATAATAAAAAAAAACTGTGTTTTTTCCCTGCAAGTCATTACAAATTATTTGACAACTGAGCTTCTGGCTGCACACCACAGAAGCTCTTTGTGGCAGGAGCTGTCTTGTGATGGGTGGGCTGCCTGCAGAGCTGGTGCCTCCCCATCTCTGGGGTCAGGCAAGCAAAGTCCTATGGAAGGAGCCCAGCACCACATGGGGCTGGAGTGGCTCAGTCCTGAGAGTCCTGACCCCTTTGGGGGTCACAGAATCCATTGTCTGGCTAGAAGGTCCCCTCCCCTCCAAGGTTCCAGAGCCCAGTGTCCTGTGTGTCCTTTGCCTGGGAAGGGAGCATGCACAGAAATCCCCCCCTCTCATCCTCGGCTTGCTTACGCCTCACAGAAAATCACGGAGCAGTTCAACCGCAATCGCGCGAAGCCCGCGGACGAGGACGTGGCCGAGCGCGTGTTTCTGATCCCTGAGGAGCGCATCCAGCTGCGCTACCACTGCCGGGACGACCACATCACGGCAAACAAACGCGAGTTCCTGCGGCGCACGGAGGTGGACAGCAAGGGTAACAAGATCATCATGACGCCGGACATGTGCATCAGCTTCGAGGTGGGTGGGGGCGGGGAGGGAACTGCGCCCTGGGTCCTCTTCCCGCACCCTGGGTCACCCATGGTGGACAGTCTAGAAACCCAGCCCCGAAATCCATTGCTGCCCCTCGGGAAAACCCAATCTCCCATTTGGCGACCCTGGGGATCCTGCCTTTTGCAGCTCCTCTGAAAACTCCACTTTTCCATCAACATGAGAACACAGCAGGCTGATGTTACTCTTCATGGTCCCTGCCCCCCATCCCTAGTCAGCATAGACCCCAGACCTCAGGTTACCCATGCTGAGGGGAGAAGAGTCTTACTTCCTCCGAGGGACTCAGCTTCGGAATTAAATTCACCTCCTGGTGCATCCTGTATCCCCTTCTGTGTCTTCAGTTCCTCTTCTATTATTATTATTATAATTATTTTTGGTGGTACTGGGGTTTGAACTTAGGACCTCATGCTTGCTAGGCAGGCACTCTATCACTTGAACCACTCTGCTAGTGATTTTGTGTTGAATATTTTTTGAGATGGGGGGGGTCTCTCAAACTATTTCCTCCTGATCTCCGCCTACTAAGCAGCTAGGATTACAGGTGTGAGCCACCAGTGTCTGGCCTGTGACTATATTTTTATATGTAAAGCAACAGGTACAGCAGGGCACCGGTGGCTCACACCTGTAATCCTAGCTACTCAGTAGGCAGAGATCAGGAGGACTGCGGTTTGAAGACAGCCTGGGCAAATAGTTCATGAGATCCTATCTCAAAAAAATCCATCACAAAAAGGGCTGGTGGAATGGGTCAAGGTGTAGGCCCTGAGTTCAAACCCCAGTACCGCAAACAAAAAAGAAAAGAAAAAGCAACTGAGGTACGAGAGGTTAAACAGCTTGCTTGAGGTCACACAGCTAAAAAGATGCAGGAGTAGACGTGGGCCAAGTTGCCCCAGGACCCTGCCTGTTGCAACCCCTCTCACTGGCATGGTTCTGGTCCCAGGTGGAGCCCATGGAGCACACCAAGAAGCTTCTATACCAGTATGAGGCCATGATGCACCTGAAGAATGAGGAGAAGCTGTCCCGACATCAGGCTTGGGAGTCGGAGCTGGAGGCAAGCTCCCACGGAGAGCCAGTAGGGGGCAGGGGGCAGGGGGCAGGGGCCAGGGCTAGGGACGTCTTGGTCATGCCATCCATCGCTTGACAATTCAGGTGCTGGAGATCCTGAAGCTTCGGGAGGAGGAGGAGGAGGCGCACACACTGGCCATCTCCATTTATGACACCAAGCGCAATGAGAAGAGCAAGGAGTATCGGGAGGCCATGGTGAGCCTTGCCACCTTGCCCAGGGCTACATTTCCCTGGACCCTCTCCAGGGTGGGGAGAACTGCAGAGATTCAGCAGGAAACTCTTAACTGATGATGACATCACTTATCCTTGCTGTTGAGCTGACCATTTCTAAGGTTTATCCCAAAGAGCACTCAAGATCTAGGCCAGGTCCCCTACCAAGGGCTGTGGCCAAGCCAAGACCTATGTATGGTGCATGGGGAAAGAATGGAAACTGAATGTCCACTGTCACCAGGACTCCCATTGAGGCTGTGGCCTGAGTTGGGAGACCCAGCAAATTGACTCCAGTCACAAGCTGAGCTCTTGGTCCCTGAAACACAGGGCCTTACACATTCGGGGCCCAGGGTCCAGGTTGTTTTTTGAGGCCAGCTTCTGAATCTCATTTGCCTCTCAAGTGCAGATTTCTAAAAGTACTTCCGCTTTGGGGTTGGTGAGGCAAGACAGGGCATCAAATGACTGTTCTCCGATCCCTAGGGGATGGCATCAGTCCTTATATCACCAGCTTTCCTGGTGCTGGTCCACCCATGAGGACATAAGGCCCCAAGGTGAGAGAATAATGATGGTAGGTTAGCATCCTTAATAACTACTGCCCTTCACTGACTCAGCATCTCCTGTGGACTGTCAGGTGCCAGGTTGTGTGCTTGACAGACCTGATCCTGTCTGAATTCTCAGAGAGAGCCATGAATTACATACTACCCACAGACATAGACACAAGAGACCATCCTGTCTCACAGGTGCCTATACTGGGACCTGGGTTGAGGACCTGGTGTGGTGCTGTCCCACTGTTGATGCAGAGCTGGCGGGGAGGACTCCCAAGGGCCCTGCTGCCCTGCTGATCTAGCCGACTCCCCACAGGAGCGGGTGATGCATGAGGAGCACCTGCGGCAGGTGGAGGCCCAGCTGGACTACCTGGCTCCATTCCTGGCTCAGCTCCCCCCGGGTGAGAAGCTGACTCGCTGGCAGGCAATGCGCATCAAGGACGAGTGTCTCAGTGACTTCAAGCAGCGGCTCATTGACAAGGCCAACCTTATCCAGGCCCGCTTTGAGAGGGTGTGTACAGGGCCTAGGCAGGGGAGGAGCCTTCCCCTCTAGAAAATGGGACTGGGGCTATCTGCCCAGCACCTCACTGATCTGTGAGGGACTAGTGGGCAGACTAATATGTCAGGCTCCCAGATGCCTAGCTATTCTTCTTCCCTTTTGATTTTTGGATGGCTAGACTGATGGATGGATGGATGGATGGGTGGATGGATGGATGGATAGGTGGATGGATAGATAGATGGATGAGTGCATAAATGGGTGGGTGGATGGATGGATAGAATGGATGAATGGATGGAACTGATGGATGGATAGATAGGTGGATGGATGGGTAGATGGATAGATGGGTGGATAGATAGAAAGGATGGATGGATGGATGGAAGGAATGGATGGATCGATAGGTGGGTGGATGGCTAGGTGAATGGGTAGATGGTGGATAGATAGGTGGGCAGATGGAAAGATAGGAAGAGGAACTGGTAGACAGATGGATGGGACATTATAATGACTCCTACTCCTTGCCCATTTCTGTGGGTTAGGCACACACCACATAGCTTCTGTGTAGTACCTCCCTTAGTTCTCACACAAAGCTCTACATGGAGCAGGGGGGACAGGTGGGGATGAGGTACAACAGCCTTTATTTGGAGGCTCTGAAAATGTCAGTAACTCGTCCAGAGTCAGAGTCTTGTGGCTGGTTTTTTTTTTTTTGCAGTGCTAGGAATGGAACCCAGGGCCTCATGCATGCTAGTCAATTGCTCTATCACTGAGCCACATCCCCAGCCCCAGCTGATTGCTTTGACCCTACTTGACCCCATGGATATGACATCCCTCTAAACATGACCCAAGAATCTCCCTCCAAGACATTTTGTGATCCCTGCCTCTCTCTGGCCCTCTGCTTGTGTGGATGCGGCTGTCTCTGGTGACCAGTGGGACAGCAGCTTGCAGCCTGGGGAAGGACAGCCCTCATCATCCTTCTGCCTGTCTCCCTGGCCTACAGGAAACTCAGGAGCTGCAGAAGAAGCAGCAATGGTACCAGGAGAACCAGGTGACCTTGTCGCCTGAGGACGAAGACTTGTACCTGAGCTACTGTTCTCAGGCCATGTTCCGTATCCGTATTCTGGAACAGAGGCTCAACCGGTGAGCGGGGGTGGGAGCCACGAGTCCCTGGGAGCTGACCTGCCTGCTGCTTTGAAACCAGTCACCCCTCTCCTTCTGCTTCCCTCCGCTGCAGGCACAAGGAGCTTGCTCCGCTGAAGTACCTGGCACTGGAGGAAAAGCTCTGCAAGGACCCACGCCTGGTGGAGCTGGTGAAAGTCTTTGTTTGATATCCCTCATGGGGCTACCAAGAAAGCTGCCAGAGAATGGAAACCTCCCCCTCAGGCCGGCCTCCCCACACACCACTAATGGCTACTGCTACTCAGCTACTTGCTGACCTAGCTGCCATACCACCTCCCCCCCACCCGCTTCTCAAAGTTTCCCCCTAAATAAACACACTTTTAATTTGCTATCTGTACCTGAGGGCTTCACAAGCTATGACCCCACTCTTTCTCCTGCCCTTCTTTATCTATAGTCCGGGGCCCCTCCTTTCCTCCTCACTGTGACCACTTTCCTCACTTGCTTCTTATCCTTCCTCCTGCTGGATGTCATCTTCACCTCTGCAGCATCCCACAGCCACCTGCAAACAACTGAATAGATCTCCTCAATGTATTGCTGGTGGCCCAGCTCACAAAGTGAGAATGGCAAGGCCAAGGTGCATGCCCCAGAATATGGGGCTTTGACATTAGAGGGCAAGAGACGGGATTCCATTTCCTCTTTTGCCATGTACCCCTTTGTGAAACAGGGATGACCATGTTGCATTAAATAAGATTTAAGAAGAGCCAGGTGGGGTGGTGCACACCTGTGTTCCCAGCTGCTTTGGAAGCAGAGGTAGGAGGACCTTAGTTGGAGGCCAGCTCAGGCGAAGTCAGCATGAGACCCTATCTGAAAAACAAAACTAAAACCAAAAGGATTGGGGATGTGGCTCAAATGGTAGAACTCTTGCCTAGCAAGTGTGAGCTCTGAGTTCAATCCCCAGCATGAGAGAGAGAGAAGAATGGACACATAAATTGTGGTCTTAAGATACTTTTGGATGTCTTGATTGAACTCTATCTAGTGAGTAAAGGCCAGAGATGCTGCTGAAAATCCTACAGTGCACAGGATGGCCCCACAACAAAGAATCTAGGCCAACACGTCAGTAATGTGGAGGTTGCTAGAGCAAGGGAAATGCATGAACACACTATATGGGATGACGTTGTGGTTGAATTTCTAAAGTATTATGTTGTCAAAGGATAATAAAATTCACACCATACCATCCCATTTATGTAAAGAGCAACCCAGGCAAGATTAATTAATGACTTAAGATGGCGCTCGTTCCTGGGTGTGAGGGGTAGTGAATGGTAGGAGGCACCAGGAGAGCCTGCTATGTTCCACTTCTTCAGTGGATGAAGCTTATGGAATGTTCAGTGGATGTTCAGCTTATGAAAATGCACCAACCTTGTACGTTAACAGTATGTGTCCTTTGGGGTGTGTGTACTTTATTCCAGTAACAAGTGTTTTTAAATGCTTGTCATGAATCTAATCCTATCTCTAGACCTAATTTTCACTTAACAAGAAATTCAGGGGAAGAAGATTGGTTCCTGGTTAGGGGCATTTTATTTCCTTTTTCACCCAGTGCTGGGGATTGAACCTAGGGCCTCCTGCATGCTAGTCAAAGCTCTGTACCACTGAGCTACACCCCAAGCCTGGTTCCTACTTAGAAAAAAAGTTTTTAAATATATTGAGGACATTTGACGATGGATTGGATGGTGATGTTACACAATTATTGTTTTCTCAGAAGAATGGTAATGATGGTTACGTGACTCAGGGCCCTATAATAAAGAGCTCCATGCTCTGTATTTAGCGTCAGGATTGAAATCTCATGAAACATATAACACACAATTTTCAAATGGTTGGGGACGGGAGGAAACAGGGCAAAAAGTGTCAAAATCTAGATGATACAATTTTTTTACTCTGAAGTTTCCCCTGTGAAGCTTTTTATAATAAAAAGTTGAGGGGAAACGCGGGCTGGACAGTTTTGATGTTATTCCCCTAATCCAGTCCCAACATCCCCGGGCCTGGTTCCCCAAGTGCCAAGAGACAGTCGACCCTCTGTCGCTGGCAGAGGAGGTGCTTCGGTAAGGCATTCCCCAGGCTTTGGCTTTGAGCACAAGGGTTCGAGGCCAGGGCCGGTATTTTAAGCTCTGTCGTCTTTTATAAGCACCTTAACCTGGGCCTCGGTTTCGTCATGCGTAAATGGAAACAGGGGCTCCTGCTCCTTAGAGCAGGAGCGTGAGGCCAAGCAGCGCCCCAGGTCTTCGGCACTGGGCTGGGACCGAGTCCCCCGGAGAGCGGGGCGACACGAAGGACCCCGATGCATGGTGAGTGAAAGTGTCACAAAGTCGGCTTCTCTCGGGTCCTAACTCACGGTCCCCGCACGGGTGCCGCCACTCGCCCATCCATTCATTCGCCAAAACGGTGGCCGCGGGGCGGCACCTAGGGCTCCATGCCCAACTCCACCCGGAATCTGGCTCAGTTTCCCTTTTAGGGCCCCTGCGGGAAACTCAAGCCGGCATCCGGATCAAAGAACAGAGGGAAAGTCCTTAGACCATGGAGGCAAAGGGAACAAAGAACAACTACCACAAGATGCGATTACCGCCACATTCCCACCTCGCCCTATTCCAAGATGGAAGGTCCGCGGTTTCTCGCCGCTCCCAAAGTCCCCTTCCCATTGGCTAATTGGAAATTGGTGTTCCAATAATGAGAATGCTGATTGGTCACTTCGGGACGGTTGCTAAAGCGATTGGTGCAGCCGCCATTGGACAACGACTCGCACAGTTTTCAAACGCAAACTAAGTTCCAGGAAGAGAAGAAAAGGGGGAGAAAAGGGAAAGCCTAAGGCGGAGGCGGGACCAAAAAAGGCAGCTCGCATTGGTTCATTATAGACCTCAGGGCGGCTCTTGAAGGCTCCTTCCTCATGATTAGTCCTATTCAGGAAAAGGAGGCGGGTAATTACCCAAAGCGGCAGAAGCGCCTGCTTCTATTGGTCAGTCCTGGCGAGAGGAGGCGTGCCTGCGGTGGCTGATTGGTGGGAGAGGCAAGGTGGGCGGGGCTCTGGGACTGAGGTTTTGTTGTGAGGGTCGGTTGTCAAGCAGCGACCAATCAGGGCAGGGGATGGAGGCAAGTAGGGGTCGCGCCTGGAGCCAAGTCTTGGCCTCCGGAGCCTCAGCTGCAGGTGGAGTGGGCTACGGGCGAGGAGGCGAGAAGGCGAGGGAAAGATGGGTCCTAGATTGGGCCGATTTTGGCGGGGCCGGCTGGGCTACGGGGAGAGGGTTCCGGTCAGAGGGAGGCTAGAACCCGTGCCGGGCAAACCAGAGGGGCGGGAAGATCAGCGAGGCGGAGGAACTAGCCACGGTCTTGGGATAAGGGGACCCGACGTGGAGGCCGGAGGGGGAAAGGCAGGGGAGCCGGAAACAGAGCTGTGGGTCTGCAGGAGGATGGGTGAAGAGCAGGCGCACGAGCAGCAGGGAAGCGAATGAATGGGGGACACCGAAAGTCGCGGGGAAAGAGGAGTAAAGGGAGCTGGCGAGGCGGGGGCCAACGTGGGGAGCTTAAAAGACAAAATGTGCATGGATGGGAGACCCAGGCAGCAGAAGGGCAACGCAGGGGAGAGGGTTTACGGGACAGGGTGAAGAGGCCGTTGGGAGAGGTGGGAGATTCCTTGAGGCGGCCTTTAGAGTGGAGAAGTCATTTCGACTCATGCCCAGACTGGAGGCCACATTCCCAGCTCTGCCCTTGGGAATCGCAGTGGGCAGGAATTGCCAGGAACTGGAAGATAGGACCCTCAGGGTCCTCTTCGAGATTCTCCCCACAGAGGATTTCAATGGCTGCCTCTGGGGTGCTTCTCATGGAGCCCTAAGCTTAGCCTCTGACTCCACGCCCATCTATGTGTCAGGTGAAACAGTGATTCCCAGAAACCTACGTGAACTGCAGGCATCTGGTCCTTCCCGCACCACTGTGGCTGCTGCACTTTAGGCAGCCAGGTCCTGGAGCAGAGCCGGTTCCATTATCTCTGCCTCTGGGAGCTTTTCCCCTGTGACCAAGTCGCCTTGTCTGAAGTGCCCCTTCTGCAGATTCCCTAACCCAGCTTGTACTGCATCTCCTAGCTGTTTGGCTTTGGTGGGTGTTGGTCTTTATCAAGCAGCCTGTAGGGAACTGCAGATCTTAACAGGCTGTCCCATTTGTTTGTATTGCAGCCTAGTGTTCAGCTGAGATGGCTCAAGCCTGACATTCCATGATCCGTGATCCTGACAGATGTGCACAGGCTGCTGCTCCTGCTGCTGTGGATGATTTAAACCGTCAGTTCAGGGCCAGGAGAGCAGGTGGTCCCTCTGCCTGAATGTGTGGGAACTCCCTGCCTACTTGATTGGTGGGTCTGGGGGGGATCAACCCCCACCCCAAGAGGAGAGCACAGTCCATTTTGTGGGTGGTGCTTCAGGTCCCAGCCTCTGAAGGATGGCCACCCCTGTGGTCACCAAGACGGCCTGGAAGTTGCGTAAGTAGTTTTTATTTTACTGTACCACCTCATTATTTTGTTAGTGGTTTATTGCTGGGCAGCCTGAACCTGCAGCATTGTCTCCTCTTCTTGGTGCAGTGGGGGACTACCAGACCTTGTTGTAAGGTAGATCAAGATGGAAATCATGACTGTGGCACTTCTTAGATGGACAATGACATTGGCTAGGTGATCTCTGAGGCTCAGTTTCCTTATTTGTACACTAAGAGTGTCACACTTGGATTTTATAGTTGCTATGAGATCATGAACATAATAAAGCACCTTGTGCAGGATTTCCAGGGATGAGAAATGCTCTAGGCATTTCAGACATCGGTCAGTCTTCCTCAGTCAAATGAAGGGATCAAGGGATAGCAGTGGAGACAGGGAGGGAAGGGCAGGGAGAGGGCTCTGGAATGTAACTGAGTATGGGCACCTTGACCCCAGTATTACTCTACATTAGTACTTCTAAAATCTTTGGTCTAAGACTTCTTTATTGAGGACCCCCAAAGTGCTTTTCTTTATGAGAGTTGTACCTATCGATATTTACCATATTAGAAATTAATAGTGGGACATTTGAAAACACAAATATATATATATATACGTATATATATACATATATATATTTTTTATACTTATATATTGCTGTGATATATATATATATATATATATATATACACACATGACAGTAGTGATGATGTCATAACATCACCTATCTGTTGGAAGCCTGTACTGGACCCTTGAGCAAATGAGAGTAGAGATGATCAGATCATCTCAGCATTAGGAAAACAGTTTGTCCTTTTGGAGACTCTGAAAGGATCGCGAGGATCCCAAGGGCTCTCAGATGTTTGGAGAGCTGCTCTATACATTAGCACCTCTGCAGGCCCTTCCCCAGAGTAAGTGGTTGGCACAGAGGCAGTGTGTTCTATGTGGTCATCTCTGCTGTGAGCTGTTTTCAGGAGCTGGGGGAAGGCTCCATTTCTTTTTAATCACCAAACCCACCAGGTCCCAGGTAAAATTTTTGCTGGACCTGAGTTTCCTCATTTTTAAAGTGGGGGTTTGAGCCATTTTTAAGTTCTCTAAAGCTGGGGTTTTGGGAGAATCATTTTATGGTCCCAAGGAGCGTGTACTTTCAACAGAGTGACTTTGTATTAGGATTATGTATCCATCCCTTCAACAGCTGTTCCTTCCTGAGCAGGGAGCCAGTAGGGGAGAAAATAGACAAGGTGGCTGTGTGGTAGGAGTTCAGCTGGGGGAGAGCAACAGACAGGAATTGGATAGCCACATCCATCCATTTCTGATCCTTCTTCATCCCAAGCTGGTATGTGTGCTTGAATAAGACAGGAAATGCTATAGGCTGCCTGAGCAGCAAGTGCAAAGACCAGGGCAAAGGCAGGAAGCTTGGCATATTACAGGAGGCCATAGACTGTGGCACAGCAGCAAGGAGGATATGGTGCCAGATTAAGCTAGTGACTTCTACAGGGCACATGTCAGCAGGACCTCAGCCTTTTTGAGGCTCTGGTTTTATCTGAAAGGCTCTTGTCATCAAAGAGACCCCAAGCCATCGAAATATCTAAGCTGGGACTAATGAGATGAGCATGTTGGGTAACTGTTGACAATTTCATGGCACGTGGGTTTCTGTGGTAAAGAAGATGTGTGAAGAGCCCAAGGCCATATGGCCTCCAGCTCCTTGTGGTTCCAGGTGTTAGCCAGCATGGGGTCATTGCATTTCAGTTCTTTAAGTCTTCCTTCTAGGATGCAAGTCCTCAGCATCAGATTGGCTGGAATGAGGGACCAGGTTATACCACCAGCACTTGGAGAGCTGCTGTAGGCCTTTGTCACAGGGTAGATTAGTACCTGACACCTGGCCCGCCAGTAAACTCTGAGGATTTTGGTCTGTTTACATTCAACTCAGGTTGAATGGGTTGTAACCCAGGAGGTGGAAGCAGGGGGATCGTGAACTTGAAGCCAGCCTGAACTACATAATGAGACTCTATTTCAGGAAAAAAAAAAAAAAAAAAAAATGGAGCACCCAGGTGATGGCTATTGTTGGCTGATATCCTTCAAGCCAAGCCGCAAGGGGAGCTCTGGGCCAAGGCCCTGTGCCTCCTTTGCCAATACCTGTGGTGTGCCTCCCCCATCTCCAACAGCTCCCATCAGCCCCCATCTGTGGCTCTTCCAGCTCTGTGCCCTGTCCCAGAACCATCTGATCACATTGGAGCATGAAGGCGGGAACCTTTTCTCTATTTCCCCTAACCTCCCAGGGCCAGGTCTAGAGCAGGCACCCTGGAAACACTTCTGTTATGAGCTGATGACAATCTGTGCAGTGGTAGTCCTGAGACCCAAGTGAAGAGGCTGTGTGGTTGAGACAAGGACTGGAGAGAATCTTGGATCTGAATGACAGGGTTTCCAATGTCCTGACTGATGTCTAGGCCTGCAGAGAACTATCCCCCTGACTGGACTCATGCCACCTGTGCCAGCTATGCCCTGGCAAGGACCTGTAGGGAGATGGCATCTGTGAGGTTGAGCCTAGAACCTAGGCCCAGGCATCTTTGATAGTCCCAATAAGTCAGGCTGGCTTGCCTTCCTCAGCCACTTTCCCCACCTCCTCATGGTCTGCAGCCCACACTAGAGTCACTTGGGAAGGAGGGTGGAGTTGGAGCTGGGGTGGGGTAAATGTCCTCTGCAAAACAGCTGCAAACCCTTCTCCAAGTCACCCAAGCCAGCCTCCCAGTTGCCTCTGGGTATCAGCATGTTGGGCTTTTCCCTGTTCTGTGTGAAGAGACCTGTCCTTTCTCCTCCCTGTTCCTGAGAGGAATTCACCTGCAGACTGATTCAGAGGCCTGAGCCACCTCTTGTGTTCTTTGCCTGTGTTTTGTTCCCTTGGAGCACTGATAAGAAACCCTGAGGTACCCGTCTGTGGCCCCTGTAGTGGCCACAAGGTCCAGGCAAGGGGCCTTGGTGGCTACCCACAGTTCTTATCTTCCATTCCATCTGGTCAGCCTCTCCCCAACCCATCTGCTCCATCTGTGGTCACTTCCCTCCTCATGGAGCCCACCCTGTGTTCATCTGGGGCCTTCTTTGTCATTGTTTCCTGGTGACCAGTCCTTAGCCTAACAAACCATGGCACCTGCGAGCTCACAGGATAGGTTATGTTGTCATCCCATTCATCAGACAATCCACCTTTGAAGAGGATGAACAACTTGTCTAAGACCACACAGCAGCAGCTCACAGAGCCCAGAGCAGCACTTGTTTGCAATTCTGAGTTGTGAGCCAAGCCCTGTGTGAGCTCCCCTGGGGACAGCTGCTGGGAGTTGTATTGTTCTGAAAGTATGTCCCCAGGCAGGCTTCCTGTGGACAAGTGGCAGCTGAGAGGTGCTTTGGTGGTGCCTTGATCAACTTTATTTGAATTGTTGGTTTTGTTCTTTTTTGTACCATAGAAAAAGTATACGATATACCAACGGGTATTAGTGCTTGAGGCAGTTAGCTAAAAATAGCAAGTCAGTTTTAAAAAGTGAGTTTACATGTCCCTCAGTATGTACGAAGGATAGATCTCAGGACCCCTATACATGGATACCATAATCTGCAAGTGCTCAAGCCCACTGTGCAGAATGACATTGTATTTGCATAGAAACTAGGCATGCCTTCCCTTGTATTTTATATCATCTTTAGATTACTTATAATACCTAATACAGTGTAAAGTGCTGTGCAAACAGTTAATGTACCATATTGTTTAGAGAGAAAGGAAGAGAAAAAAGACTATACATGTACAAATAAGTACAGATGCATTTGTTTTTTGAGACAGGGTCTCACTATGTAGCTCAGGCTGGGCTTTAACTTGAGATTCTCCTGCCTCAGCTTCCCAAATGCTGAGATTATAGGGATGAACAACCATGCCTGGCATTACAGATACATATTTCTCAGTATTTTCCATTGGCAGCTGGTTGAATCTGCATATGGAGGGCTGACTGTAAAGTTTGTCAATATTACCAGTTGATGTGTAGAAAAAGTAAAAGTCAGGAGGCCTAAGGGTTGAACAGGAATGATTGAAGCTGAGAAACAGTCATTTTAGTCTCAGGCCCACACTCCCCGGTAGTTGACTCTACAGCTCATGAGGTTATCTGAGTTTCAGGTTCCAGAGCTCATGGTTGTGCATGGCCACCACGCTCCATGTGGCCCTGTCCAGGCCCCCTGACTATCTTCTCCCTCTCCTTTTCTGTGTAGAGGAGATCGTTGCCCATGCCAGCAATGTGTCCTCACTGGTGCTGGGCAAGGCCTCCGGACGGCTGCTGGCCACGGGTGGGGATGACTGCCGCGTCAACCTGTGGTCCATCAACAAACCCAACTGCATCATGGTGAGTCTTCGCTGGCAGTGGGGATGAGGTTCGAGACAGGAGGGCGTTGTGGTAGGGCAGACTGGGGGCTGAGGAGGGGTGGCTTTGCAGGCACTGTTGAGCTCACAGTACCTAGGTGCCCACGATCAGTGCCCCCTCCCAGCTGCCTGCTCAGTGAGGCCCAGGATGACTGGAACAGTGGGCAGCCCTCGGCGATGAGAGTTACCTGCTGTGCAGACAGAACTCCAGAGTCTGATGGAAAGGTTTAAATAAGCCAGGGCCTGTGGTTGAGAAGGAAGGCATGTACCCCGCCCCACTTGCCTGTCTGCTGCCTGTCACCTGCACTGGGTGTTGATGTTCACTCATCCCAGCTCAGTTCACAGAAAGGGTTTGAGGGGACCTGGTTTGGGCTGGTTGGAGGCTCATTCTTTAAGAGCAGTTTCTCCAGTTACACAATCACCTTCAGGGCTGGAAACTGCTCTCCAAGGCAGGAGAGCATAAAAGAAGACAGATACAAAATTTCATTTCAGATGTTCTGTTTTCCAAAGCTACCACAGTTGGTGTTTTGGTCTGAGGCACGCATGTGTTGATGCATGCATATGTACATGCCAATCCACATGTGCACACAGATATATCTCTGAACACTATCATCCTTACTCTTGTGTAACCTGACTTTTTAGAATAACAATGCCATGAGGATTTTCCTGTGTCAACAAATATTCTCTTACAACACACTTTTTACTGGCTTCTTGGTCTGGTGTTCCATTGCAGGGATGTGCTGCAGCTGGCTTAGTCACGCCCTGCCATCCGCAGGGGGGCCACTCCCAGTGTTTTGGCTCTGCTGAACCACACTGTGGTGAACATCTCCATCCTCCAAGCCTTTGAGCAGCTCTGACCATTGCCTTTAATCATGGGTGTGTGCTTTTTAAAAGCCTTCAAAACATATTGCCAAACTGCTCTCCAGAAACCCGTTTGCATCCTTACCTGCAGCACAGGAGACTGTCCTTTCCCCTGAATCCTTGCCACCACAGGGAATTATCATTCTTTTGACTCTTGGTCAAATAAACAGAAAAAACTGGTAGGAGGTGATACATGTTAGTAGAAACTCAACCACTTCATATTTTGTGAGATCCATGGGACAACTGAGATATACCTGGTCACAGCCAATGGGCAATGACTCAGTAAGAGTGGAATTGAGATTTTTTGTTTTGTTTTACTCTTTGTAGGGCTCAGATGTATTTTTTACTCCCTGAAATGCCAAATTAGCATACTCAAGTTGAGAAAGATTCAAACATGTAGCAAACATAGGGTATGAACCAACCCATGCTCTGTCCCAGAGTAGCCAGGGGGTTCTGGGGTCTGGCTTCAGACTTCTTTTCAGACACTGGTTCAGCCTCCAAGTCTCCATCTGGTCTCCTCCTGTGTCTCTGTCCCTTCACTCACCCAGACAGATGAGCCTCTTGGGCCTTTCAGTGCCACACGCGTGGGGAGATGGGCCCGTGGTTCTCGCTGTATAGGCAGTCCACTTTTGTTTTTGTTTAATTCTGAATATTTGATGCATTGATATGGCTCAGCATCCAAAAGATAGAGAGTGAATTACGAAGTCCTCCTTCCTCCTCTGACTTCCACATCCTTCCCTGGATGTGACCACAGTTCCAAATTCCTTCTACATACTAGAATTATTTTGTGTATGGGTGAGCAAATCTGTACACTGTCCTGTTTCTTGCTTTCTCACACAAGTGGTGTCACGCTGCATACACTATCCTCCATTCTATTTCACCTCAAAGCACTGTGGAGATCCCTCTTTTTTTCCTGTACTGGAGATTGAGCACAGGGTTTGGGGCATGGTAGGTAAGTGTACTGCCACTTGAGCCATGCCCCTAGCTTGAGAAGATTAGTTTTTTCCTTTTTTTTTTTTTTTTGTACTAGGATTTGAACTCAGGGCTTCATGCTTGCTTGCTAGACAGGCGCCCTACCACTTGAGCCACACCTCTGCCCAAGATATATGTGGGTTGCTTCATCCATTTCTGTCACTAAATGGTTTTTTATCACATGGATGACTATGGGACCTGCTACTTAGCTAAACAGTGTCCTGTGGTGGGCGTTGACATTGTCTCCAGCCTCTTAAAAACATTTGCTACAGCAAATAACCTTTGGTTTGTGTTGCTCGTGTGAGTTTGTGGGAGGAACAGATCAGTGGGTGGAATTGTGGGTTTGAAGGAATGTGTATTTCCTCCTGTGGGTGAATTTTTCAGTTGTGCTTGGGAGGGTTTGTGCCCATTTTGACGTCTGTCAGAGCAGGGTAGGAGTCCAGCAAGCTGTTTATAACTCTTGGGCCTTCACGTCATCCATGGAGGAGCAGCCGCCCCAGCCCCCAGGTGGAACACTGTCTTGACAGACACTGATGGAATGGCCGCCATGCCTTAGGGCCAGCTTTGGGCAGGGTGTGACAAACACTATGGACTTGGTTTCAGCCTTCCCTCCAAAAAGCTAAGGAATGCCAGCACCTCCTACCCTCAGAGTGGATACCTGGGACCAGGCACAGCCCTGCCCATTGCTGCCTACACTGAGAGAACTCGTTTGTTCTCCTGCAGTCATTCCCAGGCCCGCTAGGGTCTGTGGCAAGGTCACCCATTGAGGCAGGCAGCCTCTGAGAGCCAGGCACCTGGAGGGTATATGCCTACCATGACTGAAGGGATTGGATCAGGCAGAGTAGAGATGGGAGAAGCCTGGACAGAGGTTATTTAAACTCAGAGATAAAGGGTCAGCATCACCTTATCTTGGCCTACTGTGCTTCTAAGGTGCCCAGGGCCATTTCTGCAGGTGATGCCCATGCCAGGAGCATCATGGGAAGTAACTGGGATTTGGCTACTTTTTAGCCCCAGGAGCTAAGGCTAGAAGAAACAGTCTGCAGGGCACGGGTTGGGCCCTGAGGGACTGCTGCTGCTTGCTGCAGCCATCCCCAGGGACCTTGAATTTGTGGCAGTGGTTGAAGGTGTCCCTGCAGTGCACTGAAGCTGTCACCCTCTCTCCATAGAGCCTGACGGGTCACACATCACCCGTAGAGAGTGTCCGCCTCAATACCCCCGAGGAGCTCATCGTGGCCGGCTCCCAGTCAGGCTCCATCCGCGTCTGGGACCTGGAAGCTGCCAAAAGTAGGCCTCCATGCTTGCTTCCCCTGCGTGCCCGCCATATGCTTCCTCTGCGAAGCCTGTGTGCCCCGCTGTTGGAGCCCCAAGCAGGTGGTGAGGTATCTACCTCGCCCCTGTGAGCTCTGCTGTCCCTGGAATGGCTGGCTCTGAGGAGGTGCCTAGGGAATGTCTTTCTGAATGAACAATGGGGGGATGGGCACATTGGTGGGGTGTGGGTTTAGAACTCAAGGGACATCAGAAGCTAGGAGGGGTCCCCAGAGCATGAGGATAAGTGACATGGCCAAATGGGGAGAGCTGTGAAGAACTGGGGAGTGTGCGCACAATTAGTGAGCCTGGGGTGGCCGGATCTGTTTGCCTATGTTCTGTTTGTCGTAACAGTTTAATAAGTCAAGGAGTTTTAGAATTAGTCCAGTGGAGAGAGGAAGCCTTGGCCTCATTCCTTCCCATTCTCAATCTCTCTCTCTCTGGATACTGGCAAAAACTCAGGGCCTCAAGCTTGCTAGGCAGTTACCCTACACTTGAACCAGCCCTTTTTGCTTTAGTTATTTTTTCAGGCAGGGTCTTATGTTCTTGCTCAGAGTCAGTCTCAAACTGCAATCCTCCTTCCTCCACTTAACTGGGATTAGAGGCATATTCCACCATACTTGGCTTATTTGTTGAAATGGGGTCTTGCTAACTTTGTCCTGGCTAGCCTGAAACCACAATTATACTGATCTCCTCCACCTTCCAGGTAGTTAGGATTGCAAATGTGAGCCACCATGTCCAGCCCCAGTACTGTTCTTATACCTGACCCTTCCCATAGGATCTGCTTCTTCCCCCTCTTTTTCTCTGCAAGCTTGTAGGATCTGTGTCCCAACTTTCTGAGGTCTCACAGCCATGAGCCTTGGTGTGGGTTTGTTCTCATCCCTGAGCAGCGTCCTTACTGGGTTCTTTCAGTCTGGAAACTTGTGCCCTCAGTTCTAGCCACTCAGGAGTCTCGCCTCCTCTACAGATTGGCCACCTCCCAGGCTCAGGCTGTCACCATATGGCAGTGTGGTATATAGTGCAGCCAACTCTGCAGATTTGTCAAAAGAACCTAGAAATTTATGAGGAAGCCACCCATCTTTCGGTGTTGACAGCTAATTCAACATGTTTTGTGAACACTGGGGAGGCCAACCCTAGGAGATCCAAACAGCCTATTTGGTGCTTCTTGCCAGCCTCTGGTCTGGACCTTTGGGTGTGCCAGGCAGGAGGCCACTTGCTGCTGCTTAGAAGAGCATGGGTTTTGCCCAACCTGCCTTTTCCAGAGAGACTCTGGTGCCTGCTGAGCCTTAGAGGCCCTGCTAACAGATGCCCTACAACTGCTTCAGGACAATGGCCTCTGGCCATATGTGTCTAGTGGTGAGGCTCATGTTGCTTGAGAACAGTGGTCTTTTGAGGTCAGTGGTCCTCAGAAAAGGTGGTGTCCCTGGGCCTTGAGGGACACTGGCCCACTGCTAATGATCTGTCAAAGAACCATAGAACCCCAGAGTGTCTTTGATGACAAATAGGGCTGCATTCCTTGTGTCTCAGCCTGTGATCCTGCTGCCTTGCCACATCTGGAAGCCACACCTGAACCCAGGGCATGTGCTCAGCCATTGTGGACTTGAGTGGGCAGGCAGGAGCAGGCCACGATGGGGGCTCTGACTGAGAAGGTGGTCAGTCCCTTGGGAGGCTCTGCCTGGACCTGAATTCCAGTGGACACCATTGATCAGTCACCATTCAATGAACAGCAAAGGCTGAGGATGCCATGGCCCTGCTCAGGCCTCCTCAACCACAGCATTTCACTCACCAGGGAAATGTGAGTGATTGCTTAAGGTGGTGACGAGTGGGAACTAGTTGCTGCTGGGCTCTGGGGCTGCTACTGGACAAGGATCTCGTGAGGAACACATGGCCCAGACCCCTCCCCTAGAGCCTGACGCTAGTGGGCTGGTCACAAATCATGTTTTCAGGAAGCATCCAGATGCTTCCAATGTAGAGCCAGACAAGCAGGTCCCCTGATTTGACAGGCCCAGGGAGGGAATAGCTCTTGGTGAAGATCCTGTGGCTGCAGGTGGCCAAGCCTGGGACTTGAATCTGGTGTCAGAACTCCTGTTCCAGTGCTCTTGGCTCTGCCATCTACTGCCCTGAGTTGGGATTCTCAAAAGCTGGCCCTTAGCAGGTAGAGCAGAGACCTCAGATCTACCTCCTCCGCACTCACCAGAGCATAAGTGATAGTGACGAAAGGTCAGTTGATGCTCCAGGTTGCAAAGGAGTCTGAGAAATCTGCCTGTCACGTTGGATGCCCCAAAAGCAGCCAGCACTGGAGGATTCTGGTGGAGTGAAGGAAGGGCTTGGAGGTCCCAGAATGGACAGGAAGCCCCAAATGCCCCTCAGTGTGCTGGTCCCAGATCCTGTAGCTGGGTCTGGCATCTCTGGGATGGACGAGTGAGGGCAGAAGTCACGGCAGAGGAATGTGGTCTTGCCAGCTTTCCACAGCACAGCCTGAGGGCAAGGGCACTCAGCCCAGCACATCCCCATAGGAAGGCGGCCCACGCAGGGTGTAACTGCCACAGGGAGGGAGGATCTTGCAGCGTGAGTGGGGCCGGATCCAGTGTGTGTTTGGGCAGCATGCACTGAAATCTCCTCGGCAGTGCTGGGCCCCCAGCAGCACACAACAGTGGAGAGCAGCAAAAGCTGTGCCCCACCTGGGCAGTGGCTGAATTGAATGCTGAATTGGATTTTCACTGGACAGACATGGCAGATGCCTTGTTAGACTCCTTGGGCATGGGACGGAGGCACGGTCCCATATCCACTGCCTGAGAGGGCCAGCTGCAGAGGGTGCTTAGGCTGGGTTAAGCAGTGACTAATCCACAGCAGCTCCTTCCTGCTGCTCATCCCTATGCCTGGCCCTGAGCCAGCAGTTGTGCCCAGTCTCACTCCCTTGGCCCAGGCTACAAAAGCTGCAGACCCTGGTCTGTTTTCTGGCCCTGCACTTGCTGTTTGGCCTCAGGCAGGCCTCTTCACTCTCTGAGCCATCAGCCACTGCCTGGTATGGTCAGAGGGACTCAGTGACCTAGAGTAGTGAGATTCCTGAGCTCGCCAAACACCAGAAGTGCTTAGTATATACTGTGGAGACAAAGGAGATGCCCCAGTGGTCATAGCCCTGGGTAGTGCACTGTCACTGGGGCAGAAGAAGGAGAAGCAGGATATGTGTTGAGGAGGAGGTGGGATGGTCCCATCGAGGACAGCCAGGAGGGAATGAAGACAGGCCTTCTGCAGGAAGATTAGAATGGAATGGTTACAACTGCATTTATTGAGCACTTGACATGTGTTCATTTACTTAGTGCTGACCATAACCCAACACAAGGCTCATGAGGGTAAGTGATGCCCACAGTCACACAGGAAGTGAGGAGCAGAGCCAGGACAGCCTGGTTTTGTCTGGCTCCTGAGCCCATGGCCTGATGTGGACAGTGGAGAGCATCACACACTGGGCTTAGAGCTTAATGTTTCTGTCCCTGACGTGTTACATTTGGAGTCTTGAACACCTCCTGCACCTGAGAGCTCACTACCTCACAAGTCACCTTATTTCCCCTTGGCTCAAACCTAAGGATGGCTGGACTCCCACACCTACAACCCTGGCACTGGTAGGCTGCTTGGTTTCTTTGACAGTGGAAGTAGAAATCTTTCAAAAAGCATGACATACGAAGCTGGGTTCAGTGGCTGGCTCCTGTAATCCCATCTATTTGGGAAGTGGAGATCAGAAGGAACACAGTTTGAGGCCAACCCAGGCCAAAAAAAGTAGCAATATCCCATCTCAACCAATAAGCTGGGTGTGGTGGTACACACCTGTCATCCCAGCTACACTGGAGGAATAAGTAGGATTGTAGTCTAGATTATAAACGTGATTTGCTACCTGAAAAAATAACTAAAGCAAAACAGTAGGGCGTGGTTCAAGTGGTAAGAGTGCCCACCTAGCAGGAGTTCCTGAGTTTAAACCCCAGTACCGCCAAAAAAAACCCAAAACACACACACATGTCATGAGACAAGTTGGAGTGGTACCAGAGAATTCCCTGAGACAGTAATACAGGTTTGCCTCCAGGCCTGGCCATTGAGCTACCTGCCATGTCTGAAAGGGTGGGAGACGTGACTTCTAGGACAATGGTTGGTGATCGGTCCTCCCCTGACTGAGTCCCTATGTCCTCTCAGTTTGCACAGCTCTTCTACTTGCCCTCACGGCCACCTTTAAGGTGTCCCCAAGTAGAGTCACCCCAGAGAGCAGTGAGAAGCACCTAGATGTGCCCATGTTTCATCCATTGATACCTGCTCAAATGCCACCACCTACGTAAAGCCTTTCTTGATTCTTTTCAGCCAAGCATCCTCTCTCTACCAGAATCTCTTCTGAGTATAGGGATAAGAGGCTCTGCACCTTCTGGGTCTTCTCTTACACAAGCCATGGAGAGTCCAATGCGTTTTCTGGAGACTTGAGTAATGATAGACATGGCTGTTACCTGTTCAAGAGAACAGCAGAGAAGTTCCTTATTAGGGTGGCGGGACTTTGGTTTCTCCCATTTTGAAATGGGTACCGTGAATTCTGACCAGCATGTACAGATGAATCTGGTGACTGCCTTCTGCTCATAGTCTCTGCCTCCCCACCCCACCCAATCACCTCTGCTGTCTTTTTCTTGGCAGTTCTTCGCACGCTTATGGGACACAAAGCCAACATCTGTAGCCTAGATTTCCACCCCTATGGTGAGTTCGTGGCCTCCGGTTCCCAAGACACAAACATCAAGGTGAGTTACCACCCTGTTTCCCATCGCCCTGTTCTCCCATGTCTCTTCCTGGGGAAGAGACAACCTGCTTCCACCTGTGTCTGGAGGGTCCTTCCTGTGAAGCAGCATCATCCATGCCTTCAGGACAGGCCCAGGATGCCCACCTTGAGAGAGTGGTATCCTGACATCTGTCATTGTAGCTATCATGACCTGCAGTTCCTGGAGCCCCATGGCCTGGCTCAACTGCCATGTGATCTCCTAACATTGCCCCTCTGTCCCTCTTCCCACAGCTCTGGGACATAAGGAGGAAAGGCTGTGTCTTCCGGTACAGGGTAAGGACAGCCCCTCTGTCAGTCACTCCAGGAGCACTACATGGCACGGAGCACAGCATGAGCCCAGGCCTCTGCAGAGGTGGGAGGCTGTGGTCCACTGAGAGCAACAGCATGAAATGTGGATTGAGTGCAAGGGAGTGCACCTGGGCCTCCCACTCACCACCAAACCCCCACAGCTCCATTTATCAGGCCACGCTCCACACTGATTTTGCAGGCAGCTGACTGGCATCGCTGGATAAAGTGTTCCTGTTCATAAGAGTTTGACAGCACTGCTTAACCAAGATTATTTTCAGAAGTTATCAGAGTCTCTGACATTAAGAGGGCATTTATTTATTTACATTTCCAGAAGGGGCTTAAACCACAGGGGTTTCCTAAATCATATGAGCATGCAGGCTTGATTTCCTGGAGTCCTTCAGGGCTGGGCGTCCATGGCCACACTATGGGAAGTGCCCTTTTCTCATGTCTCCCAGCGGTGGTCCTCTGCGCCTCTGGCTGCTCCCCAGGAAGGCACTGTGTGTTGGGGCAGGCAGAGGAACTGGGGGAGCGCCTGATGGGTTCAGATGTCTCTGGTGAGCTTGGTGCGCTGTCCTCCTCCTTCAGGGTCACAGCCAGGCTGTGCGGTGTCTCCGGTTCAGCCCTGATGGGAAGTGGTTGGCATCAGCTGCAGATGACCACACAGTGAAGGTAGCTCCCGACCTGACTTGGGCCTAGGGGTTGGAGCCAGGGGTCCGCTGATCACACCCGTCTTCTTCCTGATCGGTTTCATGTGTCCCAGGCCTGTCCAGAGTGGACAGAGTGCTCAGGCCAGATTTGAGGGAGAGTGGGCGTCCAGGTGCCCAGCCTGACTCTGACCTTCCCCTGCCCTGCCTCAGCTCTGGGATCTGACTGCTGGCAAGATGATGTCTGAATTCCCTGGTCACACGGGGCCTGTCAACGTGGTGGAGTTTCACCCTAATGAGTACCTTCTAGCTTCTGGCAGCTCTGACAGGTGAGCAGGGCACAATGCCTGTGATTGTCGTCCCTCTGCATCCCCATCCTGTGTGTCTGGCCTGTGTATCACATGCTTGTGTGGACTGAGTTCAAGCCAAGATTAGATCCTGATCCCATCTCTTTCCAGCTCTGGTTGCTGGGCCTGTGTCTGGGACTGTGATTCCCTAGGCTTGTCAAGATCCAAGGCCCAGGTGACCTAGGGCCACTGGGAACAGCGTGGGTCATATCCACCTTCCCTCTGCCTATGAGGCCAGTCCCTGCCCCAGACATTGCTCCTCTTGGCTCTCCTTGAGATAGAGGATTCTGGATAGAAGCTGACTTTCCAGGCCCTGGCCTAGGTTCAGGCCAGACTGGGGGACTGACTGCCCAGTACAATATGGCTGTCCTTACAGGACGATCCGTTTTTGGGATCTGGAGAAATTCCAGGTGGTGAGCTGCATTGAAGGAGAGCCGGGGCCTGTTAGGTATGTGGGCAGCTGAGTAGGAAGACCCTGTCCCTCTTGCCAAGGCAACACAATTGGGAGAGGGTGGGCCTTTCTGTCTTGGGCTCTCCTGGTTTTTGGGGGTGTGGGGGAGGCTGGGTGCCCCAGGACTGATAGCCAATTCTCACCTGGCCCAGGAGCGTGCTCTTCAATCCTGATGGCTGCTGCTTGTACAGCGGCTGCCAGGACTCACTGCGGGTCTACGGCTGGGAGCCTGAGCGCTGCTTTGATGTGGTGCTTGTCAACTGGGGCAAGGTGGCTGACCTGGCCATCTGCAATGACCAGCTGGTGAGAGGACCAAAGGCACCCACTGCCCATCCTCTGCCTCAGGCCCCCTCACTCCCACCCTGCCCTACTGGGGTCTTGCTCCTACTTTCCAGTCCCAGCCCCACCCCAGCTCTGCTGCTTCCTGCAGATAGGTGTGGCCTTCTCCCAGAGCAACGTCTCCTCTTATGTGGTGGACCTGACGCGGGTCACTAGGACAGGCACAGTGGCCCAGGACCCTGTGCAGGACAGCCGGCCCATAACACAGCAGCTGCCTCACCCCAGTGCCCCACTCCGGCGCATCTATGAGCGGCCCAGCACAACATGCAGCAAGCCTCAGAGGTGAGTGCTCCTGCCCAGGAGAGCAAGGGGTGCACAGACAGTGGTCCCGCCCCACTAGGCTCTGGGGCACTGGCCCAGTCCTTACTGGAGTGCCAGCTTCCTTCTGGCTCTGTCCTGCACTGGCAGGGTGAAGCATAACTCGGAGAGCGAGCGGCGCAGCCCCAGCAGTGAGGAGGAGCGGGAGGAGCGGGAGTCTCGGGCAGAGATCCAGAATGCTGAGGACTACAACGAGATCTTCCAGCCCAAGAACAGCATCAGTGAGGCTGCTCTCCTGCCCCAACCCAGTGCCCCTGACTGTGAGGCAGAGGCGAGGGGCCTTCTCAGAAATAGTGTCACTGTGGCTCTGTGTCCCTTAGCCCCCACCTGGGCCCCACACCCTCAGGGCCTTGCTGGGCTGGACTTCATGGGACCGAAGGCAGGAACCAGGAGCTCCCAGGTAGAGGAGCAAAGGGGCTATAGGAGCAAGTGGGCTGAAAGGGGCAGGGCTGAGAGCTCATGGGGTCAGAGAAGGGTCTTGTATGCCTGAGAATCATCTCACCTGACTGGGTTCTGTGCTCCAGATGACCCAGCTAGGAGGGCTCCCGGGGAACCCAAGTCATCAGCCTCCTTTGCCTTGGCAGGCCGGACACCGCCCCGGAGAAGCGAGCCCTTCCCAGCACCCCTGGAGGATGGTGAGTTGGGCCAGAGCGTGACCTCTTAGGCCCCAGGCTGTCCCTAGGCTTCCCCTCTCCTGGCACAACCTCCAGCCTTCCCTTTACCTGCCTAGAAGTACCTGCTATGTGCCAGGCCCCAGACAAGGACCTGGTAACTGAGTGAGAGCAAGAGAGACAGGTGCTTCCTTGCGCCCATGCCAAGTGCGTGGAGAGAAGCAGTAGACAGTGCAGGAGGGCCGCCAGTGGGTCCCCTGGAGATGGAATAGGGCTCTGAGGAGGCCTGAGGGCCTGTGAGGAGAGGCAGAGCAGAGTGTGAGTGAGCGGCACAGGAAGGTTAGGTCTGGACCTGGAGTGGTAAGCCCAGCTGGAGGCTAGGCCCGGGGACTTTGGCTAGGACTATGGGATTTGAAAAGAAAGCAAGTGTGATCTGCTCTACCTCCTCCATCTGGCTTCCCTAGGGAACCATGTCCTCTCCTTCCCCCTCTTGGTGCTGAGTTTCCTAAGAGCCTCGCCCTCTTCGTTTCCCTGCTTACCACCCACTCACCTCCGCCCCTCTGCTCCCACACACACTCCATTCCTACTGGCAGGATTGTCCTGAAACTCCCATCCACAGACCTGAGGACAGGAAGAGCCAGGCTCAGCCTGCTCCTGCTTTCCCTCATTACAGATGCCTCATCATCCAGAGGCCCATCCCAAGCCTTTGTTGCCAGACCCTCTCCTGACCTGATCAGTGAGCTTTTCCTTTTGCCTTCAGACACAGCCACAGCCAAGGACGCCTCAAAGCCCAGCCCAGCCATGGACATGCAGTTCCCAGTGCCAAATGTAGGTCCAGCTGGAGGGGGATGGTGTGGGGCTTGGAGAGGGCTGGAGTCCCAAGCCAGGGCCTCCCTCCATAGGAAATAGTGGGGCTTCAGGCTGGCAGCTGCTGAGCCTCAGACCCCTTTAGCTTGAGATCCCACCCCGGCCCCCGGTCGTCACTTCCACCCCGGCACCCAAGAGTGAACCCGCCATCATTCCTGCCACGAGGAACGAACCCATCGGGCTGAAGGCCTCCGAATTCTTGCCTGTGAGTAGGGAACCAGCCTGGGGTAGAGGGTGGGGAGGCCCAGGGCAAGGGCACAGCAGTGCGGCCTGTCCCCATGCTAGTGTCTGACCACCGGTTCCACGCAGGCCGTGAAGATCTCCCAGCAGGCAGAGCTAGTGGATGAGGATGCCATGTCACAGATTCGCAAAGGCCATGACACCATGTGCGTGGTGCTCACCAGCCGCCACAAGAATCTGGACACTGTGCGGGCAGTGTGGACCACAAGTGACATCAAGGCAAGTGCCCAGCCCTGCCCTGGGGCCTGACCTTTTCACCTGCTTCCTGGGCATGGGGGCTAGGGTGGGGCCAGGCAGGCCCTGTGGTTGTGCCACAGCTCTGCTCCGCATTACCACAGGCTGCCATTTAGTGGGCACCCATTTCTAGGCCTTGCCCTCCTCGCAGGTATGGTCTTGGTAACACCTCATTACACCCCCACCCCATTCCCACCCCGATGGAACTCTATTTGCAGACGTCAGTGGACTCTGCTGTGGCCATCAATGATCTGTCGGTGGTTGTGGACCTCCTGAACATTGTCAACCAGAAAGCGTAAGTGGCCGCAAGGGGAGGGCTGGGGTGGGTGGGGCCAGCCTGATGCACTGTGCCCTGGCCTCTCCCCAGTTCACTGTGGAAACTGGACCTGTGTACCACGGTGCTGCCACAGATCGAGAAACTTCTGCAGAGCAAGTATGAGAGGTAGGGAGCTGGCCTGCCTGCAGTGGATGGGAAGGGGTTCTGAGGTGGCCACGAAGCATTACTGCCCCAACACATCCCAGGGCAGTTGCAGTGGAACCAGACCAGTGTATGACTGTACAGGGTGTGTGTGTGTGTGTGTGTGTTCCTGCTGTGGGGGGGTGTGTGTGTGTGTATGTGTGTGTGTGTGTGTGTGTGTGTGTGTGTGTTCCTGCTATGGGTGTGTGTGTGTGTGTGTGTGTGTGTTCCTGTGTGTGTGTGTGTGTGTGTTCCTGCTATGGGTGTGTGTGTGTGTGTGTGTGTGTGTTCCTGCTACGGGTGTGTGTGTGTGTGTGTGTGTGTGCAGTCCTGTGTGTGTGTGTGGTCCTGCACCCCATCTACATACTCTGCTGTTTGTCTGTGGCTCCGCCTTGTCCATTTGTTGACATACTCTGCTGTTTATCTGTCTGTGGCTCCGCCTTGTCCATTTGTCGACCCTGAAGCTATGTCCAGACGGGCTGCACCTCCCTGAAGCTGATCCTGCAGCGGTTTCTGCCCCTCATCACTGACATCCTGGCAGCCCCGCCCTCGGTGGGCGTGGACATCAGCCGGGAGGAGAGGTGAGAGCGAGGCAGCAGGTACTCTGTGGCTGGACCTCACTTGGTGATGGCCCTGCTCTGCCCCGCCGAAACAGCTTACAGAGTTGCCCTGTGGGTGGGGGAGTGGGTCAGGGTGGGGTGGGCAGATCTAGAGCCTGGGCTCCCCTAGGCCTGGCTATGCCCCTGGGCCCTGGTTGGGTGTGGAGGGCATGCCCTGGTCCACTGCCCCTCTGGAAAGAGGGACAGGAGTGATCAGGAGAGCAGAGGCCCCAGGCTGAGTGGGGGTCATGGTGGTCCCTGGCAGTCTCCTCAGGTGCTGCCCCTTGGCCCACAGGCTACACAAGTGTCGGCTGTGTTACAAGCAGCTCAAGAGCATCAGTGGCCTCGTCAAGAGCAAATCGGGCCTGAGTGGCCGCCACGGCAGTGCCTTCCGAGAGCTGCACCTGCTCATGGCCAGTTTGGACTGAGGAGTCCTGTGGGAGGGGCACCCAGCAGCCTTCAATGCCCTGCCTCCATCCCTACTCCTATTCCCCGTGTGCCCACTGGCCTATGAGCCATCTGCGGCCATCCTGGAGGTGGCAGCACGGGCCCACTGGCCACCTCCATAGCCCTGAACTGAGACAACTTCCTCTCTGGCAGTGGCTGCCCGGCTTTGCCCATCTCTTGCTTTTTGGAGCAGCAAACTGAGCTCTGGGGCTGCTGCTGTAATTTATAAGGTGAAATTTATTAAATTTGTAACTATTGCTTGACTTCCGTGCGAGACAGGCATCCTCTGCCCTGGGATTTACAGGGCTCTCCTAGGCCTATGGTGGCCTACCTGGTCTCTTCTGAGATGACACCACACCCTTTCCAAGCCTCAGGAGTACAATTCCAGGCTGTCTGGCCAGCAGGGGGCAATAGTGACTGCAGTGCAGGAAAGGGCCAGCTCAGGCTTCCTAGGGGAAGAGGAGCAAGCAGCAAGCTCTCCTCTCAGGGCCAGAACAGATGAGTCCATCATCATCTCAGCCAAGCTCCTAGTTATCCTTTGGACCCCTGCAAGACCAGCTGCTGCCCAGACCAACAGCTGTGCACTTTTGGTGCCAGGGCCCCAGCATGCCTCCAAGACAGGACAGGACAGCTGCACGTCCTCTGAGAAATCCAAACAACTTTTACTTGCAGAGCTGGGTGGCCAGAACTGGCCCTGTCCTTCTGTCATCCCTTATAGGTTCACCCTTCTCCAGGGCAGACATTGCCAGTGCAGCCAGCTAGGAGGGAGGAACTCTTGAAATCCTTGCCTGGGAGCAGGTACAGGCAGCACAGAAGCTGCAAGGGAGACCCCAGGAGGAAAGGGCAGAGTGGAGTAGTGAGCTATGCAGGGGGCTGGAACACCAGCGGAGCCTGTGACAGGTCTTTGAAGCTCCCTGGAGCCTACAACATGGAGGTGACACCACTGTGAGATGCGACAACCAGTTACTGCAGGTACGTGGTAGGTACCTCATAGAGGAAATATGACCATAAATAGAATGGCACTGACCAAGGTGAGGGTGGGGTCAGTGAGGACTCCTGGCCCCCAGTGGTCCAGGATGTGTGTTCTTCAGTGACTAGGAGGACAGGTCCTGCAGGGCTGCAGTGACCAGCCAGCCATGGGGAGTGATGGCATGATAAGGGCCCAATACCAAACTAGACTACACACACTTGTGTAAAAAGACTTTTATTTTAATAAGTACAAATGGCTAAGCTTCCAAAAGTTCTTAAATAGGATTGTGGAGGGAGAAGCATGTCAAGAAGCCATTGAGCAGAGTGTGCCTGGTACCAGGCAGATGAGGGGATACAGGACCCTGCCCACTGGCCTCTGCCATCCATAAATACAGCCCAGCCCGTGGTAGGGGCTAGGCTCCTATGTACACCTAGGAACATTATGTACACACCCCACTGTGGGGTCCCCCCTCGGAGGGGAGCAAGGGCAGGGCTGCCCCTGGCTGCCACCAGCCCAGCTTTGTCCCATGGTTCCTGGGCCTGAGGGCCACCAGGCCCTTGGGCTGGGAAGAAGAGTGGGCCAGCCCAGGTGAGAGCCCACAACCCACACACTCCTGCCCTGGCCTTGAGGGCCCAGCTCCGATGACCCAGGGCCTGCCAGGCAGAGCGGCCAACTTTGCCCTCCAGCCCACGCCATGTGCCCAGAGCCACACGGAGACACCACTCCTGAGGAGAGTCGGCACTGCAGCAGGAGCAGGTGGCAAGGCCTTCAGGCCCAGTGGGATGGTACCTCCTCATACAGGAACGGGCCTTGACCTCCCTGCAGAAGGGGAAGGCAGGCTGTCAGCCTCCTCCTGCCATGGTGGGCACACCCAAAGCAGGTAGAGAGCAACTCAGACCAGCAGAAGCACACGGACAGCACACAGCCAAGGGCAACCCGAGCAGCAGAGCTCCCACGGAGCCCTGCAACCCAAGGCAGGCAGCAGTGGGCGGCAAGCAGGCAGACAGCCTGGGCCACTGGCCCCACTCACCTAGAGACTGCAGCCCTAGCCGTCAGGCTGAAATCAAAGTAACAGGTGTCTCACTGGTAAGCCTGACCCTGGCAGGACCTGCTGCTCCTATCCCTTTGGACCCAAGGACTCGGCCTTCCCATAAAGGGCCAAGTCAGGGGCTGCAGACCTGTCATGTGGCCCACTATGGGACATGGGGTACACCTTGAGCCCAGGAGAGGTGAGGCCCAGGATGGGAGATGCTGAGCCTGCTTTCTGGGGGTACTCCAGAAGCCAGCCTGCCCAGCCCCTGAGAATGGTGACCTGGGCCTGGAATCAGCAGCTACTGCTAGGAGGGTACAGGCTGGACTCCACCCTCTCCACAGTACTGCCTGCCCAACCCCTTCCCAGGGGCAGGGGATGGTATAACACAGGTTCTGAAGTTTCGTAAGTAGTTTTTTTCTGGTACTGGGATTAGAACCCAGGGCCATATGCATGCTAGGCAAAACCCTCTAACACTGGCCTATATCCCTAGCCTTTTTAAGATTTTGAGACAGGGTCTCACTAAGTTGCCTCAAACTTGCGATCCTGCTGCCTCAGCCACCCAAGTGCTGGGATTACAGACGTGCACCACCTCACCTGGCATATAAACTTTTTAAAAAGGAAAGAATCCATTCAGGCATGGCAGTCTTGTCGGCTGTGACCTTCATGGGGAGAGTGCTCACCCCTCTCTCTGCCCACTCCCCACTGACTCACCGGAAGGCTGCAGCTTTCTCCGGATGGAGCCAGGGCGGCTATTGGTCCCAGAGCTGGGGGCTGAATGGGCTCGTGCTGACTGTAGTGTCTGGCAAGCTGGTTCCCACTGTGAGCAGGAAAGGCAGATGGGCTGGGGCCAGGGCTGCCCTGGCAATCTCTCCTGCCACCCACTGGGCTTCCCTTGTGAGATCACAGATGTGAAGAAGGAAACTAGTTCCCACTGTGCACCAGACTGTAAACTACCTGAATTGCTAAGGACCCCCCATATCACCTTTGGAGCCAAATAAAGGGCCACTGGGTTTGGGTTCAAGTCTGATTCTACCACCTTTAGGCAGCTTCCCTCCTCCCCACCCTGCCCCATGGGGACAGGACTGCAGGGGCTCCACACCTCCAGATGCTCCTGGCTTGACCAGGACCCGAGCTCTGTGCGACGAGAGCTCGGACCCAGCTCCACTGAGCGCACCCTCTCAGCAAACTTGAGGGAGTACAGAGTCTCACTGGTGTTCTTCTCCACAGGAGACACCTAGAGGACACCAGAGCTCAGGCCCTGCCCAGGCCACCTGGCCACCCCGGGGACGATGACTGAGGGGCACAGAGCATGAGCACTGAAGAGATACAGAGGAGGGATTTGGGAGGTACACAGGTGCAACAGACCAGGTCTGTGCAGGGCTGAGGGGATTCCAAGGCTGCTGATGGCAAGAGTCCCTACCCTGCACAGCCTGGAAGGCCCCTCAACACTGAGGCTGGCCCCACCCCTCACCTGCACCACCATGAGTGTCTTGCTGTCACCACTAAGCGAGTCCTGTAGCAGATAGGTGAGCTTGGAGTTGCGGAAGGGCACGTGGCCCTGGCGGGAGCGCAGAGCAGCAATGACATCACCCAGGGCTGACAGGGACTTGTTGATGTGCTGTGCTTCCCGCAGGCGGCTGCCCTCAGCCCCCGACTTGCCCACACGCTCTGAACCAGCCAGGTCCACCAGGTTCAGCTTCCCTGTGGAGAGGGTGTCCGGTCAGGGCTGTCCAAGGGTCTCCCACGGAGTGGGCTCCTCAGGCCAGGTGGCCCACTGCCCTCCCTCACCCGTGGTACGGAGGCCTGTGCTGCAGTCCACGCCTCGCACTGTCACGATAAGCAGGGCATGCGAGCGGGAGCTGTGCTCGTTCAGGTTGGTGAACTCCGTGGTGCGGTTGGTGTGGCCGAACTCAAAGACCTGGGCACAGGGGCGTAGGTTTAGAATGGGGACTTGGGGGTCATCCCGCCCGAGCTCCCCTCTAAAGAGTGACACCACCCTGTGCCTCTCAGTGGAGCAAAGTGAGACTCAGAGGGACTGGGGATTTGCCCCAGGTTGCACTCAGGCTGTGGCAGAGCCCAGGTTCAAGTCTGGCTCTGCCCTGCTTCAGAGAAGCTCTGCTTGTGGTTAGGGTCTTCCTAGCACTTCACCAACCCCCAGAAGCCCCTAGCCCCTCCTTCACCTTGTTGATGTCGTCCACGCTCTGCACCTGGAACTCAGTCAGTCCTGGCACATACAGCTGCCCACTGCCATCTGGGCACAGCCGGATCTCCAGCTTCTCCTGAGGGTCTTTCCCAAGGAGGTCCCTGGAGGGCCAGTGGGATGTCACACCCTCCTCCCATTTCCAAGCTCTGCACCCTGCCCCAGCCTGGAATGTGTCCTTCATCACACCTTAGACCATGGGGTTAAGTCCACCTCTCCTCCAGCCCCTCCCCTGTAGTCAGCACAAGAGGGAAAGACAGACAGTTCCCCAGAAGTCCTGTTGACGGAGAACCCACTGCCTCCATAGTGATACCACTACCATCACCTGGTCTCCTGTACTGAGTCAGGACACACTTGGGGCAAGGTCCCTTCCTATCCTCAGCCGGAACCTGGACTCTGCCCATCCCACTTGACAACAGCCACCTCCCTCCCCACCCCACGGGTCCAGCTGCCGTCTGAGTCCGGCCCACCTGAGGACCTCGTTGTAGATCTCAGCGGCACTGACGGTCATGGTGTACTGCCAGTCAGACGCCTTTTCCTGCACCTCAGAGAAGAGCAGCTGCAGGGCCCGCTGGTTGATGCCAGGGTTCTCCGGTGTCCCCTGAAGGTGGAAAGAAAGGCTGTTTAACCCTGCTGATGCTCATGTGGCGTCTGTTGCCCCCATATCCCCTTCACAGGTGAGTCACCCTGCCTGAGGCTCCTGCCTGTGTGCTAGTCTTCTGTCAAAACACCCTCCACCAGCTGCAAGCAACTTCACCTCCCTGGGCCTCAGTCTCCCCACCTTTAAGATGGCATCACTCTGCCAGGATGATACTGAGACTTAGCACAGTGGAGTGAAGGCCTGGCATAGGCCTGCATCTGGCTGCTGAGCACCGGAGTCCATGCTGGCTGCCTGGGAGGGAGCAGTAATGAATGAATTCCCTCCTACTGCCCACCTAGGGGCTTGATGTCAGGGAAGTCATAAGCCAGGGTCTGGGTGCTGATGGAAGCAGAGGTGTTAGGTGCCTGGGGTCAGTGGGCTAGTTTCCCTTTCTAGAAGAAATCTGGCGAGCCTTCTGGGCCCTGGAGGTCTTATCTTCCCTCTGATGTGCCCTGGTCCCTCCATATCTGCCAAAGAGCTGTCACCCTGATCTTAAGTGCACCACCCACTGGTTCAAGGATCTGTGTTCTCCCTGCCAACAGAGCTTTTCCAGAACCCCAGGGCTGGCTCCATCAGCAACCTCCGGAGTTCCAATGCCCCCTCCCCAGGAAGGCTTCCTGTGTGCCCAGACACTCCATCCCTCCTGTTAGTGCCTCATCCCCACCACCTAACTTGCTATGCTCACTGATGTCCTCCACTGCCAGGTGGGCTGGCATCTGACACACCTCAGGCTTTAGCAGAGAGCTCTCTGGATGGATGCTCTGGGGGCACCAGGGGTCACCTCAAATCTATGCAGCTCAGGAGGTACTCACTGCACAAGTGCCGCCCCTCCATATTCCCCAGCTCGCCTAGCCTGCCCCCACCAACCAGTCTCCCCAGTCCCAGAACTGGGGGGACATGGGGAGCAGAATGAGGTAGAGAGGGCTGCCACGGCAGGCTCTCAGAGGGTGCCCAGCAGCCTGACCAGCAGGGCCCCTAGCCAAACTTCTCATTCTTCTTGCTTGGACACGGGGACACCAGCTGTCCTGTCCTCCCTGGGAAATTCACAGCACCTTCTATGGAGCCAGAGAAATGCTAACCAACCAAGTCACCAGTTGCCAAGGCTGGCTTTCCATTTCTGCCTATGGTCTGGATTCTTCCTCTTCTCAGTGCCCATTCCTTGGCCATCCTATGTGCTCCCACCATGCCTCACGGGAGTATGGGGCTGGCAGTAAGAGGCCCTGCTCTAAGGGAGGTCACATGGCCAGTCTCTCTGGCCAGTCTTGCACTTCCCCCGCACCTCCTTAAGGGACAAGACCCCACCTCATTCATCCCGGGATCTCCAGGCCCAGCATGAGGCAGCCAGCTATACAGCAGGAGGGAGCTTAGTGAATGTATGGGTGAGAGACATCAGGGTGACCTGTCCTGGACTCTGAGGTCAGGCCAAGAGCCCTCTGGTGGTTTGTTGTCTTGCACGTGTGCTCCTCCCCCATTCCCGCAATTGCCCTTCCTCAGGTCTTGTGCCTCAGAACCATGTGGAGAATGACAGCCTTTGCTCCCAGGGGTGTGTGTGAGGATGTGTACCTTGCAAAACCCTGAGACCAATGGGGGAGCCTGGGCTGCAGCCCCATCAGCAGGCACCCACCTCCATTGTGTATGTCTTGCCGGCGCCCGTCTGGCCATAGGCAAAGATACAGACGTTGAAGCCATCGATGCAGGAGGTGATCAGGGCCTGCACCTCCTGAAATACCTGGGAAGGGCATGGAGTAGAGAGTGAGGGACTTCAAGGACTGCTGAGACCAGGGGCCCCACCAGCTCCAGGTCCAGTCACCTTCCAGCCCACTGCCTCCTTCAATGGTAACAGCACATGAATACCTCATCGACCAGCTAACTGCAGATCAGTCACAACTAAGAAGCCACTGTCTTGGACAGCAAGCGGGCAGCTTGGTTCTGCCTGCCGACCCCAGCACAGAGCTCAGGGGCCCTCCTTCCCCCTGCTCCACTATCAAGAAGGGCTCAGAGAAACCTGGCACCTTCTTTGGCCTGGGCCTCCCTGCCAGTGGACAGAGTGAAGGAAGGGCCAGACATGGGACTGGAAGACACAGGCCTGACAGGCCTGGCAGGCTGGCCCTGGGCAGAGATGAAAGAGAGAAGCTGCCACGACGTGCTCACACAGCTGAGGCTCCATGCTGAGGGCCCCAGTGGTAGAGTCTCTAGCAAGTCCTATAGGACAGGAACAGTGGAATTCCTGGTTGGGGAAGCCAGCCTGGGAGGGGCCACCCTGTGGGTGGCCAGGCCACCATCCCTGGGTGCCATGCATCTGTCCTTCCGAGGCTCTGAGTCTTAGTTTCCTGGTCTCCTCTCTTCCGTGCTTCTCCTTCCTGTGACACACACACCCCAACGCACATTGTTTTGTCTCTCCCTGGGTGTCTGTCCTTCCCTTTCCCTGCATATGGCCTACGCACAGGGTCACACTCACATCCTGCTGTGAGGCCCACGGGGAGAAGACCTTGTCCAGCTCAAAGGACACGGGCTTGCCCTTGTGCAACAGGTGGATGATGGAGTCGTCATCAGGATCGAAGCTCACAGCATTGGTTGCCTCAGGTCCCTCCCCATCCTCTTTGGTGACTGGCCGGACGCGAGCAATCACTCGGATGTTTCCTGGGTGGTGACAGAGAAATGGCCCCGGAATCCCCTGCCTATAGGGCAAAGACCTCCAGGGCAAGGTGGCTCACCAAGCTGTTATTAGTGACTCCCACTACGGTATGAATGCTTAGCGTATTTTCTCTCAGAGCAGAGCAACTAAGGGTGGGAGCTTTGTTGGGGACAGTGAGGAAAGGTCAGTCGTGGGGTTCATACACTAAACCGGGCCTTGGTAAGACACCAAAATGGGCACTTTTCTCAGTGTCCTCACCTACTCAATGAGGAACGTGGGCTCCAGGAGCCGTGGGACTCCATCTTCCTAGAAGGGCACCGTGGATGCCAGGATGGGGCCTGGGCAGCCAACGGGCAAATAGGAACAGGCAGCAGGGATAAGACTGGCCATGTCTGACAGGCAGCCACAGGAGCCCCTTCCCTCCCGCTCCACCAGTTCCTCTCCAGCTCTGGCTGCCCCTCCTCAGGAAGTCCCAAAACCCTCATCTGCCCTGGACCCAGGGGCTCTCAGAGCCTCTCCTGGTCCTGGTGATGGGACAGTGTTGGGGTTCTCTGGGTGACTAGTAATCACGCCCTTTTCCCAGTGACGGTGAGCATGGAGAGGGCAGGGACGGTGTCCAGACAGAGCAGATGCTCCCTAGAGCTTGGTGCAGGGAATGGTGGGCCTCAGGCTTAACCAGGCCCCAGGGCAGAACAAGTGGCACACCAGCCACTGCACACTGCTGCCCTGCCACACATCTCAGGCACCCAGGACCTGGAGTCTGCCAGGGGCATGGACTTCAAGTCCATGGTGGAACACTGACTAGACACACAGCTTTGAGCAAGTTCCCCGACTTCTCTGTGCCTATTTCCTTGTCTATAAAGAGGACTGGGATGGCTCCTTGGGATAGGGCACAGTTCCAAGGAAGCCTGCCATGTAGGCTGAGGACCCTGTGACCCACCTGGGCCACCTGTGCTTACCTTTCAGCCGAACGAGCTCATTGTGGCACTTCTTGCGTAGCTGCAGCTCCCGGCGGTACTTGCGTAGCAGCTCCTGATTGTTACTGTTCGCCTCCTCGATGGCTTGGCCGATCTGGGGGTACGTGCATGCCGTCAGGGAGCTGGCACCTCAGTGGACCAACCGTCCAGCCTGACAGCGTGCTGTCTCCTGTCCTGGGCTGAGTACTGACATGAACAACTGTAGTGTATCAAATACCTCAGTAGCCCCCCTGGGTAGGTACTGCCAAGTACCCCCACTTTATAGGCGACAAAACTGAGCCTCAGAGAGGCTGAGAATAAGCAAAGGGTGGGACTCGGCCTCCATCCATAGCAATAGCACTTGGCTACTGGATTCAGCAGGACTCAAACTCTAGCTCTGCCCCTGCCTGAGTGGCAGGGGGATCTGAAACGACAAGTGCCTCAGTGTCTTTGAGCCTCCGTCTTCTCACATGGGGGTGATGCTCGTGACTCTAGGAACTGGTAGGTAAAGATCTCAGTATTACATTTCACAACAGACAAAAGCGAGATGCAAAATCACCCATTCGGTATGTTCCCCTTTGTTGGGTTCACTTCCAGTGATGGGCTTATAGGTGTTCCAACACCTTGGGCGAAATGTGGGGAGTCAGGCAGTCCTGGGAGCAGGGGTGGAGGGGCAGAGAGCCCTTTCCTTTCTGTGCTCCTCTGCCAAGTGGCACTCTTCACCATGTCTATGCATTAGTGGCATAATTTTTTTTAAAGAAAAACTATTTTCTATTCCCCAGATACATTAGTCTTTGAAGAGCTGTCATACAAACTCAAGGAGCCAACGGCTATAAAAGGCTCAGCGTGTAGGAGGCACTTAAGAGACACTGGCTCTTCTCACACTGCACAAATACGGTTTACAAAAACTAAACTGGGGCTGGGGATGGAGCTCAGGAGCAGAGTGCTTGCCTAGCAGAGGTGAGGTCCTGGGCTCAATCCCAGCAATGAGGGAAGGGGAAACCTAAATTAAACATAGCAGATGGACATGGCAGTGCATGCCTGCAATCCCAGCACTCAGGAGGCTGAGGCATAAGACCTGCATAAAATCAGAGCCAGACTGGCTATGCAATGAGAACCTGTCTCAACAAACCAAGAAAGAAAAAGGAAAACACGGAGTTAAACATAGCAGATAATAGACTATATTTACCATAGCTGAGATACACGAAACATTGGTTTTAAGAAAAATCAAGAGAGGGCTGGGTGTGAGGATCAAGTAGTAGAGCACATGCCTAGCCAGTGCAAGGTCCTGAGTTCAAACCCCAGTACCACCAAAGAAAATAAATAAATAAGAAAGCAGACATAGTGGGACAGCCTGTAATTCTAGCACTCAGGAGGCTGAGACAGGAGGATCTCGAGTTCAAGGTTAGCATCAGTTACATAGGAAGACAATAAAAAAAACCCCACAGGATCATAGTAAGACAAACACCTTAATACCTCCCCAACCAGTCTATCGTCAAAGGCCGGCCCAGCCAGGAATGTGTGTGTTGGAAGTAAGGTGGGGGCTATAGGCAGGGGGTTGGTGTTGGAAGGCAGCCCTAGGTTGGAGGCTCCCAGGGCCTCTCTGCAGCCCAGCCTGTACTGTCCTTGCTCACCTCGGCCTTGACATTCCTGAGAGCCTCCTGCAGCAGCATAGGGAAACCTCGCACCTGCCGCTTGAGCCCATTGTAGTCATTAGTGAGGGTCCGCAGCGCGGGCTGCAGCGTCAATAGATTGGTCCGGACACCTGAGAGGGCACAAGGGGCGTGAGGCCAGCAAGGCATGAGGCCGGTGGGGCGTGAGGCTGAGGTTTGGGTGGGCAGGGCCCAGTCGGCAGGCTCACCTGCCAGGTTCTCATGCACAGCCTTCATCTCCACCTGGGCTCGGGCAAAGGCCTCCTCGATGGCCCGGTTCTTGTCCTCCTCCAGGGACTGCATCTCCTCCAGCATCTGCCCATGTGCCCGCTCCAGCTCTGCCTCGTACATGGCAATCTGGTGGCCAGGCCAGGAGAAGCTCAGTGCTGGGCACAGAGAGGGAGGGACAGGAATGCAGAAAAAAGCCCTGCCCCCACCTCCACGAGCTGGTGAAACTGCACTGAAATACAAGGGTGGAATGGCCTTCTCCCCACCCTTCAGTGGTGCTGGAAGCTCTCCACGGCAAACGCCTCCCCTCGTTAGCCCAACACCAACCCTGTTCAAGGCACGTAGCAGGTGTGTAAGTCACATGCTGCCCCTAGGGGACTGAGAAAAGCATGTGTTGTAGTGACGGCAGCTACAGCAGTCTCACTGAGTGTGTGCTGCCACCCCTCTCCTGCCCCCAGCAAACAGTCTCTTGCTGTTAATTTCCTGAGCCCATTGGGAAGAGGCTTCTATGACCAGGTCACATCACAGATGAGGAAATGGAGACTTAGGCAAAACTTGCCCTTGGCCATGCGGCCATTGGGAAAGGAAGGGACTGGACCCGAGGTGTGTGGGGGCCCCGTGTGCTCAGCCTCCGCAGTGTGTTGCGGGCCTCCCTCTGGCCCCTGGCTGGCATGTACCCTTGTGGGCCGCGCACCTGAGCCCGGAGCTGCACTGTCAGCTGATGCGAGCTCTGCAGCTGCTGCTCCATCTCCTTCAGCACCTGCCGCTGCATGGCCACCTGCTCCTGCAGGTGCTGGTTCCGGGCCTGGGACTCGCTGAGGGCCTGTTTGGTTTTGGATGACTCCACTTCCACTGTCTTGATGACGTACTGTAAGGTGTTGGTGGGGGGCATCACATGGGTACCCTCCAACGCAGCTGGCCATGGGAGGGGAGTATGGGATCACCCCATTAACAGTGCCTAGTGAAAACTCCAGGCCCTAGCTTCCAGACAGCTGTGGGCCTCCTGGGACTGTCTCAGCCTAATGACAGCACACTGTTGTAGCCCTGGCTGCAGCCCAGCCCGGGCACAGAACAGACAGAAAGGGCAAAGACAGGGCTGATTCTCAAAGCTGCACTGCACCTGGGCCTGGCACGTAATGGACAGACACCTCAAGCACTGCGTGCTGGACTCTTCCCTCTGACTGCTCCTGGGCAGCAGGAGGGGACAGACACAGGACAACACAGCACAGAACTGGAAGGAGCCCCTCAGCCACTCACACCTGATAACTCACTGGGACAAGCCCCTTTTCCATTCCAGTCCTGACCTCAGTCCACCTGGCTGGTGGCTCACCTTGACTGGTGGGGACTGGGCCCGCAGGCTGGCAATGGTCTCGTGGCTGTCACGCAGACGCCGGCTGAGTCGCTCCTCCTCCTGTGCCTTCTCAGCCAGGCAGTCTTTGAGCCGCAGCTCCACCTCAGCCAGCCGGTCGGTCTTCTGCTGCACCTCCAGGTTCAGCTCCGACAGCATGCCTTTGTTCTCTGCCACCTCCAGCTGCAGCTGGGACAGCTTGTCGCGGAGCTGGGTGCTCTCCTGCAGGCGGTAGGGAAGCCCGGGGACAGACAGAAGGGAGGGTCACTGTAAGGAGCTGAGCTCCCCGCCCCCACACACACACCCTGGGCCCAGGGTCAGGACCTGTCCCGCAAGCTCACCTGGCTGTGCTCACAGCCCACGCAGGGCGCTGCTGGCTGTGCCCGCAACTCCTGCAGTTCGGCCTCACAGTGCCGCAGCTCCTGTCTCAGCCGCTCATTCTCCACCATCAGCCGGTCCCGGTGCTTCTCCAAGTCTGTGCCTCCCTGCAAAGAGCCACGGCCCAGGGGGGACATGGAGCAAGGGCAGGCAAAGCAAAGTGAGCAGGGCAGAGGAGAGTTGAGGAGAGAGACAGGAAAGGAGAAAAGGGGAAAAGAAAAGGGAAGGTGAGTGAGGGAGAGAGAAGAGGCCAGGAGCTCAGAGAAAGAAATCAAGAGAAAGACAGTGGACAGGAAGCAGCAGGGTGAGGCAGAAGCACGCTCCCTGCTGCCTCCCGCCCCTCTTGGTCTATTTTCCTGAGTGTGAAAGTAACAAGAAGTCACATTCATGCAAAGTTCACACTCCCATCTTATGTCAGCAAACAAGATCCAGCCCCCTGCCTTCAGGATTCACACGTCTGCAGAGGGGACTAGGGCCTGCTAAGTGTTTAAGCAGGGTGGCATCTGCTCCGTAGGGATCAAGGACTCAAGAGATGGGCTGCACCACCCCTGGGTGGAAGGGTCAAGTGGCCGGGCAGCAGCCCCCCTTCCAGGAATGCACCGGGAGACTCACCAGCTCAGATCGCAGTCGGCTCACTTCCTGGGCCTGGCTAATGAGCTTCTCCTTCAGATTCTCCACCTGCCAACATGAAGCAGGGGCACAGTGAGTCTGGGTCCCACACCCAGGCCTCTCCTGGCCCCAGCAATGACCAACATGGCTCCTCCCAGCCCATGACCCCAAAGCCTCAGGCCTCCTTGCAGCCAAGCACCGTGCTGTACCTGGCACTCCAGGTGAGAGAAAGCCAGTCTGCTCCCAACACCTGTCAGCACCCTGTTCCCGCAGGACAGAGCCAGCTGGGCTCCTCAGAGCGGTCTGGAGAGAAGTGCAATCTGGCAACCCCTCGCCACCCTGGGGCAGCTCTCAGGGAGACTCAGGACCCCTCACTGTGCAGGCCCCCCCTGAGGCCCTGGACCTGCCTTACTACATGTAATTTCATACTCTCTTTCTTAACAAGGACCACCCCCCCAAACTGTACAAACTTCAGGCTCTGTTCTTGCCAAACCCCCACAATTTTCCACTTTGAGTGGTTTCTATAAGTCAGCCTGTGGAGCTACGTCTCCCTCAGCCAGGGCACATCTGGGACCTGTGTCCATCTCTGCTCCCCAGTTGCCAGTCAGGCTGTGAGAGAAGGGGATGAACACCCCTCAGCAAGCTAGGTGCCCAGCAAAGGGGGACAACTGTGGCGCCAGACCCATGCGGACAGGTCCCTGGAGCTGTCCTCCAGCTGGTCCTCCTTCCCAAAGGCCCCAGATCCTGGGCTCACATCAGCCCATCCCAGAAACCTCTCCTCAAGAAGTAAGGCAGGTGTTCCAGTGCATGCTACAGAGCCTGTGGGATGACCACATCACAGTAAAAAAGGTGTAGTGGGAGGCAGATGGACTTGGGGTTAGGAGGGTCACAAAAGCACTGGGTTCTGATTACTAAATAACAGATGACAATGACCATCACCTACAGGTACCAGCCAAGTAAGGCAGGTGAGGGGCCACGTGGGACTGGACACCTAAAAGCCACCTGAGGAGGCAGCCACAATGTGCCTCCCACACAGTCAGTGTCACCAACTTCCTTTCCTTCCTACCCTCCCTTCCTCCTGCTCGCCTCCCTTCCTTCCTCCTCTTTCTTCCCTCTCTCTCTCCCCTATCTCTCTCTCTCTTTCTTCTCTTTTCTCTTTTCTGCAGTACTGGGAGTTGAACCCACAGGCTTGAGCATGCTGGGCAATCTTACCACTTAAGTTATGCCCCCACCAAACTTATCTTTTAAGGGAGGCCAAATGTTTCAATTTCCTGGGTAAATGTGTTAAATCTCCCCATTATATATTTGTAATGGCTGAGACACTGAAAAACAAGCATGTGGGCAGCACTTGGCCTCAGAGGTCACTTTCTCCTGGCTGACCAAGTCTGCATCTCCAAGCAGGTTGGGGAGGAAGTGAGCCCTGGGGTCTGCCCCCAACTCTGAGAAAAGGCCAGCAACCCCAGTGCCAGTTTATTGTGGGGAGGGGTCTCACATGACACTAGACGCAGCAGAGGCACTGAGAGGCCCACCAGGGCCCAGGGCCTCCTGGTGGACAAGCAGGTGACATAAAGGCTGACCCTGAGTAGGTCACTCACCTCTGTCACACCTCCATCATGTTCCTTCCTAGCAGTGCATTGGGCCATGGGATGAACAGGGAGGCCAAGCTCTGGCCAATGCCAGGTCTTGGACTGAGAGCCCTCGGCCCAGAAAGGAGCAAGGGGAGGTTCACACCAGGCAGCCTTTCATTCCTTAGCCATAAAATTGGGGACAACTGAACAGCCACCATTAGGGGAACAGTGGGATAAACTATGGGGTGTGTGTCTGTCTACTGCACAGACCATTGTGTGCTCATCACAGATCTCAAGAGTGAAGCTTGAAGACTGGAAGTTTTAAGTGTCATCTCTCAGCTGTGTCCCCTGCCCTGCTGCCTGCAGTCCATGACAAGCCCAGAGAAGACTTGGTATCTGACATCTCTGAGCAAAGGGGTCCATTACAGTCCGTTCCCCAACTCTGCCTCCCTCCCCTAAGCTCCTGACCCTGTCCCATCACAGCTCATCAACATGTTAAGTAAAAGAAAAACACAGGGGAAATGGTGCAAGCAAGCAGAGGGTGTCGGGGCTGCAGGTGACGCCGACAAATTCTCTATGCTTTTCCATGATGCTTCCATCTCAAGGTTATGTGCCCAACTTCCCTCACCCCGAAATCAGAGGAGCCCTTCCCACTTATGAAAAGGTCAGCCCCCTACTCTACAGGGCTGCAGCTCTGACCTCAGCCATCTCCAGTGCCATAAAGGTGGGGATCAAGGTGTTTGTGGGGGTTAGGAACCCCCCCCACTTTACCTGCAGCCAGCTTGGTCCCCCTCTTACATCACAATGGAAACCCAGGTGCTCCCCCTCTACTGTGGCTGCCACAGGGCCAGCTGGTCAGGAGGGAGGAAGGGGCACTGAGGAAGTGGCTATAAAAGGTCCCTTGGTCAGGATGGAAGACACTAAGCTACCTCGGGCTTGTCTAGGGTAGCAGAGCAGGGACCCAGCTGAAAGGAAGACAGATCCTGTGGGGCACCTTGGCAAGGTGGCCACAGCCACATCAGACACAAAACCACTAAGCTGCTCAGTGGCCCGTGTGGGCTCCATTTGGGGCTGGGCAACAGGAACGTGCCATCTGGGAGAGGGACCCTGGCCTCCATCTAGGGCTCTGCTGCAGGAGAGTGGGGTGCACTGTCAGCTTTCTCCTGAACCTGAAGAAAGCACATCCCCCAATTAGAGAAAGCAGGAAAGAAGTCACAAACAAATGGAGCACACAGAGCACTGGAAGGAGACAGGGCTGGAGCAGTGACAGCAAAGAGTGGGGAGCTGGGGGCTCCCTGGCCCTGCCAGAGTCATGGCCTTCCTAGAAGAAAGCATGTGCATTTCCCACACGGGCGTCTGCATCTGTGAGACTATGTGGGGAGGGCCACAAGCCAGCATGTGGACAGCACACAGCAGGTGCTCAATAAATACAGGAAAACAACAGCAAAGGGGCAGCGTGCACATTGCTGAGCCAGAAAGAGGACACAGGCTTACTAGGCCACCATATCCCAGGAAAACACAGAGGTCAACCCAAAGCAGAAGAGGGTGCTGGCCTGGGCTTAGGTGATACTCCTTCCTACTACAAACTCCTCATCAGCTAGAGAAACTGAGGCATGCTCAGGGGGCCTCAGCTCTGCCCTGCTAAGGCAGAGGGTGTTGGGCCCGCCTGTCTGCTGACCCAACACAAACCCGCATTTACACACGGCAGCAGAGCAGGCTCAGCAGAGGTGGGGCGCACCCTCAGCTCTGCATTTCCTTTGCTGTCTGCTCCAAGGCAGCCTCTTACCAAGCAACCTGCTGATTACCCCTACCTCCCAGCACGCCGGGGCAGCATGGTCAGCAGCGGCCTCTCCCAAAGGTGCTGCCAAGCCTTGCTGAGCTAGCACAGGAAACAGCCCAGAGCCCCAACTCAGAAGCCCTAGGGGTGGCCAGGCAAGCACCCCTCCTCCAGGTGCCCACCCCAGCACACCCCTCCTCCCAGGAGGCCAGATCCTGGCCATATGACTATAGGCCTGGCCTGTCTGGCCTCTGTCCACAGAGCTGTCTCCCCTGCCAAATAGTCATATCCAGGTCCTGCTGCCACCAAGGGCCTGGAGTAGCATTTGAGAACATGGATTCTCTGCCAGACTGCCCAGGTCTACTGCAGACCTCAGTTTACCCGTCAGTGACCTTGGACGAGTCTCTACCTCTCTGTGCCTTTCGCTGTCATCTGTTTAGTGAGGCCACCTCATCGAGGTTGTCTTGAAGGCTCAATGAGATAACGTGAAGGGCACTTAATGTGTTCTACTGTAGGTTGGGAATTCCTTATCCAAGATGCTTGGCATCAGAAAGTCTTACATAGCTCAGATCTTTGCGATTTGGAATGTTTACGTGTGCATAACAAGATATTTGGAGATGGGACCCAAGTCTAAACGCAAGATTCATTTGTGCCTCACACATGGCTTAGACACACAGCCTGAGGGAATTTTATATGTTGTCTTAACGATTTCGTGCACCAGATAAACTTGGTGTACCCTGAGTACCAAGGACTTGGGACTTCCACGCTGGGATGCTGAGCCTGCGTTAGAGTGAGAGGTCTGTGGAGCAGGGGTTTTAGTCTGTGATCCTCAGTGCTGGACTCCCAGTGCCTGGCACATGGTAGGTGCCCAGAAAACACTGGGAAGAGCAAGGTCTCGGGGGGAGGGTGGCACAGCATGAGGCAGGAGGGGTGTGGGTGGGGGTGCTCTGAGTGTGCTCACTCCACCAAAGGCCGGAGCAGCCCAGGCAGTGGCTGTCACATGGGAATGTCACCCCAGAGGAGTCACATCTTCCAACTAACAAAAAGGAAGTCCTGATTCATGTAAGCTTAACTAAAGATTTAAACGTTGGTAACTCATTTGATTTTTAAAATCAGGCCAAATAGAACTAATACATTCAGCTAAATTGCAGGAGAGAAAATATGCAAAAATCACTGCATTTCTAGAATAATGAAAAAAAGACACTAGCTCCACTTTCGATGTCACCAAGAAGAATAAAATACTTAGGAATGAACTAAGAAAGAAGGTGGAAGACTTACACACTGAAAACTACAAAATTTGCTGAAAAGAGGAGAAAGACAGCACTAGGCAGAAAGACATCTGTTTGGGACTGGAACACTAAATAATATTCTGATTTCAGGGCAGGGGGTGGAGCTCAGTGGCAGAGCGCCTGTCAAGCGTGCACAAGGCCCTGGATTCAATCCTCAGCACTCCAAAAATAATAACTGTTAAGATTTCAGTAATATCCAAAGTAATCTACAAATTCAAAATTAAAATCCCTGTAACGTTTTCTGAAGGAATAAAAAGAATCCTTCCTAAAATTCATATGAAATCTGAAAAAGAACAACAAAGGGGAAGTATCACATTTCCTGACTTCACAACTCACAAAGTGCTGGCAGAAAAACAGACAAGACAGCCCAGAAATAAACCCTCACGCACAGGCTCACATGCTCAAATGGTTTCTGACCAGGGTACTGAGACCGCCCAGCAAATGGGGTTAGGAAACTGGATGTCCACATACAAAAGAATGAAACTGGACCCTTACCTTAATCCAAAGACAAAAATTAACTCAACATGGATCAAAGACAAAAACTCTAAAACTCTTAGAAGGAAGTATCGGGAAAAGCTTCATGACTTTGATTTTGGCAATGATTTTTTTTTTTTTTTTTGGATATGACCCACAAAACACAAACGCTAAAATAAAGAATAGAGGAGGCCAGGTATGGTGGTGTATGTCTATAATCTCAGCACTCAGGAGGTGGAGGCAGGAAGATCATGAGTTTGAGGACAGCCTGAGCTGAACAGCAAGAGACCTTGTCTCGAAAAACAAAATAAGCTTTCTTTCTCTTCTTTTGGGGACAATGTTTCAAGACATTCAGAATGGTCCAGCGTTTGACACACCTTGCCTACCTATCCCAAACCCCGGGCAACAGAACTGTTTACCTTTATATCAAGAAGGTCGGGAAAGCACCAGAATCTGCATGTGCTGTGTGCTGAGGCCCATTTTGAAGGGTTTGTGCTGTAAGGCCTAAAGCCCTTTCAAGGTCATCTAAAACATGTCACCAGGAACTACGGTGTGCCTATGTGTGCTACATGTGTCTGTGGCAGAATGGAGGGTGCTTTCCTTACTGAGGAGCAGGAAATTGTGAAAGTGTTGAAGGAATAAGCACAGAGTCAGAACAGTAAACAACAGCGGGTGCTGGTGGTCACCAGTAATCCCGGCTACTCAGGAGGTAGAGATCAGGATCACAGTTCAAAGTCAGCCCAGGCAAAGAGCTTGCAAGACCCTATCTCGAAAAAACCAACACAAAAAAGGGCTGGCAGACTGGCTCAAGTGGTAAGAATGCCTGCCTAGCAAGTGTGAGGCCCTGACTTTAAACCCAGTACCACCGAAAAAAAAAAAAAGCCCTATATAAATAAACAGCTGGGGGTGTAGCTCGTGGTAGTGTGCTGTGATCCCCAACACTTAGAAAAGAAAACAAAACAAAGAAGAAAATCCTGACGTGGACTACGACACGATGACCCTCGAGGACACTATCGTAAGGGAAATAAGCCAGTCACAAAAGGACAGACACTGGTAGGAGGTGCTGATGGTTCCTACAGTAGGAATGTGCTTTTAGTTTTTGGGTTTTCTGACACAGGGTCTTGCTGTATAACCCAGGCTGGCCTGGAACTCTCTAGGTAACCTAGGCTGTCCTTGAACTTGCAACCCTCCTGCCTCTGCCTTCCAAGTGCTGGAATTAAAGGCATGTACCACCATACTTGGCAATATGAACTTTGCACTTACAAATGGTGAAATGGTGCACTTTGTGTTATATTATTGTACTGCAATTTCAAAAAATGGTTAAAATGGGAGCTGGGAGCATGGCTCAAATGTTGAGCGCTTATCTAGGAAGCACAAGAGCCTGAATTCCAACCCTGAAATCGAGAAAAAAAATTTTTTAAAGGTGAAAATGGTTTAAAAAAAAGAAAGCGCGCCAAACAAACAAAATACAGTTGCGGGCAAGAGCTAGCTTTCTGGCCTGGCCACTGAGGCCGATGCGTAAGGTTCTACCATGAGGTGCAGAGGCGGGAAGGGGTGGGTGGCTGAGCAGCAGTGGGTACACTGAAAGAACCTTAGGAACCTGGAGCTGTGGCTCCAGGGACAGCCACAAAGGGCAGGGGAGCTGGCGGCCACGCAGATGTGACCTGGGCTGCCAATGTAGGGGAGGGTCGCCAGGTCCAGCCACAGCCTCCACCACTCAACCATGGCCCACAGCAGCCCTGAGGACTGGGTCAGCCAGGTGCCTGAGGCCTGCAGACCCTTGTCCCAAGTGCTCCCAGTAAATGTAAACACCTCCAGCTCTGCCAGGGGGAGGGATTGTGAGGTCAACAACCGGAACCCCTAATCCCATGAGGCAGGTACTGTTATTACCCCCACTGTGCAAGAAGAAGAGCTGAGGTTCCAAGAGGGGAAGCCTGGCTAAGTGACTTCCCTGAGGTCACCTGACCACTAAGTGGAACTCAGGCCTGGCTGCCCTCACCCTGACCACTAGGTTGCTTGGCCTTTTGGGAGCAGCGCTGGGAACACCTGGTGGGGTATGCCAGCTGTGCGTGTGTGGAGGGGCTTTTCCGACTAAGAGAAGCAATGCTCAGAATGCATGGGAAGTCAGCCAGCGTCAAACCACGTAAGCCTGTGGGAGACAGAGCATGGCACCCCACAAGGCACAGTGGACAGTGTGCCATCCACTTCCCTGTCCATTCTCACAACTGATCCAATGGATAACCACAAGTCACATCTATTAGCACAGCTTAGAGGCTTGGAAACAAGGCTCGGAGAGGAGGTGGCTTCCTACAGCTGCACAGTGGTGAGCGGCACCGCCAGAACTAGACTGTGCCCCTGGACTCTTCCTGAAACTCTTCCTGGCGATGACGGGCTCAGTCACTCACTGGGGATCGTCCTTCTGAGTGCTACTACTCCATTTTACAGAGGCACAGAGGGATAGTTAACTAGCCCCAGGTCACATAGCTAAGGCACAGTAACAAAGTCAGGATTGGATTCCTGTTCCAGGCCCATATGGCTGGCCACATCTCCATGGGGTCGGACCCTGACTCACTCAGAGACCCCTCAAGAAATCTCCAGAAGAGCAGTGTAGTCAGAAAGTTCCAGGACAAAACCTGAGCAAAGATCGGGGGCCATTCTGAATTCCCAAGTCACCCAGGGGAGTGAGGTGGGATGGGGTCCTCACAGGTGGAGCAGGAGCTGGGGCTCCAGGACACCCTCAACTTCCCCTTCTAAGTGGATTTTGTCAAAGGAAAAAAAAATGTTTTTAAAACACTTGCTTAGGGCCAGGCCGGTGGCTCATGCCTGTAATCCTAGTTACTCAGGAAGCAGAGATCAGGAGGATTGTGGTTCAAAGCCAGCCCGGTCAAATAGTTCATGAGACCCTATTTTGAAAAAACCCACCACAAAAAAGGGATGGTGGAGTGGCTCAAGGTGTAAGTCCGGAGATCAAACTCTAGTACTCCCCACAAAAAAAAATGCCACATATTATGATTTCATTTATATGAAATGTCAAAAAAGGAAAACCCATCAAGACAGACGTGGCAGTGCATGCCTATAATCTCAGAACTCAAGAGGCAGAAGCAAGAGGATTGCAAATTCAATGCCAGCCTAAGCTCATGGTGAGACTATCTCAAAACAACAAAAACACACCAGTTTGAAAAGCAGTGCCTAGGCAACGTACGCTGGAAAGGCAGAGCTGCTGTTGCTAAGCTCTTGCCTTGCACTGGATGTGTGTCCTGCAGGGCAGGTGCTGGACCAAGCCCCGCCCCCAGGGCAGCACCTCAAGCCTCACTCCTGCTGCCACTGCCCCTTTGCACTGGCTGTTCCCTTGGCTCAGAACGCACTTCCCTCTACTCTGTGCCTGACCTCAGCTCCAGCACTGCTTTCTCAGGGAAGCCGTCCTCAGAGAAGTCCTTGTGTGAGCACCTGTGCTGCAGAGCCCTTGTCACTCTTCCTCCTCTATATGGCTGCAAAAAATGTCCAGCCCCTACAGCTTCCACGGGGCAGGACCTGCCTGTCCACCTGGGTATTCCTGCTGCCAGCTCCATGTCCAGTTCTAGAAAGTCACACAAAGATGAGGAAGGGAGACAGGCACACAGCCAACAGGAAGAAAACCAAGCTGTCCTGCAGGAAATTTCAATCGGTGGGGCAGACAGGACCAGAGACAGCAAAGCAACAGGGTAAGAGGGCACTCTGCCCAAAGAATACCCCAAGGAACCCTGCTCAATGCGGCCAGGGCAGAGAGGCAGGACAGCACTAGGGATGCCTGAGGAGGCCCATTCAACGCAGCCAGGGGCAGAAGGGGTAGGGGGTGGGAGTGGCAGGAAAGCAGCTCTGGAGAGCAAGAAATGCCACATGCAGAAGGAGCTCGTGAATATTCTGCTGCCCTGAACCAGTGACGTTCCTTGGAGCACACAGTCCATACATCTAGGTGACCCCGCTGCTGGCTCACGGTACAGAGGGCTGTCAAGAGAGTGCCCTGGGCCCAGAGTCAGGGGTCCAGTGGCCTGGCAGAGCTCATGTGGGGATGATGTGGCCAGTGGTCAACCCCTTGGGGCATGCAACTCCCAGCCCAGGGTTCCCTAATATCCTCCTGGTCAGTTAACAAAGGAGACGATGCTCCAGAGGTTGGGGCAATCCCTCCTCTCACTCACACTCACCAGCCTCTGCCTTTCATGGGAAGACAAACTCTCATTTCCTGCCGGGCACCCACGGGATACGGACTGCAGTGAGTTTTATCCACTCAGCTGTCCCGCACAGGGCAGCATGGAAGATGGGGTGGCTGGAGCATGGGCCTCAAGCCAGGAGGATGATGGGGGAAGCCCAGGCCTCTGATTCCTGCCACATCACCCTCCGGCATCTTCCCGAGCCAGGAGAGAAGACCCTAGTGTGCCAGTGGGCAGGCAGGGTCAGGTTCCCCAGCAATGTCCTCTGACCTGCTCCACAGTGGGTAGTGGCCTCTGCTCATCCCTGCCTCCCCAGGTACCTGGTGCTGCAGCTGGGTGGATGTGGCTTGCTGGTCACTGTTGCGGAGAGCCAGCCTCTCCCGCAAGACCTCCAGCTCCTCCTGAAGCTGGGTTTTCTCGTCCTGAAGCTGGGACATGGCCTCCACCATCCTATGCACCACGGGGGCTGCACCTGGCGACCCCGACAGGCTTGAGCACCTCCCGCTGCCAAAGAGCCGCCCACCTACAAGCAAAGTAGTGATGGGTCAGCAGGGCAATGGCGGTTCTGCCCCAGCTGAGGACAGGAGCCCAGCAAGTCAGGGGAGATGGCTGGGGATGGGACAGGGGTGCAAGCAAGGGGGATGGGGGTTGGAGACAGCAGCAACACGGGTCAGCAGGGGCCTCCAGCCTGCCTCAGGGGAAGTCACTCAGCGGGCAGCCTGGGGGGGCGGGGGGGGCGGGGGGGGGAGGAGAGAGAGAATGGAATCGCCTGAACCAAGACTTAGAAAAGCAAGTTTTACTGATTCCCCTCAAAGTGTGGGTTCCAAGTCAGAAAGGCCAGCCCCTCCCTGTGGCCAGCCTATAGGCAATTGCCACTGAGGAAGAAAAAGGCATTTCACCCAGAAAACAACTGTGCTTAGGGAAATGACTGGTTTACACCCCAAGTCCTCTCAAAAGTACAGGGGACAGGAAGGAGCTCTCCGGCTGCCCCTGCAGGCGGTGTTCACCCGTGCGTGCAAAGGGGACAAGAGGAGCATGTGCAAGCACAACAGACTAGGACACAAACAGGCCAGCCCAGAGGGCAGGAGCAGCCAGGCCAGCCCCGAGGGTGACGCCTGCACATGGGGACCACACAGGCAGGAGGAAGAGGTAAATACCGAGCCAGGTGGGGCCTCAGACTGAGTCCTCCTCCTCCCACGCCTTTCACTGTCCTGTCACCAGGAGTAAGAGAGAGACAGACAGATGGACAAAGGACAAAGACAGGGACTCAAGGCCTGAGACCTGCTAGTGGGGCCTGGGGTACTTGTCATAGCTTGGTCAGAGCGCCAAGAATGAGCCCAGTCTCTTCAGGTAGGTAGCTGACAGCAGTTCATAGGAGAGGGGGAGCAGGAGAGCTGCAGAGATTTCCCTTCTCCTCCTAGTGGCCCAAAAAGTGTCCTGGAGTGCACCTGATGGTCAGCGAGCCCGCCCACCCTGCCTTGGCTTGGGTTTTCTCAGGGGTCAAGGGCTCCACCTGTGCCTGACTACACTACCAGCAGCCTAAGAGGTAGCAAATGTGTCCCCTGCTCTGAAGAGCCCGTGGCCCAGCAGCTGCAGCTGGCAGAACAGAACAACCCCAGCACTGGCTGGCAGGGGCAGATGGGTGAAGTCCAGCTCCCTTCTAGATGGGCAGGAGGAGCACTCACAAGCTGGTCTCCTCCCTTCCAGAGAGCTGTGGCCAGGCAGTCCCTGGTTGGACAGTGACCCTGGCTGTGGGGCCTGCATGTGACTCAGCGTGCAAGTCACACAGAGCTGGCTGAGCTTCTATGATCTGTTCTAGAGAAAGTGAGGGCAGGCAGATGCTTCCAGGCCCGCACACGGGGCTGCCACAGGTGGCATGTGACCGCGTGGCCCTCTCAGACTGCTGTGGTATAGTAGAGAATGCACTGGACTCAGCCTGAAAGACGGTTCTGCCTCTTGAGACGCGTGGCATGGCCCTGCAGGGTCTTCCTATGTGAAGTGGGGACAACACACCTGGCCCCAAAAGCAGCCTCGGGAAAGAGCCCAGAGCTGGGAACCTGTGGGGGACACCCAGGGGTAGGTGTGTCAGAGGCCTCAGAGAGCCCTGTCATCAGGGACTGTCCCAGGAGGCTCTGACACACCCTGGAGCCCACAGAACCTCAGCACAGTGCCCTGTGCAGGTGCTGGGAGCTGGGGGGCCGTGGAGGGGAGAAAGACCTCGAAGAAGCTAAGGGAGTGCCAAGGAAAGGGAAGAAGAAGGACGGGGGCGATCTAAGGCACTTGGGCAGAAAGGGTACCGTGCTGAGGGGGCTGCACACCACCTAGGAGGTCGGTTTTCAAAGGTGCTGCCTGTCACGGGACTCAGGGCTCAGGGGCCATGGGCCAGTCCACGCTCTGAGGGGAGCTTGCTTTCTTCTTTAGTGTCTCTGGTGCTGGGTCAAGGAAGCCCACCGAACTGGCTGAACAATGATGCCCTCTTCCCAAAGCCTGGCTGCCCACACTTCAGCCAGACCCTCACACCTTCCCTGAACATAGGAGGGCCTGGGCCCAGACAGGAGGACATAGCTCTGGCACAGCCTCAGAGGAGGGAGTCGCTCCCACCAGCAGCCAGCAAGTTTAGACACACACATGAACCCTATGACAGGAGGAGAACAGGAAGACCAGTACTTTCCTCCACATGCTCCCAGCCTTCCCGTGGCTCCCTGGGATGCACTTTCCTAGGGACACTGAGCTCAGTTTTACTGCTGGGAACCCCTGCACAGACCCCAAAACTACAAAAGGGTCCACAGACTTTTCTAGAACCAGACCTTGTCAGAGAAGAACAGAACTACCAGCAACTTTTCCTCAGTTCTCCAGGCAGCAGAACCAAAGCCCTGTCTGCACTGGGGAGAGAGGGGTCTCTAGACCCCTAGACCAGAACATGGGGAGGAGGCCAGGCCTCTCTACAGATGGCTGTGGTGTCTGGGAGCTACTACCCATGCCCTGCTTTTGACAGGCACTGGGAAAAGACAAAATACCAAGAAATCCAACCCCAGCCCCTGCTGCCCAAGGCCTCTTATCACTGGGTAGGGCCCTGGTGGTCCTGGGAGGGGCAGAGGGGACAAGGGAGGGACAGACACAATGCTGTTTCTAGATCTGGGAGAGGTAGGCCGGGGCCTTGAGTTTGTGACGGGTAACCAGAGTCTGGCTGGGCCACCTCCAGCTGGGAAGGACAGGGAGTGGGGACATCTGGGACTCTGCAGGAGCCTTCCTCCTGTGCTGGCCTGGCCAGTGTTCCAGGTCAGTGGGCCAACCTCTTTTACCTGTTTTCTCTACATTCATGCTGCCACCAGCTTCTGGGGCCTCCCGGTCCCGCCTGGGGGCCAGCGCCTGCCTCTTCAGGAGTTTGTCTTCTTTCGTCCCCTGACTCTTGCTCTCGCACCCCTTGTCCTGCAGGGCCTGCTGCCAAGACACAACCAGAATCCTCACATGAAGGGGACAGCGCTGGGGAGGGATCCTGAGCCTGGGATGGTGCAGTCCTGGGGTCAATATGGACCAGGGCCCAGCAGGCCTAAGCCCTGACTGTGCAGGTGGGGATGATGAGGTCTGGCATCTGGTGGAGACCGTGTTGAGATCCCAAAACAAGCCAGTGTACATTTTGGGGCCCTCAGCACCACCTGAAGTCCTCAGGTGAAGCCTGAGCCATCCCTGTGGCTCCATGGGGTGGGAGGCACCAGCACAGAACCTACTCACTTCAAGCCTATAAACCACACTGTTCACAGGACCTCTCCAGCCCCACCACACACACATCAATCTCAGGGCAACTCCCCATGTCACCCCTGGCAAGTGACTCTCCCCACCTCCAGATGGCACCCACATAACTGGGAGGCCACACACAAGTCCACCCGCCTTTCCTCCTTCACTCTCCCTGCCCCATCAGGCTGTCCAGGGGTCATGGGACCCATCTCCAGGTCAACAAAGGACTGAGGTGAAGGAGGCTGGGCAGAGAGGGACGCTTCAGCTAGAGACATCACCTGCAGCTTATCCAGAAGGATGCCCAGGTGAGTGGCAGAGAGGCATGGGAAGAGCAGGTCAACTGAGGGCCACAGCCGTGAAACAGGCAAGAAAACAACCCAGCGGTTCTACAAAGGCATGGGACAGATGGCAGAGTGCCCAAGGGTAGAAACAAGCCCCAGTTAAACTTCAGGGGAATAAAATGAAACTTCACAACAGGAAGGGAAGGAGAGAAAGGAGGTGGCCATCCGTGTCATTGTGACAGCTCAGTTTTTCTCCTTGTAAAACCTCCAGTTTTACTTTTTTTTAGCACCCATTAAGGTGACTGGAAGGAGAGACTGGGACAGGTTTCTTTTGTGTCTTTGTGCCTTCTATATTCAAAACAGAAACAAGTGTTACGTTTTTAAGAACACTTACACTAGAGTGGGTGAGACCCAAGTGGGCAGCCTGCCACCTATGTGCTGTGTGGCTGTGGGCAAGCGGCTTACCATCCCTGAAGTTCTTCCCTACTTAGTCTAGAAGGGATAATAACTAGCCTATATCCTAGCTCCTCAGGAGGCAGAGATCAGGAAGATCACGGTTCAAAGCAAGCCCAGGCAAATAGTTTGTGAGGCTCTATCTCAAAAAAAAAAAAAAAACCATTGCAAAAAAGGGCTGGCAGACTGGCTCAAGTGGTAAGAATGCCTGCCTAGCAAGTGTGAGGCTCTGAGTTCAAACCCCAGTGCCATCAAAGGAAGGAAGGAAGGAAGGAAGGAAATTGCTGCCTCCTGGCGCTAGTGGGCAGTGTGACTGCAGGGACAGGCATAGGCTGTGAAGTGTCTGTTGCACAGCAGGAGCAGACATAAAGTCCTGAAACTTACAGCATTTCTATAATTGTGCCTTGTTTTTACTCTGCAGAGCAAAAAGCCAATCAAAAGAGTTGCAAAGAAGAGAAGAGCAACCTCGGCAGGGCTCCTTAGCTCATCGCCTTCCCCTCTCACCCTCCCTTACCTCTTGCATTTAAGAAAATGCTCCCAACCCTTCTTTTGTCCCCACCCTTGGACCAACTGCCACACCATCACGAGCAGGCATGCGGTCGCAGCAGCTGGAAGTTTCCATTTGCCGACTGACAGGAGCAAAGGTTACACTATTTCTGGGCTGCTGACCGAGGGACAGGAAGGGCAGAGGGCCTGGGGGACGGGGAATTTCTGCAGTGCCTCTGGGTGGAGGAGGGCATCTCAGGTTTTAACTGCTGGAACGGAGGCTGGGGTCACTGAGCCTACGACCTCTGGGTCACCTCACCATGCTTGGAACCCACTTTGGTCCTGTATCTATGAAACTGCCGCACCCATAAATACAACAGAGTTTTGTAGGGGCCTGAAAGGACATGAACGTGGAGGCTGGCGGCGGCTTCTGGGATGGAACCTCAGCAGATCTGCTGACCCCAGGCCTCAGCCGCAGCCACAGCCCAACACCCCATAATCAAAATTCAAGCTCAGGGCCACCACCCAGCTTGGGGCTGCAGCCTCCTGACCGCAGCCTCCCAATTTAACTGCTAGTGACCTAGTCAGGGCAGAGAGCGGCTCTCTGGTGTCGTTAACTGTTCTCTCTCCAGTCCTGCTGTCCTCCATGACCCTTCAGATAAAAGGAGGACTGTTTGGTTCAGTTTTCAGAAGAACATGAGAAGGATCAAGAAACCACAGAACACAAGACTGTCCACTGAAGCAATGTCAACCCTACCTGGGTCTGCCTGAGGGAAAATGTGCTCGAAGGTACATGTTCCCACCCCATCCTGCCCTCTCAAGTGCACGGCCGCGCTCTGCACAGGTGGCTTCCACAGAGGCAAGTGGCTGGCAGAAGAGCCTGAGGAACTGTGAGCGGCTCAGGCTCGCCTTTCTCAGGGCACCTTGGCAACAGCTCGTGTTACCCTGGAGCATCACCCACTGCATTTGCCATCCTTGCCTGATTTGTATCCATGCATCTGTGACCGCTTGGTGACTTCTGCTAGACTGTCCGATCCCTCTCTCTTTCCTTCCCAGTGTCCCTGTACCTGTTCTCAGGACACACTGGCACACAGTAGGCGCTCTGTAAGTGTCTGCTCAATGGATGCATGAATGACAACTGCCCGGGAATACTTGGAGCTGTAACTGCTTGTGGCAATCAGGAACAATGCAGAGGAGAAGAGAATAATTTGCTTCTCTTTTGTGGTGCTGGGGATCGAACTCCAGGCCTCCAGCATGCTAGGCAAGTACTCCACCACATCCCAATAATAATTTATGGTAAGTCCTCAAGTGGAATATTATACAGCATTCAAAAGAATGAGGTGGTTCTCTACATGCTGACACGCATGAAGAGATTACCGAGATGACTACTGAGGGAAAGAGCTAGTCACATGGTAACATGTAAAAAATAAATAATAAAAGTCATAAAAATATAATTAAGTGGTTATACAGGAAAGGTAAGTGGAAAAACACCAAAGCTTTCATAGTGGATTTCTCAAAGACAGAGGACCACAAGAGGAATTCGGTTTCTAGGTATTGTATATCTGTATGTGAGTTCTTTGTGGCATGGGTTATAAAGCCAGTTGTGTTTAGTGGTTCAGATCCCAGCTTGCTGTGTGGCCAGAGGCATGTTACTTAACCTCTCTGAGCCTCTATGCCCTCCACCTATAAACACTGGTGAAGTAGTATCTTTGTTTTGAGGCTATTATGAGGATTATGAAAACCAATGTGATATGTAATGCCTGTGTTCAGTAACAGTGTTCAATAAACAGTAGCCATCACTACTCCTATCTTTATGTACTACTTCTTCAACCAAATACACATATATACGTAAAGAATACCTTTTAAAAGTCAATGATAGATGTGGCTCAAGCACTAGGGCACCTGCTTTACAAGCACAAAGCCCTGAGTTCAAATCCCAGTCCCACACACACAAAAACAATCAGTGATGAAGGCAAGGAGAAAGAATCCAGACTCTGGTGAAGCCCATCTGGATTTAGATTGTCACTTCAAACAAGGAATACAAAGCATTGCCTCCTTTCCCACTCCAGATTCACACACCCGAGCAGAAACAAAGAGCCACCCCAAACCGGGCTGATTTCCCAATACCTCCTGTCCATCTCAGCAGAGGCCCCAAACTTGTCACTTCAGCACCTCAGCCAGGACAGATAAAAAGCTCCTGTCATCTCCAAAGCGATCTTCCCTAAGATAACTCAGACAGAAAACTGCCACATCCCCACAGCTCACAGTGGACAGATGGACCAGCTGCTGGGGACCTGACAAAGAGGTAAATCCCTGGCTCTTCCCTGAAAGCCTGTCAGGGACTCTGCCAGAGGCCACGGCTCACCCCACACTTGCTGAAGGCCCCAGCGCTTACCTGCACAGTCAGGTAGAGTCTGTGGGGACTCCCAGGGCCTGCCCAGTCCACGCTGAGGGCTCGGCACTGTGCAAGGGCCGGGCGAGCTGCAGTTCGGGCACTGGAGTCCTCGTCACCGCTGACCAGGGTGTCTTTACCACGCCCTGTCCCAGGACAGAGAGACAGGTGAGACACTTGGACTGTTGGCCACAGCCCACTGACTAGGGCCAGGCTGAGCTCAGTTTTCACTACCTCTGTGCAGTCCAGGCATGGCCAGCAGGGCTTCCACACCCTGACAAGCCTGTCCCATACAGAGGCACGGGCCTGCCCTCCTTCCTTGCCAAATGCACCAGGACTCTCTTCTGTAGGGGCTGCCCTCTCCCCACAGTGGCCTTGGGGCCCACACTTGCTCATTAGCACCCTCTGCAGAGAGCAACAAGAGCTGACCTCACCTGCCAGGTGCACCACTGGCCGTGGCTTTATTATTCAGGCCGCCTCTAGGTGGCAATTTCTCCCCGCCCTGCATTAAAACCAAACCCACACTGTGTGGCCTGGTCCCTGCTGTCTCCAGGAGCACACTATGGACCAGATAACTCATGTCCCCTTTGGGCCTCAGGCCGCCTAACTGGGATGTACACACTATTGTCCCAGCCTCCCCACCATCACAGCTGGACAGTGCAAGAAAGCGGGGCAAACTGTGGGGCTGCTGCCCCAGGATGCGCCATCAGAAGCCAGCCACTGAGCCATGCTTTCCAGGCCTTGCAGCCCTTCCGGGTCCTTTGTATGCTTGTCTGTATAAGATGGGGATAACCAACCCACCATACAGCCGTCTGGTGAGGATCGGATGGCATGAGACAATAAAGTGCCTGCTCAGTGCCACCCACAGAGAGAGTGCCCACAACGCAGACTGTGAGCACAACTGCCACCACCACCACCCGGGCAGGCAAAGAGTCAGAGGGCTAACAGTGTGCCCAGCATCGTACAGAACCAGTACTCAAACCCCACGTGCCAACCAGCCCTTGCCACCTGCCCATCTCAGGACAGCAATGAGGGGCGAATGGGGGCACTAAGAGGGATCCAGGGGGAGCCGAGTTGGCTGAGACCCTCCCCAGTGGCCAGCACTGGTCCTGCATTGTTACACAGTGCTTCATCGAACCTTTGTCTTAAGGTTTTAACGTGCACAAAATCTACATGGTCGTTACACTCATTTCAAAGACCTATGTGCACACGCATACGCACAAGACTGGAAGGAACTATGCAGAAGGGTCACCAGCTCTTTGTTAATTTTTCCCTTTTTTTTTTTTTTTAAAGAGCTTTCCAAAGGACAATGCTCTTGCTTTCTTTTCAACCAGAAAAGTCATGTTCACTCATATTGTAGGTATAATCCTTATGATAACCTCCTGGGGCAGACACTGTCCTCTACCTCTTTCAGACCACCAGGTCTCCCTGGCCCACAAGCCCCTAGTTTACCTGGAGGCCCCAGAGTCATTCCCAGCCTGGCTCTGGTATAAGAGCATGGGCCAGCCACAGCTCCAGGCAGTCAGAGGCTGGAGACCTTGGAAGGCATGGCTCTGGTTGCCACTGACAGAGCCAATATAGTGGGAGAGGGAGAGACAGGAAGTTCCTGTGTGTCCTCTCAAGGCCTCAGTTTCCTCTTCTGTACACTGAGGGGCTTGGACTTTGTGGCCCACGGGGACAGGCTGCTAATGTGAACCCCCTCTCCCTATAGGTCAAGAGTGACAGTCAACAAACCCCAAAAGCAGCTGACATGTAGAGCTCTGTCCCCCTACATGACCAGGGCCACCTGCCCTGGAGGCGGTAGAACAGGGTCACCGCAGCCTCCTGCCCCAGCAATCCAATCCAGCCCCCACGCAGAATCAGGGGAGCTGCTTGGTCCACGCTAGCAGCACCTGGGACATGACCCAGAAAGGCGAGATGGTGCTGACAGCTCCCCTGGGAACATCAGGGGCTAAGACTCCAGGACCCCCTCATGGTATACCTGCAGTTAGGGTCTCGTAGAGACACCTAACCAGAGCACAAGGCACCCACACCCTGCCAGGCGAGCTCCCTAAGCAGCCTGGGTCCACATCTCACTCCCGTCCAGGGCGAGCCTGGGCGGGATCAGGTGTCAGTGGCGTGGTAAGGCAGTCACTTCACCTACCTTGTTTACCAGCCTCTGGCAGAGACCTGACCGAGCCCTCAGTGAGACTGCAGAACCCCCGACCTGGCTTGGCCAGGGAAAGCTTGGCTGCTTCCCTGCATTACAGACTGTTAAAGTTTAACCTGCTCCCAGGGCTTGTCCTCCTTCCAGGCAGGGCGCAGGGAAGACGTCCCGCCGAGATTGACGCTCTGCTCTGCTCTGCTCTGCTCCACACCCGCCTGGCTCTGGGCTGCCGGCTACCCTGTAATTACCTGACAGCTCTGAGTTTAAGAACCAAGAAACCTCAGTCTCATCTCTGGGATCTGGAGGAAGGAAGGGAAATAAAGAGGCATTCTAAAAGTGCGGACTCACCAGTTCTCAACCTCCCCGGGCCGGTGTGTGGGAAAGGGCGGGCAGCCGGGCTGGCTGGGGCTGGGGCGGGGCGAGCCATCCCCAGTTCGGGCTCCCGGGCCCGGCCCACTCTCCACAGGCCCCGCAGTGAGGGCGTGGCTCCCAGGTTCCACGTCCTGCGAGAGGGGACCATGGCCCGGGGCTCAGTAGCCTCCTCTGGGGTCCGGGAAGCCTATGGAGAGAACAAGGAGAGAGGAACTTGAAAAGGCCTGGCCGGCACCCCAGGCCATCTGGGATGGTCTGGGGACAATGGGTTACCTGTTAACCAGGGCAGCAACCCTAGCTGTGGCGTCCCCTAAGGGCTCCCCAGTTCACAGGATGAAATGGGCCCTGCCTCCATTTTGGGGGTGCTTGTTTCTGAATACAGAGGCTCAGAAGTAGGCGGGCAGGGAGCATGTCAGGTGCGACTGCTGCGAGCGGTGGACAGCCCACCTCTGAGTCCTCCTGGAGCCTAGCAGCAAATTGCCGGGTCAGAGTCCCCCATGGAGGAAGCACCAGGAGCCTCCCAGTGGTAAGTCTTAATTCTTTCTCTCCAAGGCATTTTCTAATTGCTCATTTATTACACATTTTCTTTTTTGTGCATTTTCTAACTGCACTCAGACACGTGCTCAACCCTTAGCCTGCTGGCTCCTCTGTCCCAGGCCTGTGGCACAGCAGTGAGAACTGGCATTTCTCTGAGGGGCTCAGAAGGGCCTGGACTGTGGCCAGTACAAGCTGGGCTTACACACAGCAAATTCTCTTAATGCCAGCTCATTCATGCATTGGAGTAGCCTTCACTCTGTGCCCAGGGTGTGGCAGGCACCCTGCCAGCTGTTGAGATGCAAAGATTCACTCACTCATTCTTCAGTTAATAACGAGTGCCTACTATGTGCCTGGCATGTACCCGGGTGTCAGGAGAGTAGTCCCAGTCTACACAGACAGCAGTGCTAATAACAGAAGTGAAGTCAGTGTGGAGAGGCAACATGGAGTTTGGCTTTGAGAATGAGTTGCAGCCATGCATGAGGGTGCATGCTTATAATCCCAGCACTCAGGCAGCTGAGGCAGAGGATGGTGGGTTCAAAGCCAGCCTGGGCAATAGTGAGTTGAACAGCCGGCCTCAGCTATGTGCTGAGACTTCCTATGGAACTACGTGGGTTGAGTTTCCCAATCCTTTACTGCAGTGACCACTTCTTACCAGCCAGCAAAAACATCTACCTGGACAAGACCCTCCTCCCCTGACCCATTTTGGCTCCCTGAGGGCGGAGCTCCCGGCACATATCTTTATAGCCCCATAGCTGGCAGCCGGAGCTACACCCACACCAAGTGCTCCATGGTGGCTTATTGGGTGAACATCCCGAAACAAACACACATAAACGCTCCAACAGGGTTGGACACCGAGACAAGGAGCTAAAGGCCACCATTACCAAAGGTGAGAACGCAATCACATCACTATGGTTGAGCAAGAGTAGAGGAACTAGGTGAGGACAGGGTTCTGCCTGGGTGGTAAAGGGAGAAGAAGGAAGGTCAGAGAAGTAGCAGGTGTACGGACAAAAATCTTAGCAATGACCACAAAGTGAGTGGGAAGGAGAGGATGGTCAGATGGCCATGTCAAAGTGGAAGCCAAGACAGGCAGAAAGCCCCAGGCCCTTTAAGAGAGGTGAACTGAGCAGACAGAGGGCAGGCTAAGGAAGGTTAAGAAGTGAGGTGAGGGCCAGAGCCAGCAGCCACTTCCTTCTCTTTGAGGAAGTTTAGCTAGGATGGGAAGGCAGGGATGAACTGAGAGGATATGGTACTAGAATACAGGAGAAGCGACATGTTGGGGAGATGGGAGGGGGGTGGGAAGGGGGGAGGGGAGCAGGAATGAATGAAGCAGTGAGGAGCAGGAGACCTGAAGATGTGGGATCTGGTGTTTGCAGGGCTGGGAGAACAGGTTCCTGGTCTCTTCCTTCCTTGACTGACAAGACAACTTGGAGGAGGAGGCTCCTGGTGCAGTCTCACTGGGAAGGGGACCAGAATGTGGGCCAGAGGACAAAGGCTGATCCAAATATATGGCCAGCACCACCGATGCCAGAGATGGAAGAGTGCAGAACAGAAGAACCAAGGGGAGCAGAGGCACGCTCTTGTCTCAAGGCACAAAGCTGAGCACAAAACCAACCTTACAGACCAATGGGCAAGGATGGAGAAAGGCAGGTCCTCCTGTGTGCCCAGCTCCCTGCAGTGACAGCACCGAAGGCTGACTCCGTGGTTGAGCTGTTCAAAGGAGATCAGCACAGTTCACGGGGCAGGCAGGGGCAGGAGGAGAGGTTATTTCTGTGCTATCAGGAAGGGAAGCTGGAGAGGCAGCCAGGAAGATGTCAGGAAGAAAGAGGAAGGGTGTGTGCTAGATCCCCAAGTGGAAAAAGCAGCTGAGTTTAGCTGCTGGAAGAGTATGAAGGTCAAAAGTATCAAGGAATCTCAAATAAGTCCAGGGTCCAAGGTCAAGAAAGAAGCACCCTCTCTCCTCATTTGATTCCCAACCTGGTGTCCTGGGACCTCTACCAACCTAGGATTCATGAGGTAGGATGGTAGGACTGGTTCAGACCCTGGCTCTGCCACTTAGCATAAGTGTGACCTTGGGAAAATTACTTTGCCACTCTGTGTCTCATTATCTCCATCTGTAAAATGGGAAAACTCCACCAGATAGGGCTGGTATAAAGATTAGGCAGTGCATACAGCGTTCAGAACAATACTGGTATATACAAAGACCTCAGAATTTTATTTCTCCGTGCCTTCATTCCAGTGGTGGGTGAATACACAGGGGCTGGCCAGGGAAGAGGCCTGTGCCCCTCAGAGTTCAGGCAACGATGGCGGAGCTGCAGCCTGCCCCCTGCCCTAGACCAGGGATGTTGTAAAAACTGGGGGACAGACTTGACAGTCACCCAGAGACTGCTGCTAGGGAGGACTTGGTACCCCTGGGAGAGCAATCAGCGAGGTTAGGCAGGGGTTTGGACTTCCCTGCCATACAGTCACATGTCCTGGCTTTTCTTGGTCAGCCAGATTTTAAACCCTCTGCTCTCTGGTGTCCATACAGACAGAACTCACTACCCCATGCCCCTGAAGTCCAGTCGTAGCAAATACACCGCCTCACTCTGAGGCTGCATTCCTAGCAAATGACTCTCCAGGGCCAAGGAGAGACTACTTTGTCAAGGGCATGGGGAATGCGTCTGTCTGGAAAGGAAGGGTCCTCACCTGGCCTGGAGCAGAGGGCAAGCCAGGGAGGTGAAAGGCCAGGGGTGGTTACAACCCCCAAGCTTGAGACCAGTATTGAGGAGGGGGTGCAAATAGGATACTTGAGAATTTAAATACAGCTTCCTCTTTAAAATCTTCCAGGACCAGGCCCTTCATGCGCCGACCAGAGTTTGGCTTTAACTCGCAATGGTGGGCTAAGCAGCTCACCCTCCCTGCCGGGATTCCCCAGCAGCAGCTGTCAGTGGTCCATGCCTCACTGTCCCGGAGGACGCCGGCCCAGGCCCTTCCTCCTAACCTTTGGGCTAGTGCACCCCACTCTGGGCCTGGCAGGGGCAAAGCAACTGCGGGGGGACGTTGTGGGTGAGACCAAAACCGCAGCCTTCCAGGTGAAGACCCCTGCGGGGGAGGGGCGAGCTGCCAGGCGCTGACTGACATGCAGCTCCAAGGTAGGGTCTACACTCTCCCAGGCAGGAGGAAATCGGAACCAGTCCCGAGGGGACAAGCAGCCCCCACGCCCAGCTCGCAGCAAGATTCTGGTCTCGCGCTGGATGACGCCGGGAGGACACCCGCGCACGGCTGGGTCTCGGGGCCCAGGCCCTCTCCGCGCTCCCAGCAGGTCCGGACGGAGGGGTCCCGCGGGCAGGGCCGGCCAGAACACGGCGCCCGGAACCGCAGGCCGGGCGGAGCCCCATTGCCCAGCCCGCCCCCTGTCCGCCCCAGGGCCCCGACTCACCGGCCTGGTGGAGGCAGGATCCCGGCGTCGCCGCAGCGCCTGGGGCTCGGCCCGCTGGCGGGAGGCAGCTCCGCGCCGCCGCCTCCTCGGCCCGCCCCGCTCCCGCCCCACCCCCCGCACACTTTCCACAGGAAATGATTAACTCCGGCAGCGGCGCGTTTCCATAGCAACCGACCGGGAAAAGGGGCGCGCGCATTGTCGCGCACGCGCTGGCCGGGGCGCAAGCTCCCGCACACTCTGGCGCACACGCACCGGCACACCTGCTCGCGCCCGTCACTAAGCAGCGCGTGCCTGCACACGTGGCCTCGCACTTGTCAGCGCACGCGAACACAATCCTCACACATCCCCACTCCAGGTGGCACATTTGGAAACATTTTACACACGCGCCAGTACGCACGGCCTCAAACCCGAGCAAAACTTTCACGCAGTCCAGCTAGTATCCACACCTCTGCTTCGCACACAGGCTCACACACACTCGAGTACATATTTTCTTTCCATTCTAGCACTCAATACATGCTCTTGCACACGAGATCGTACGTGTGCACACGGCCGCGTGCTCACTCGTGCTTTAGTTCACACGCACTCACACCGCTCCGCAGCGGACATGCGTGCTCTCACCCCGCTCCCCCCAGCCAATGAACGTCTTCCAGAGCCGGGAAGCTGCTTCTTGGGGTTTGTTAAGGTAACGCATTCCTTTAAGCTCCAGTGGAATGAAGTGCAGCAGCTCCCAGCCCGTCTTTTTAAAACCTCCTCACGCAGCGCCTGGGAGCCCCAGAAGAGGCATGGGGGAGAGCAGGCCCAGCCAGCCAAAAGAGACAGCTGACCCGGAGGGAGCCACTCTGTTCTTTGTCTCCGGAACAGAGGCGACATTTAGTTCGGCATAGAGTCAGCCGCAGTGTTCCCCCCCATCCCCCCCAGGGTGCGGAAGGAGCCAGCCTTTGCAGGCTGATGGCTCACAGATAGCCGGGGGAGAGTGGGCAGTCTGCTTCGCAGGGCATGACCCCAGAGACAAGAGGGGAAGGGGTCGTGCAACTCCTGGTGAACCTGTCTCTTGCTGCTGCCCAGACGACAGGCTGGCAGTCAAGAATCTAGACCAGAGACACAGCCAAGGCCCAGGGCCTCACAGGTCCTGGATGCCAGAGCAGGACAGTCAAAATCCCCTAGCTGGAAGTGTTTTATTTTCTGAGATTCCTGAGTGCAGGCCAATAGATGGCAAATGCTGATGTCCTGGAATTGTTCCCTGGAGAGTTGAATTTCTAGCTAATGATACTGAGAGCCCTCCAACTGGTGGAGACAATCTTCTTTTGAGAGAGTGTCCTTCTGGATCCCCACCCCCCAGACAGGTCTACAAGACAAAACTGTGTGAGATTTCTAACCAAGAATCTCCTTCATTACAGTCCCTATTATTTGAGTGGGGGTGAGGTGGGGTGGGGTGTTGGTCTTTAAAGTTGAAGTACAAAACCAGAGGCCTTGTCTTGCTTGAGGATTGGGACACTGATATTAACTGTAGGTTCCTTCCGGAAAAGCCAAACCCAGAAATTTAAATTAATAATAACATATATTGCTCTTTTTTCTCTGATTACGAAAGTCATAGATGTTCATTGTAACCATAATCCCATCCACTGGTGATAAACGCTGCCAACACTTCAGTACAGCCTTCTTTCTTTCTTTCTTTCTTCTTTAGTGCACATAAAAGATGCCATTTATGCAAGGCTAACACTGTGCCAGGCACTGCACCAAGTTCTTTATAAATAAAATCCTAGTTAACCTTGCCCACCCTTTGAGCTGAGCACCATTCTAACCCCATTTGTTCAGGAGAGGAAACAGCATCAGTAAATTCATTTGCAAACCCAGTGTGTGTCAGAGTTGAGCTATAAGCCCAGAAGAGGTAATGTGTATACACATGTGCACACACATGCACACACAAACCATCAAATGTAAGTAAATACAGGAGTTTATTGAGATCAAAGTGAAGGAAAAGAAACTGAGGCTTACAGGGGTCACTTTTTAAATTCTAGCAAATCTCTGGCTTGAAATGTAAAAACTGATTGTTAAATGTGAGAATTTAGGAACGCACAGTATCACCAGGAACTATCTACCAAGGTCAAGGTCATTTCTATCTCAGAAACCACCCAGGCTTTACGCAGAGGCTGCCAACTCTCTCCTGGCCACAGGCAAGATGGAGGATTTGCCAAACCTGGCTATGAGTCTTTGGCCTTGACCCTTCCCGCCCACCTTCTGGTAGAGGCACAGCCATTTCAAGGCCATGGCCAGACAAAAGGCTATGGCTAGAACACTGCACATCCATACCCAAGCCCACCCCATCCCCTGGCAGGGGTCAGCAGTGCCATCTTGGTATTCAGAGGGCATGAAACCTCAACGTCTCACATGTCCACCACAGAGGTGGGTCCAAGTGTGCTTTTCCACAGAGGAAAAACCACAGGGCAGTCGTTCTGACTTTCCTAGGAGCTCAGCGCCCAGCACAGATAAGATGCACACCATTCCAGTTGCAAGGGGTTGCCTCCAGGCCTTTGCAGATGCTGTCCTCCCTGTCCAGAAGGCCTCTAGCCTCCACCTGCTCCTCCCTGCCTCCACTAACCTTAATCTGACCAATCCGTCCAATGCTGTGAGTACTTTAAACTTAGGGATCACTTTCCTTGCCCCACCTTGCCCCTCTCTGAGTCAATGACATCTCCACACTGGATTGCAATGTCCTTCCCTGCCCACCCCATCTCCTCCTGGAGGATAGAGCCCTTTCCTGACATGAAGACAGACAGCCTCAGCCCAGGGCCAGCGTGTCACATTCATGTTCACTCAGTACACAGGTCATGTAACATTCAGAGGAGAACGGCATGTATGATCCACATCCAGACAGACCTCTCCCCATGTAAACTAGTGGTAATGCCTACAGAAGCATTCCACTGCGGTCAGTGGGAACACCTGCCTATGAGGTCTCTCTGTCCTGGGGAACGGTTTCCTTCTTTTTTTTTCCTTTTGGAGACAGGTCTCACTGGCCCTGAACTTCTGCCTCAGAGTTCTGGAACTACAGCTGTGCCCAGATAACAGTTTCTTAAAGTGAACATTCTGGAGTTAAGAGCTTCATATTAAAGTAATCCTGACTGCATAAGTTGCTAATCAGAACACATACCTTCCAATATCCCTAAAATCATCCATCCTGAGCCCAGAGGAAGAGCTAGAGGGAACCAGGGGGAGGTAAAGACAGTCTATATCCAGCCCCACGATCAAGAGGTTGGTTTCCAGCTTTGCACCCCACCAGCTGCAGATCTGTGCGCATCACCCAACCTCTAAGAATGAGGGGAAGCTACACACCTCAGGACATGAAGGGGTAGGGTGGTCACAGTCAGCCCTTGGCTGGGTGATAAATTCCTCCAACTCTTGTCTCCTGTAGACCAACCTCCCACAGACGCTGGGGATTCAGCAGGTATTTGACCAAACAGCACCTTTCACCCTGTCTCCCCTGTCCCCTCTCCTAAAAACTGCATTGAAAACAATTCTTCATTTTCAGAAGTCCCCGCAGTGAGCTAAGGCAGCCCTCCCTCCAGCCAAACCACCTTGCTTTAAAATCCCCAGACAGTGGCAGCCTTTCTGCATTTGCCCAGGAGCCTGGACTCAACAGAGCTGCTTGACTGTCAGGTGAGGGGAACTCAAAACCTGTTTATGACCTGCTAAGGAATTTGGCAAAGATCCCCTCCTGTGCTCTGCGCTCTGCGGTGGAAAGCAAACAGATTGTTTTTCCCTTTATCGTTTCCTGTAGTCTCAAAAATGAGAGGAATGCAAACATTGGGCAGATAATGCACTTCAGCACCAGGCAATAAAAAGATTTAGCAAGAGTGGCCATGAGAGAGTCAAGAAATACGGTTGGGTAAGCCCCGCCCCACACCGCCAGAAGCCTCTGGCTCCTCCCCCAATGCCCCGCCCCTTCACTTCCTGCTACCAACTCCTCGCTCCTAGGTGTGAAGCCCTGAGTTCAAAACTCCACTACCGTCGAAACAAAAAAACAAACCCAAGACGTTCCTACTTCTCTCCACCTTCTTATTCATCTTCCCTTATGTGTTTGGAGATTTTTTTTTTTATGGTGCTGGCATTGAACTCAGGACCCTGTGCATCCTAAGCAAGTGCTTTAGCACTGCGTTATGTGCCCAGCAGGTTTGTTTTTTTGTTTTGAGACATGCACTCATGTTGCCCAGGATCGTCTCCATCTGCAGCTCAAGGGGTCCTCCTGCCTCAGCCTCCTGAGTAGCTGGAACTATAAAAGAATTTAAGTGTTTTTTCTTCACAAATATAGAAACCAAGAGAGGAAATCTCCCCCACCCCCAAAATCCCACTACACTTAACTTTTGTCATTGGCCCAGAGTTTCTTCCTGGTAACCAACCTTGAACAGACATCATTTCTACAATAAAAAGAGGCAGTAGAGTGCAATCATTAGAAGTGGGTTTGGGGGCCAGGTGGATGTGGGTTTGAAGCCTAGCCTGGGGTTCCTCGGTGCCTCAGTTTCCTCCTATGAACATGGGGGAGGCAGGAGTAGTAGTATCTAAGGACTGGGTTGTTATGAGGTATGAATCAGAGCAGACACCTAACACCCTTTACCCTGAATCTGGCACTTAACTGGTGTTTTCACAAACACCAAGCTGCAGTTGGTGGAAGGAAAGTAGAAAATGCTACCTATTCTCACTTTGAGTCATTCGATTAGCATTTCCTGAATTACTTTTTCCTACTCAGACCTGCTCTCCTCTGCAGACCCCAGGCTGAGCCTGAGATCCAAGCAGCATTGAGGTCCCAGTGAAAAGAATCATTGTCTTCTTTATTTGCCGGGCTGGGAATCGAACCCAGGGCCTTGCACATGTTAGGCAAGTGTTCTCCCACTGAGAACTATTGTTTTAAATGGCTGCATAATATTCCACTCAGTGGCCGCACCCCAACTGAGTTGATCATTCAACAGACTCCAATATTTGGATGGCTCCCACTTTTCTACTCTATAAACAGCATGGCTATCCACACTTCCCCACACACAGCCCAGGGCCAGGGGTG